ATTGTGAGACACGGGGTGATGAGGTGAGAGATGGTGAGGGGATTGGCGGGAAGGTGAGGCTTTGTGAGACACGGGGTGGTGAGGTGAGAGATGGTGAGGGGATTGTGAGATACGGGGTGGTGAGGGGATTCATTGGTGAGCTGAGTGACGTTGAGGCTCTTAGGTGAGGGGATTGGCGGGAAGCGGAGGCTTGGTAAGACTCAGGTGGTGAGGGGATTTATTGTTGAGGTGAGAGATGGTGAGGAGATTGGTGGGAAGGTGAGGTTTTGTGAGACACGGGGTGGTGATGTGAGAGATGGTGAGGGGATTGGTGGGAAGGTGAGGCTTTGTGAGACACGGGGTGGTGAGGTGAGAGATGGTGAGGAGATTGTGAGATACGGGGTGGTGAGGGGATTCATTGTTGAGGTGAGTGATGGTGAGGCTTGGTGGTGAGTGACCCGTCTCTGATCCCCCTCTTGCTAGCTAACGTGTCGGCGGTGAGGTTCGTCAAGGCTCTGCAGGAGGTGGTGGACGGGAACAACTTAATGGAACAGAGCTATTCCGACATCACCCCCTACTTCGCTTACTGCGAGAAACTACAAGACAGTAGGTTCTGTGGGGGGCTCGGGTCCCCTCTCGCACCCCCGCCACGGTGATCCACATCCCCCCTCATCCCCCCTCATCATCATCCCCTTAGCGCGGGGGTTCCCATTCTCACCTCTCCCCTCTTCTATGCCCCCGCCGCGAGTACACGGATGGGTGAGTACACGGTGTACGTACATATACACAGGTGGGTGAGTACACAGGTGGGCAAGTACACGGGTGGGTGAGTACACAGGTGGGTGAGTATACGGGTGGGTGAGTACACAGGTGGGTGAGTACACAGGTGGGTGAGTACACAGATGGGCAAGTACACGGGTGGGTGAGTACACAGGTGGGTGAGTCTACAGGTGGGTGAGTACACGGTGTACGTACATATACACGGGTGGGTGAGTACGCAGATGGGTGAGTACACGGCTGGGTGAGTACACAGGTGGGTGAGTACACAGGTGGGTGAGTACACAGATGGGCAAGTACACGGGTGGGTGAGTACACAGGTGGGTGAGTACACAGGTGGGTGAGTACACGGTGTACGTACATATACACGGGTGGGTGAGTACGCAGATGGGTGAGTACACGGCTGGGTGAGTACACGGCTGGGTGAGTACACAGGTGGGTGAGTACACGGGTGGGTGAGTACACGGCTGGGCGAGTACACGGGTGGGCGAGTACACGGCTGGGCGAGTGCACGGGTGGATGAGTACACAGGTGGGTGAGTACACGGGCGGGTGAGTACACAGGTGGGCGAGTACACGGCTGGGCGAGTACACGGGTGGATGAGTACACAGGTGGGTGAGTACACGGGCGGGTGAGTACACAGGTGGGTGAGTACACGGCTGGGTGAGTACACGGCTGGGTGAGTACACGGGTGGGTGAGTACACGGCTGGGTGAGTACACGGGCGGGCGAGTACACAGGTGGGTGAGTACACGGTTGGGTGAGTACACGGCTGGGTGAGTACACGGGTGGGTGAGTACACGGCTGGGTGAGTACACGGGCGGGCGAGTACACAGGTGGGTGAGTACACGGCTGTGTGAGTACACGGCTGGGCTAGTACACAGGTGGGTGAGTGCACGGGTGGGTGAGTACACGGGTGGGTGAGTACACGGCTGGGTGACTACACGGGTGGGTGAGTGCACGGGTGGGTGAGTGCACGGCTGGGTGAGTACATGGGTGGGTGAGTGTGAGGACACCCACGCACTTGTATGTTGTAAATTATTTAAATTTTCAACCTGATAAATTGACAACAGCCTCCACCGAATAGGCCCTGCTGCCTCGGTCATAGTCATCCCCTAGGTCGACTCAGCCTCAAATTAGTACCTGGTGTAGTGTGTAAACATCGCCACCGGGGAGACAAAGACGACCGGGTGTGATGCTGGCCACCCACCCCCTCGTGTGCCGTGCCGGCCTTCATAGGTGCTCGCTAACAGCACTTGCCGCAACAGTCTGTTAAGGCTATAGGGGGGGTCTTTGTCTTTGGATAAGTTGTGAGTACTCTCACGGATTTGTATGTTTATATCAATTCATTTTTCGAAATCACGCTAGGAAGTTACACTGCCCGAAACGTCACCTATTATATATTGATACCCACTCCAACAAAACATCTTAACACTGGTTTTATTTCCAGAAATGGTATAGCCTATTCTTATTTTTCATACTTTGACGCGACCAAAATTGTCTCAAGAATATAACTGCTCACCCCGAGTTATAAATGTTCTGATATGTGCATAGGCTTTGAACTGTTGGCATTTTGGCATTGATCTCTGGTCTGACACTGGTGAGACTAGGCCATAAAAAGGCTGTCTCAAGTGTAGGCAAATCCGTTTCAAAGACAATGCATATATTATCAGAGCATGTTTGCATATTCACCATAAGTACGTGTGGTTAATGCATACTTGATTCCTTGCTAAATGTATCTATTTGTTGTTTGAACATCTTAACACTTGCTTCATTGCCAGAAAAGGTCAAACCTATTCTTCTTATGTTTCCACCTAAAGGGCCCTGCAGCCTTGGCTTGGTCTTATGGCTTTACACTCAGGGCCATTGTGTGTGCTTGTGTCTGTGTGTGTGCAGCAAGAGGGGAGTTGGGCAAGTTCCGCACAATTGCCATGGACTATGCGAACTCGAGCAGTAAAGCCCTGGCGAGGAAGAGCCTGGGTCAAATGCTGCACATTCTCAACAAGTTCTACTCCAACACCAACTGGATCGAGCAGGGCAACCTGATCCCCCTGGAGGCCCTGGGTACGTGGGGTGCAGGGGGTCGTGCCCACCTGTACACGTCACCCACCAGTGTGTCCAACCTTGTTCCACTCGCTCACTGCTGTGTTCACCCCCATACCGCATACTCACCCATGTTAGCCCTGTAGCACCTCCTCACCTGGGTCCCACACCTTTAAAAAAAACTGTTCCACTTTTTTTCCTTAATTCCCACATATATGGTATATGTTGGGTGTTCCCCCCCCCCCAATCCTCTATCTGTAGGGGTCACGCACGGGTCCCATGACACCTACATCTAACCTCAGCGTGCCCCCGCACGACCTCTACCAATATATTGGTGGGGTACAAAGACCCGTGAGGGGGTTTTGGGGAAGGGGGCATCAAGCTCATCAGTGCACGGCAGGCGCCCAGGGTGGCATGCTCTTCATTTTTTTTTATAAGGCGGGGAAAGCTGATACAGGTTTCCTGCGCTTTGTGCGATTTTACGTATGTACGCTGCTAACTTATTTCTACCCATTAATTGACTATAATATGCGGTTTGAATTGTCCCTGCTATGCGGTTGGACATGGGACATTGCGTCTAGTCTACTGCATTGTACGCGCTACTCGGCCGGCAGCTCATCTCGGCGTGCGGTGCATTGTAGGTTGGGTGGTTGAGGTCCATGGTACGCGATTTCGCTTTGTTCACCCCTTTTTTGGATTTAATCTACCCGCATAGAGCGAGGAAACATGCAATGGGATGCCTCGTTTGAAGATACACTCAATGGCTTCCTGAGATGCTAATTGGATAAATGAAGTGCTGCCCGCAACAGATGTTAGTTGGCAGGTTGACCGCAGTCGCGCTGGGGATCGTCTATCATCATCATTGCCCAGAAAAAAAACACAAAACGCACACGAGCCAGCGCCTCCTAGCGGCTCTGTGAATGCGGAGCGCAGCACAAATCACTTTCACAGCACGTGGTAAGGGGGCCCACTCCATAGCATCAATCTAGACTTTAGAACAGCGGTTCCCAACCCTTTCGAGTGTGCGGACCCCTTTTCAACCTCCAAACGTTTCGCAGACCACCACATGCTAATTGCTGTTTGAATTATTAATTTCCATTGTGAGGATGTTATTATTTGTTTTCTTTTCAGCAGACCCCTGTAGTAGTCTCGCGGACCACCAGGGGTCGGCGTACTAGAAGTTTGGTTCTCAAAGTGCGAACCCGGACCACTCGTGGTCTGCCACGACCCTCGAGGTGGTCCGCTGGCTCATGCAAATGAAGGTTGATCTGGAAATAATGATAATGTTTATATCAAGTGTTTTGGACATTAATTCACATTTGTTTTATATTTAATTAATAACCCGTAGGTAAACTACCCTGATTAAACTACCCTAACCCTAAGATCTAAATACCCCCCCATAAAATACCCTTTTAGCTGCATTATTTGTTATGTTCCGGTAACACTTATCATTCTGTATTATTGAGAGAAGCGGAATGCTTTTTGTCACAAGGGATGGGGTGCTGTGTGGTCCGCGGGAATGTTTGTATTGGTGGCGTGGTCCGTCCGCCAACACAGTTTGAGATGCACTGCTCTCGAGCAATCACTTGACATGTACTTGGGCCACGAAGGTCCGTGGCCACCGGTGCAGTTGCACCGCCTGTACACTTGATAGTTACACGACTGGACACTGAATGCCATTGCTGCCTGTTCTCCACCCTTCACTCCTACAGTGAACAAGAGCCTGCCATTTCCAGCAACTGCATCCTCCACCTTGACCACTTGCACAGACTGCACGACCCCGAGGCAAGCCCCCCCCCAACTCCCGTGCCATCTCCCCCCCCCACCCCCGTTTTTCCCTCTCGCCATATGCTCCATGTGTGTGTGCACATTGTCGACTGAGCCTCAATTGAGTACCTCGTGCGATGTTTAAAAATATTGCCACCCGGGGAGACATAGGCGGCCGGGCCGTGGTGCTGGCCACCAACACCCGTTCCAGCCTTTATAGGTGCTCGCTAACAGCACTTGCCCCAACAGTCGTGAGGCTAAACTGGGGGATCTTTGTCTTTTGTACACGGGTGTGTGAATGTTGTGTAATGATAACCGTTTACATTTGCATAGTATGGAGACGTGACGTCATACGCGCGGTGAGGCGCGAGGACGTCATGTCACCTGTGGGTACTTAAGGGGGGCTTCGTGACGAAAGGGGGGTCGTTGTGGGAGCCCGGGATGGAGGCGGGTTGGAGGGATAGCGAGGAGTAAGGCTGGGAGAAGTCTGCACGAACCAGCTAGGGTTAGGTGAGGCGAGATAGCTGGGCTAGCAGCAGATAGAGCCAGAGGTCCCCGTGAAGGACACAGTGTAGGGGCACCTACCTCTGGTGCAGTTATTGCTCCCTTGTGTTAATAAACCGGCGCAAGCCCTTACCTGCAAACCTGCATCCGAGTCGTCACTCACCACGCAACACATTTGTAAGGCACATTTCAACCGTAGATCCAAATGCGTTACCACTACCGATAACCATAGTAGAGGACCCGGTAGGACAGGACGCGTTATTAGAGCAACTTCAAATTACAGGGCACTTACATTAAATACAGATTTCCCTCGCTTTATGTGGGTTTGGCTAACCTATGTTTATACCTAAAATTCGCAATATGCGGTTTGGATTCACTCAGATGCGGCTGTGCGGTATACCCACGGACAACATTGTGTATGTTACTGTATGTGTTACTCGGCATGACAGCTGTCTTGGGTCGTTTCACTTTGCACGCCCCTTTTTTGGAACGCATCTACGGCGTAAAGCGAAGGAAATCTGTACAAAGAAATACGTGGCGATACACTCAGGGTGCCTACGGGCAATGAATACTCAGTCGCATTACAACGCTCGTGCCCGAGGAACTGTGCTATGGGCACGGCACAGTTTAGGAACAATCCTCACTACCAAATTTAGCAATAAGATGCAACAGGTTGTGAGGATTGTACGTAGGTTTTCACCGAGTGAGTTGAGCTGAAACAATAAAATGACGCGTTAAACGCGTGACAATTTGTTTTGGGCTAGGTCGGATGGTGAATGGCCTTGGCGAAACAGATTTGGTCAGACCGTTAAGTGGCCTAACAAAAGAAAACTATTATGAATCACTGGCTGCGAACACCTATGTACAGTATACATTTTGGAAGAGATTGCTTGGATGGGTCGATCATGTGCTGCAGATTGTCATAGGCTGCTGTTGTACCGTACGTATATGCATCACGTATTTGTAACCTCTTTGTGTTACACAGTGACCCCAACGTGTACGAATGTCTGAACAACATCATCCTGGCTTCACCGCTCACCAGTGGATACAGGCTTGGCAGAATGTGCAAAAATAAACCTGCAAGTGAGATCACACGTGTCATGCACCTGCCTTCTGCACACCTTACCGCACACTCACCACTCGCTCACTCGCTCGCATATATCCGCACACCACAGACTTGGGTAATGAAAGTGCCGGATGTTTTCCTTAGTGGCAGTCATGTTTTGTATGAAGCTGACAGATTGGGTTTTTATGGTCGATAAACCTTCAGTAATAACCTGGGCTGCCTGCTGGAATTGAACCGCGACCCCCTGCAACAGGGGGCGAACGCGCTACTGCTCGACCATGTGGCTTTACGAGCCTCACTATGTCTCTGTGAGCATCACTCTGTCTTTGTTCTCCCCCCTCCGCCCCCGGCCCCCCACGCAGGCAAGTGCAGTCACGGCGGGATAAACGATGCGTGGCAGAACCAGACTGCGACGGGCGGCATCAACAAGGAGACTCTGGAGCCGAAGCTCTCTCCGCACCACTACCATCACGACGAAGCGGGGCACGTGGCCATGATCGCCACGCGAGACCTCCTCGTCAACTCTGGTGTGACGCAGAGCCAGCTCCACCTAATCGCACAACCTCACCACACAGCTCACCATGATCACAGCTCATCACATACACCTCGTAACACTACAGAGTGTGGGGTAGATGGCATTGGTGGCATCCCGAAACCTCCACCTCAACTCTGATGAAACACAGAGAGTGCTCCTATGATCACTGTTACATTGTTTTTATAGTTTTATTTTGGTGATATTCGAAAACGTACGGTTAAGCCATGTTTGTTTGCTGAAGTACGGAGTTAGCCTGATAATGTTATCGAAATTGTCTTATGGTTGTTATTGTTCGATTTGCATCCCATTGGGATTTTTGCACACAGCGTTGATATACGGTGGTTTTTTTCTGGAAAATTTTACTGGTTTTTCCTGGATGTTTCTGTTGCGAAACGTCACTTTAAGATGTTCTTTGTTCATGATTTGTTTGTTGCGGTTGCACCCGAGTCAAGAGCCTCATGGCTCACAGGGCTATACCTAATAAATTAAACTGATATAAATGAGGGTTAGAGTCAGCGTTAACATTAAGGGTCAGGGTTTGAGTTAGGGTTAGAGTCAGGATCAGGGTTAGAGTCAGGGTTAGGGTTATTAGAGTCAGGGTGAGAGTTAGAGTAAGGTTGAGAGTCAGAGTTAAGGTATCCGGGGTGAGGTTCGAGTTAGGGTAAGCAGGGGGAAGATCGATTCAGGGTTAGAGTCATGGCCAGTGGTAGAGGCAGGGTGAGAGAGTCAGGGTGAGAGGTAGAGTAAGGGTGAGAGTCAGAGTTAAGGTAGGCGGGGTGAGGTTCGAGTCAGACTTGGGGTTGTTGTCAGGGGTGGACTCGGGATCAGGTCACGGTTTCCCTCATGTGGCGATCCCCTCTCATCACAGCGGGCAGCGTGCTGGAGGAGCTTGGTGAAGAGCTCTTCATGCAGCTGTTCAACCTTGAGCGGCACTCACTCGTCTACGTGGTGGACGTGACGGGCAGCATGGGCGATGACATCGCTTTGGTGCGCGACAAGACCAAGGAGATGGTGATGGCAGTGGCCAACAAAACAGAGGCCCCCGAGACATATGTGCTCGTCACCTTCAGTGACCCCGGTACGTGGCCCCCGGGGTTTCCTGGGGCCCCCTCTGCCCCATTTCCACTGGCACATCCGAGCCGAGCCAACCCAGCTGTCCAAATGGTACGGGTGGTTTTCCCGCTGGCCGTTTGCGGAGCTGAGCCGGAACCAAACCGTGATATGCTACTGGCCTCAAAGATGGCATCTGAATCTGACTCTGCGTCAAGCAGGGGCGGGGACTAATGACACGTTCATCACATCTGACGTTAGTACGCTGTGAGAACACAGTATACTTAACACCAGTGTCTGTGTTCTTTATATGCTTTTATTTAAAGTCTGCCACTTTTATAAACACCCAAAACCACATTGAACCTTTCCTCATTGATGCGGTGGAGACAGCCAGAGCAAACTGCACGATGGGCAGGAGCTGATCACATGGTTACTTATTTCATTTAGCGTTTGGCATTTTTTAGAGTTTGTTTAGTATTAACTGTTTCATGCGCCTCCACCCAGACCCCTATGTGCAAACAAGGTCATGCTTCGGGTTTTCCGGGGCTCCGTGTTGATACCCTGCGTTTCCCTCGTGTGTGTGAGTAGAGGTTTACGAACCATTTATCACCAAGGACTGGACAGAGATGTACCAGGCACTGGACTCTCTGGAAGTTGCTGGTGGCGGAGACTGCCCTGAGATGGCGCTCTCAGCCCTGGAGCTTGCGTTGCAGATCTCGCAGCCCGGGTAACCATGACCTATCACTCTCCTTCGCTTTATCCCAGGCTCGGCGGCCCTGCTTGTCTTTGTCCACTTTGCCCTGCTTGCGGTACCCTCCTGCCTTGAGGCGAATGCTCGCCACATCTACCTTGGTCTTATCTCTCCGTCTTATCTTTGGTCCGCCTCTCGGTTCCTTGGCTCGCACATCCATCGGCAGAACGCTCCGACCCACATCTGTGGGACCTGTCGTCAGGAAGTGTCCCCCACCACTTCCCGCACAAGTCAATAGTAATATCACGTAAGGATGGCAGTTCCATGGTTCCTCCGATAATATTAACGTTATTCTTGGCCATTGTAAAAGCATGAATTTGCTTAGTACAACAATCTCCTTTGACCAGTCATGGAATGGATATATTCTAATCTGGGTGATTAGACTTGTTTACTTATTTATCCAGAAGAGCCACACTTAGTTGTCAGACTCTTTTTCACCAGGATCCCGCACACTTATTTCTTTATTTCAGATGTTTTCATCGAAGTAATGGGCGTTTAAACAAGTGGGAGGAAACCGGAGCGCCCGGAAGAAACCCATGCCTTGCATGATCAGGACAATGTTCAATCCCCATTCGGATGGAAACAGGTGGCGATTAGTCCACTTGCTGTACTGCGTTGTTCTGACGTGCCAGAGTACGGCTCTTCCTCGACGCCCACGTGAAGGGAGTTTCACAACATTTGTGCGGTGATCCACCAACCCTCGCTTTCCCAATGTGCTGGATTACAGGCCACGTGCAAAACAGCCACCACCGCCCGGCTAGAAAAGTTGATAGGCGTTTTCTTTGTGGTTGGGGTATGACACGGTCATCTTGTGTAGGAGTAATGTACGAGTGTAGCCCACTCACCCTTTCTTGTGAGTCCTCCAACATTGGCTGTACCAAGACCGTAGCCATGGAGTCAACATTGGGGGGGATCAAATCTTGCAGGGGGTCTGGGGGTCCCCCCCCAGAAAAAAATCTAAATTTGAAAACTAATTTCCCGCCTAAGATATTTAAAAAAAATACTAACATAGGAGGGGCTTTTTATTTATTTTTTGCAATAATGTCTAATAGTGTATTGTATGACATTGCTCTGTTTTTTTCTTTTTTACCTTTTCTTGTTTCATTGTATGTAATGGCAGAGATTATCATATAAACAGAAATCTATTTTATAGCAATATATATGGGGGGGACATTTTGAGCATATTTTTATTATAATTACGGCCTTGGGCTGTACACACAGAGCGGTCCTACGACAGACTTTACAAGAGGTTCTAGAGGCATCAAAGATGCTTGGTTTTCTACTTTTTACCAAGGCCTTTGTCTTTAACTCCAAACGATTATCACTGCTATATACAGCACACATACAGTCGAAGTTGGAATCTTGCTGCCATGTCTGGGATGGAGCACCCATTTCCTACCTCACTGCACTGGCTAGAATTTAGAGTGATACAGTCAGGGTGATGGATGATGAAGAACTCACGAATAGACTCCAGTGACTCGCTCATCAGCGGTCAGTCACCTCTTTATCGCTCTTCTATTGCTAACATGGTTACTGTTCCTGTGAACTTCACTACTTAATTCCTCCACCCATGTTGAGGACTTGGTCTACCAAACTGTTTCCCTCTCATCCACACTGTGTCCAACCTCCACACTGCAGGCCAGAACACTCGCTCACCCACCTACTCAATCGTTCACTCACTCACCGACTCACTCGCCACTCTGCGGGTCACCTCACTTCTCTTTATGCTTCTTCCCTCACACTGCTCCACTTGGGAATTTCTTCCCATCATCTCCCCCCCCCCCCCAAGCTCAATACAATAATTAAACTTGCAAAAATTCTAATAAACGTGTCAACTGGTGCCTTTGACAACTTTGATAGTGCCCTTTTGTTGCTGGCTGCTTGACGTTTTTGTCACCTTTGGGGTCACTGCGACCTTGTGACCTCGACCGTCATGCCTACAGGTCGGATATTTACCTGTTCACGGATGCGGGAGCAAAGGACGAGGCGGAGAAGAAGGATGCAGTGAAGGCGCTGTTTGAGAGCACAGATTCCCGGCTGCATGTGTTCAACACGGGATCCTACTGTACACGCGGAACACAGCGAGACCTCTACTCACGCGGTACCACGCACAGCTCCCTCACCCCTCACTCACCCAGCGCTTGCCAAACTCACTACACTCGCCTTGTCTCTCAACAAGGTGACCTACACTCGGATACACTCACCGATACTTACCCACACTCACAGAACTTCTTACACTCGTGTTGCCTCAACAGGATTGCACACTCATCCTGCCCTCACTCGCCCTCTCTTTCCATCGCCCACTCTCCCCTTATATCACCTATGCATGTTCACCCTTATCTCTACACCCTCTCCCAACTGCACCATCACCAACCCCTCCACCTCCCTCCTCCTCCCCAACTCCCCCCCCAAACAGCCAGCGAGCCACGTCAAAATATATACGAGACCCTGGCAGCGCTGTCGGGCGGCCAGTATATCCTGACGAGCAAGGGCGAGCTGGCCGATGTGCTGGGCAGCTTGGAGCTGAGCCTCAACGCGGCGCCCGTCTCTGTGCGTTACGTGGAGGTCACGACCCCGGACTCCGTGACCTTCCCCGTGGACTCGTCGCTGTCCGAAATCGTCGTGTCTGTGAGCGGCCCGGCCTCCTTCACTGTGGAGCTGTTACTTCCCTCAGGTACTGCCTCCGTTGCACGGCAGCAATGACTGCGTTGTTAGTCACGCACCTGGCTCTGCTTGTCCCCAAACCAGATCCAGATGTCTTGCGAGGCCAGCGTGGTTTTGGCTCGGCTCGGCAAACAGCCAGTGGAAACAACACTTGTACCATGAACACCCCCGCGCTGGCTCGGCCCAGATGTGCCAGTGAAAAAGGGGTATAAGACGCATACACACTTCTTCTGTTATAGTACACACCCACAGACAAAGGTCCCCCATGTAACCTACACAGGCTGTTAGGGCAAGTGCTGTTAGCGAGCATCTATAAAGACTGGCGCACGAAGGGGCGGTGTGGGCAGTGCCATGCCCACGCCCGTGCTGAAGTTTACTCACTGCACACCAGGTACGGTAATCGTTTACATTTCAGTTGACCTCGGGAGAGGCCTAGAACCAGTTCAGACGATCGCTAGCAACTGGGTGTCGGCCGTGTTCCCATCCCGTCATCAGGTGATCTCGCCACCGACGTGGAGGAGCTCGTGTCCTCCAGCCAGAACGTCGTGCGCAGGGTAACCACGGTGACCCCAGGCACCTGGACGGTCAAAGTCACGGGGTCGCCGGGGCCTCACCTGGTGAAGGTGACCGGGCGGAGCCTGGTCGACTTCACTGCTCAGCTGCTGCAGCGGATGAACGGGTTCATGCTGCCAATTCCGGGGCGCCCCGTCACGGGTACGGCGCGCGGGGTGACGGTGGCCGGTTACGTCAGGTGTGCGTAGGCCTCGGCAAACAATGAGCCTACCTTTACCCTACCTTTTACCTTACCACAATACAATCACTCTACCCTACCTTTTACCCTTCAGCAGGTAAGGTAAAAGGTTAAAAGCAACGAGCCTACCTTTACCCTACCTTTTAACCTTACTCCATACAAATTACCCATTACAGGGTAATTACTGGGGCACTACACATGAACAAGGTTTATAACAGGTAAATGCTAGGTAGAGCGCTTTATTCATATAGAATACTCTCGATTATTCCGATTTTACACGCTTGTTGTTGTCGTTGTATCCTCAAATATTGTAACTCAATTTTAACCCACTTCCCAATGTGGTATCGACTACAAACTTGGTATACTTATGTCATACTGATGACAATACTATGTTCTATCATTAAAAAAGAGATATTTTTAAACATTATTTTTTATTTTTTGATTTAAAGCTTTCGTGACTGCAGTAATTCATATTCTTAGTTTTTTCGGTAAAGTCACGTTGAAGAGAAACAACAAAATAATAAAATATATATAAAACAATAAAAAAATTCTCACGACGTTTCGACCATAACTCAAACGGTCATGTCTTCCAACACACCTGAAGATGACCGTTTGAGTTATGGTCGAAACGTCGTGAGAATTTTTTTATTGTTTTATATATTTTATTATTTTGTTGTTTCTCTTCAACGTGACTTTACTGAAAAAACTAAGAATATTATTTTTATGTTATATTTCGGCTTGGGTCTAATTGTCCACTGTCAACTGACGTTGGCTGTAATTGGCCACGGTCCCTTACGTTGTGGCAAGCTTCTGGGCCACTTCCTCGAGTCGTGGAGTTCTGCCATTACTTGTACATTTCATAAAAGGCTGTTTTAAAAAAAAGTTTTTTTTAATATTACTTTTTAAATGGAGGCCACGGACTGCGCCACGGAGCTTTTAGCGGTAAACAAGGTACCGTATTTACCGGGTAATACTTTGCGCTACATTTACCCTACCGGGTAATTATTCCGTGCTACCTTTACCCTACCCTTTACTTTACCCCTTGGCATGTCAACACCTTTACCCTTTAACCCGGTAAAAAGGGTAAATTACCTTACCTTGCCGAGGCCTAGGTGTGCGTGGGTGTATGTGGTGGTAGTGCATGTGGCATGTGTGATGATCCATTAGGGTCTTTGGCAATATTTTCAGGAGCCAGATGCCAATGTCCAGGTCTGCTGGCCACAACCAGAAAGCTTGAGCAGAGAGAGTTTGTGTGGTTTTGCTGTTCTTCCTCCGTTGAAGCACAGACTGCAGTAGATTTACAAAATGTTCCATAGTTTGGGTTGCATGCCCAGTCATACTACTTTGGCTTGTCGTTAATGTGTTCTACATATCTCTATGGGTCTCTGTGTATCTCTATGGGTCTCTGGGTTTCCTATATGGTCGGTTCATGGTTTGGCTTACATGGCCACAATCACACTACTGTGGCTTGTGTCTTTCATTTTCCATTTATGAAGATGTGCGGCCCGGGCTGGTGATGTTCTGATACGGTTGATGGTAACACCAGTGTCCTTGCATGGTTTTAAGAGTGATTGATAACATGGTGAGTGTATGATGTGTGGTGTAACATGGTGTAGTGTGGTGTGATGTGGCGCAATGCGGTGTAATGCGGTATAACGTGTAACGTGTCAACGTAATGTGACGCGGTGTAACGTGAGTGCGATGCAGTGTAATGTGTTGTGACGTGGTGCGACGCGGCGCAAGGTGTTATGTGGTGTGACGCAGTGTTATCGTGTTGTGGCGTGACGTGTTGTGACGTGGTGTGACGCTGTGTGGCGAGACAGGTGAGCCGTATCAGCTGTGGGTGAAGCCGATGGGCAGCGTGGCTGGTTTCTCCATGTCCAGTGTCCGTCTGCTCTCCGGCATGGGCAACTTCGAGTACCTGGTCTCACCCACCGAGTCCGAGTTCGGGGTCCCCTTGCAATTCAATGACCCCATGGTGAGCATTGGGGACAGGGAGGGGACACGGGGATCAGGGGTGATCCGAGGGGATCGGGTGGGCGGGGGTGGATCAGAGTAGAGCTGTGATATCTGATTGTCTACTTTATGATTCATAGGGAATTGCTTTTCCAGTTAAGCCACGTAATGATCTGGTAAAATATGTACGATAAGATCTTCCGCTACCCAACGCACAAACTATTGATCTTGCAGCTCACTCACCAGTGAGTTGGTGAGCAACTCTGCATTCCCATCCAATTCAGGAAGCCATTCCGATTTTCAAGGAGTTTAGTCTGACTTTCTGGATCTGGTCCCGAAGAGAAGCATCGCATCTCTAATTTAACTAAATTTGGCTGTGAGAATTGCTGTTACACTCACTCGTTAGACAATGTCATGACTTAGAGGGGGTGGGAAGGGGGGTGGGTCTTCATCCAACAGCAGATAGATTATGGCTGATTCTGCTGATGCTGGTTTGCAGGCGTTCATGGTGGAGGTGTGCGGCTCATCTCCGGAGGGCCTCCCGTTCTGCCGCATGCACACGCAGCGCACGACCGTGCAGAGCTTCCATCTTGCCCAGCTCAACTTCGAGGAAGGTGGGGCAGATCAGAATTGCCCTCATTGTCCACCTCTCATCGTAGTCACTTGTAATCCATCCTCAGTCACTCATAGTCCACCATCGTAGCCAGTTATATATAGTCACTTACTCACACGTATAGTTCACCCTCGTAGTCACTCACCTAGTCGTTCACTCGTAAAGTAATTCATTCATATAGTAACCATCACAGTCACCTACTTATAGTCACTCATAGTCTACCCTCGTTGGCCAAAATCAGTCACCTATTCCACACTCCTTGCCCACCAACAAAGTAATTCACTCAGTCCACCTTCACAGTCCACCATCGTACTAATTCTCAGTCACTCACAGTGCATCACACACAGTCACACCACGTACGTGATGATGGTGAACGGCAAAGTGGGAAAACCGTCATCCAGCAGTGGATAGATTCTGACCCACGCACATCCGCTGACACTGGACCCCATGTCTCCTGTGTCTCCCGTGTCGCCCACGTCTCCCACGATGCCCGGGTTTCCCTTGATGTCCGTGATACCCGTGCCACCCACATCGCCGACGTCTCCCATGACGCTCGCGTCTCGCGTGTCTCCCGTGATGCCTGCGTCTCTAGCCACGTTGGAGCCCGGTGTGGAGGTGTCCCTCTCTGTGGTCCTGGAGAACCGCGGCGTCGCGGCGTCATCCTTCTCAGTGTCAGCGCGTGACGAGCTGGGCTGGGCGAGTGCCGTGAGCCCCAGCAGCACCATGCTGGCACCGGGGGAGAGCGCCACACTCATCGTTACCGTGGCGGCGCCGCAGCACATCACCGAGTTCACCAGCAGGTGAGTGGGCGAGCATCGCGGGTACAATGGCATCAGAGATCATCGGCACACGATAACATCATCACATCGACATCACTGCACACACACTCCCTGTTCATGTGCGTGCCTGTGCATGTGTGCCTGCCTGTGTGTGCGGTAGTGTAGCGGTTAATGCGCAGCGCTACGAACCCCGCAGCCCGTGTTTGATTGCCGCTCGTGGCCAACACCAGTGATAGCGATTATCTGAACCAGTCCTGGGCCTTTCCTAGGTCGACCTACCTGAGCATGTGTGTGCCTGCCTATGTGTATGTTCCTACATGTGCGTATGCTTGCCTGTGTGCACGTACCTACTTGTGAGTGTGTTCATATATATGCCTGTACCTACCTGTGCGTGTGTACCTACCTGTGCGTGTGTACCTACCTGTGTGTGTGTGTGCCTGCGTGTGCGTGTTTGCAGCATGCTGCGCGTCACTGCCGAGAGCTTGGATTCTCCGGACTCCTCCTACACCCTCAGCTTTCCCCTGAGCGTCTTCATCGCTCCAGTGGAGGTGAGGAACGAAGACATCGCTCACCGGAGCACGACGACACTCACTGCATTGCTCACTACTTACATCCCTCACTCCAACACTCAGTCATTCCTCTATCCCTTACTCCCATCACTCACTGCCAGTACTACAATACTGAATATCCATTTGCGCCTTTCAGGAAAGCATAATACAATTAATAAGCAGAAAATGTACATCCTTCACAAATCCGTCTGTCCACATAGAAAATATAAAAGTAATATATTTTTCTCCTCGTCGTCGCCCAGATCCCGGACACGTCCCCCCCTGCGGTGCGAGAGCTGGCGCGGAATGTGTCGGCGTGCACGGCGGAGGTGCAGCACGGGGGTGAGGCACTGTGCTCGGCGAGCGGCTGGAGCGTCGACGTCGAAGCCATCGACGCCGAGATGGAGGGACCCCTCACTGTGAACATCGCTCTTGGGGACAGAAATGCGCTGCTAACCGTGGACAGCATCGGCGGAGTCTACAAGATTAATTATAGGTGTGGGGTGGGACGCACACGGGGAGGTGGGGGGCGGCGGGGGTTGATGGAGAGGGATGCGGGGAGAGATAGCGGGGCAAGGTAAATGGGGAAGGTGGGAGACAAAGGACACTGGGAGATGGGGGGACAAAGAGATGTGCGGGGAAATAGGAAGATACGGGAATACAGAGACAGTTGGAGACTGGGCACGCGAGGGGACGGGAACAGTGTGGATGAGACGAAACAGTCATGTCTCGTAAACCAATTCATCAGTATTAGTGACGGAAACATTGAGTGTATGGGTGAGTAGATGAGTCAGTGAGTTGTTCTGGTGGTTGAACACTGATATTGAGGCGAACCAGTCAAGCGTCTGCTAGAGACCGAGACCTCGACAGGGGTGGAGGAATCGACGAGTAAAGTCCACGGTAACCAAGGTGGTACCGACAGAAGTGTGATAAGGGTACCCACTTACCCCTTACACCTCACTCCCTACCCCTCACCCAGTGCCCGCTCACCTCGTCTCTCCCCTGGGCCCCGCAGGTCCTCGTGCTGCAGCCCATGGGTGACGCTGGACGTGAGTGATTTCATGGGGAACCTGGAGCGCTACTCTCTCGACTTCGCCGAGCCAATGCCGACAGAGGACACCACGGCGGAAGGCGGCAGGACGGTAGGGATGCACCCACACCACTACGTGCGGTCCGCTCTCCGATAGCTCGAGTCATCGCTTGCTGCACCGAGTAATCGCACAAGCATATAGGTGCATGAAGAGACCTTCTGCCTCTTTACGCTTTAAATAGAGGATTTGCCTGGTCAACATCAAATCTTACGGAGGTGGCTGGGTGGCTCAGGAGTTTGAGTATTGACCAGAACCGCCAAGCATCTGGATTAAAGCCCTTGGTCTGGGTGTCTTTTAGTTGGTTCATATTGGCTTTGTGAGAGATACATTGGACTGCTGACAGCCTGGGTGTCAATCGCGGTTTCAGCCACCAGTGGCTAAACTGGGTTCTCAAGTGCAACGGGTTGATAATCTCGGGCTGGTTTTACATAGACTCATTGCATAGAGACTCATAATTTGCATAGAGATTCAAAGACCCACGTAGACTAATAAGTGATTAAAGCAGGTTATCAAGTGTAGCGAGTAGATGGGCTCATCCTCATCACCAATGACTTAAATAGAGACTCAGCAGACTTACATAGTGACTAATAGACTCACATAATACCCATAGATTCCCACAGAGATTTATAGATCACACAGAGACGCATAGACTCACACAGACAAAAGTGGTGAATAACCCAGGTTCTTAAGTATAGCAGGTTGATTGTCTCAGCCCAGTTATAAATTACTAATACAGTAGAGAGACTCATAGGCTTACACAGAGGCCCATAAACTCACAAGAGACCCATACACTCACACAGACTGAGTAATGATGAACCTGGGTTCTCAAGTGGAGCGAGTTGATGGTCTCAGTCCGGTCACCACTGGCTAACACGTGTACCCGGCAGGCGATGGTGATCGCCTTGTCGGTGGTGAGCGTGGTGCTGGTCGTCATACTCATCGCGCTGGGAGTGGTCATCGGACGATACTGCTGCCGCTCCAAGCGGGCGGTGCAGCAGGATGCTACGCCCAGCATCATCACCAACCCCTGGACCAAGCCCATGCAGCGCCCTGATATGAAATAGCAACACTCAGCACAATCTACACACACCGCAATCCACACTCAGCACAGTCAGCCTACATCGAGCAAACCCCCCCACCCCCTTTCTCGGCGAGTTATTTTGCTCCTAATGTCTCCCATGCTCTGAAATCGCCGTGATTTTGAATAAAGGATTTGAGAAGTTGTGCTGCGGTGGTGTGGTGGATGGCTGTTGTTGCTATGCACCTCACACAAACATACCAATCTCACACACTCCTATCTTGTACTCACACGGATACATACCCCTATCACCTCCGATTAGCATGGTTGACTACATACAGTGTGAGAGAAGTTCAACATAATGTACATACATATCACACACACAGCTCCTGTGTTAGGAAGCCACTGGCGCTATGAAAACGAATTTATTTAGAACTGCTTTTTGTGTTTGTTGTCCTTTCCCCGCACATACTATTAGCACGGTTTGCTACATACGGTGTGAAAGAAGTTAATCTCCCAGAGTTTTGCATACACTCCCATCACACACACACACGTGCCACACTCCTATAAAAGATATCCCGTTTAGCCTTAACAGACTTTAGGAACAAGTTATGTTAGCGAGCACATATGAAATCCGGCATGGCACACGAGGGGGAGTGTGGCCAGCACCATGCCCAGCTGCCTTTGTATCCCAAGTAGCAATGTTTACACACCACCCCAGGTACTATTTTGTCATCATTGGTGTTGACCGTGAGCGGGAATCAAACCTGAGTCGCCTGGTTCGTAGAGCAGCACGCTAACTGCTGCACTACCACTCCCTACCAATATCCGCCATTCGCCACTAAGTGACGGTAACTTCACCACGGCCCCTGTCCTAGGCCAAGTGCACTTTGAGGCCACGTAAAGTGTCAAAGACTCGCTGGCAGGATGTCTCGGGACAGACCCAGGTGCCATGGGTTGACTGAGATGACTGGTAGATGCACCAGCTATACCCACTACTGTGCAAACTTGCAACATTTTAGCTGCTCATTGTGAGCGTTGCTCCTTTGCCCTCAGTTGTTGGAAGGCGACTGCCTCCAACTGCCCAACAGCGTCCTTCACGAGCCTCCTCCATCGATGCCGATCTTGACACCGCTGGTACCAGTCGTTGGCAAGCCCACTCAGCTCCACATCCTCCCGTACCGCATCAGTCCATCTCTTCTCCAGCCCATGTCGTACCCTTTTAGCCCCCTCTATGTGGCCAAACAGCTGCTTGGGCATGCGGTGGCCGGGCATGAGGGCTACATTACCCAGCCAACGCAGCCTTGCCTGCCTGAGGAGCTCACTGATGGGAATGTGTCTAGATCTTTCAAGGATTTGTGAGCTCCTCACAATCCAGCCTGGTTAAACCCAGGATGGATCGTAGGCAGGCCAGCCTCAATGTTTCTCACCGGCGCAGATGTTCCACAAGCATATAGAAGGGAAGGCATGACTGGCAGAGAAGACTCGAAGCTTCATGCGAAGCAACAGACCAGGTAGCTTCCACAGCATTACGCAGCTGATGAAAATATGCCGCCCGACTGATTCGGAATGAGGCCTCTGCTGTCAAACCGGAGCTGGTCATAAGCACACTCTTCAGGTATGGAAAAATCTCCACTCCACAACTGCTCCATCACCAATGGGGAGCTGAGGGGGTGGAGTGTTTGGTGGCATAGAATACTAAGCGGCACACTCCAGGTTCAGCAACAGTGCCTCAAACTCCTCCTGAGTGAGCAGCAATCACCAGATCATCAGCATACGTAACATGGTTGACCAATAAGGAGCCATCCCCCGTCCGCACCTGGGCATCGATCAGCCTCCCATTGTATCTGCTGTACCAGATGAGAATTCCTCCGATACAGCCACGGAACGCTTCTCAAACTACGTGGTCAAAGATGATGTTAAGTAATGTGGGAGCCAGAGGACATCCCTGTCTCGCCCCAAAGTGAACAGGGAATGGCTCTGACTCCTGGCCACGTAGCTTTATCCGGGCCTGCACACCATCATGAAGGCCCTTAATGATTGTAAGCAGAGTTAGGAACTCTGAAAGTAAGAAGAACTACCCACAGTGCTGGCCTGTTGATGGTATCATAGGCCTTGACCAGGTCAGTAATGCAGAGATGTAGGTCTTCCTGTAATTCTCTACACCTCTGCTGTAGAAGATATATAATATGGCATCCGTGCAGGACCGGTCTGAAACCTTATTGGGGCTCCGCAAGCCTCTCAGTGTGCCTGGTAAGGCAATGTTGAATAATCCTTGCCAGAACCTTTCCCGGTACACTGAGAAGAGAGATGCCCCTATAGTTGTTACAATCTGTGTGGTCCCCCTTTAAAGAGGGGGACCACCAGGGCGGGTGCCGCAGGATTGGAAGGGCATTCTTCCAATCCTGCGGAACCCGTCCTGTAGTCCAGAGAGTTGTGATGATGTCATGTAGGGCAGTCTTCATAGCATTTCACTTGGGAGATCGTCTCTGCCCGGCGCTTGTCCTGGTCTCAGACCCAGGATCGCCCCTCGCACTTCCTCCACAGATGGCACCTCAGTTAACCATTCAGAAGGGGTGGCTACTTCTGTCAATATTTGAGGCATGGCAGCCATAGCAGGGTCGTCACCACCTTGCCCCACGATGTCGGGGCAGAGGGAATTCCCCTCCCCCAAGATCTCACAAAAAACTCTGTAAACCTGCAGACCTGTTCCTGGGGGTCGGAGATCGGATTACCGTTCTTTCCCTTGATTTGTGATTGCGGGCTACTGAGGCAGATTCCATCTCCTAGCAACCTGCGCCCACCACTCATCCTTGCAACGCCGCACGGCTCTCTGGATCTTCAAGCGAAGGCTGCGGTAAGCCTCCTCATTCTCCGGGAGTGGGCCTGTCGTTTTCTCTCAACCATCCGGAACACCTCCTCCTTCAGCCAGGGTCTCCGGGGAGGTCTGAACCACGTACCCAATGCAGCCGTTGCAGCTGCACGAGCAGCAGTCCTGAACCTCACCCGTTTCCCCTCAGCATCAGAACGAGAGGGGGGGGGGGGGGGGGGGAAGCGAACCCCAGCTGCAGTTCACACGCACGTAGACATACACACAGATAATCGCTGCTGCCACTGGTATTGGTGGTGGTGGCCGCGGGCGGGATTCGAACTCGGGTCTCCGCTGGCTTCGTAGCAGCGCAGCGACGCTGACTGCCGTGCCACCAGCTCCCCCCCCCCCGGCCCCCCCCGCCAACCTGCGCGCATGCACGAGTGAGCGAACACGATGACGTCATCGTAGGGCCAGCTGTAGTCCGGGGGGGGCGGGTGGAACGCCAGCGCCCCCGCGTCAGACTCTCCCACGTGCAGGAGCAGCGCCGAGTGCAGCATCGGCACGCGGTGGCAACCGCGGCGCCGCCGCTCCCGCAGCTGCTGCAGGTACTCGGCCGTGCGGCGGTAGTAGCCCTGGAGGGGGGGGGGCACGGAGAGTGGGGGGCTGGGGTGAGGCTACGGTGGGTGCAGTGGGGGGCTTGCAGGTCAGAGGTCGGAGCCACGGAGTCCGCACTGCTGACAACCTGGGTTCCAGTCCCGGTTCCAGTCCGGGTTCGACGATGTCGACGATGATGACGACGTTGGCGACGGCGCTCACCTTGTCGGTGATGCCGCTCCAGTAGTTGGAGTAGGCGGTGCGCGACGTCAGCATGGGCCCCCCCACGGCCCGCCGCTCCCCCACCAGGAACCCCAGCGTGGCGGGGTTCCACAGCACCACGTCGGCATCCACCAGCTACGGGGGGGGGGGGTAGGGGGGGCAGGGGGATGAATGGGAGCAGGAGGGGGAGCCTAGGCTGTGTCTAAGGTGCATGCACCGAGCACCACACGGCCGGGCGTGCTGCTGTCCACTCTCCCACTCTCATGCCGTGCCGGCCTTCATAGGTGCTCGCGAACAGCACTTGCCCCAACAGTCTGTTACTGGCTACGCGGGGGATCTGTGTCTTTGTAGGTGTGTGTGCGCGTGCGTGCGTCACACTCACGAACACGAACTCTGCTCCCAGGCTCCTGGCCGTGTCGAGCGCCTCCTGGCGCAGGCTCAGCACGTGCTGGAAGCGAGCACGTGACCAAGGACCCCCCCCCCCCCCCCCCGTGTAGCCTTAAAAGACTGTTGGCGCAAGTGCCGTTAGCGAGCACCTATGAAGGCTGACACTGTGGCACACGAGGGGGTGGGTGGCCAACACCAAGCCCGGCCGCCTTTGTCTCCCTAGTGACGATGTTTACACACCGCACCAGGGACTCTCTTGAGTCGACCTAGGGTCCTAGGCAAACCGACTCACATATATACCTGTCTGTATGCACAGGTAGACAGACAGGTAGATAAAACAGACAGGTGGATAGACAGGCGGAGACTCCGCGTTCGGCTTGCGGTTGACGAAATGTTAGCCGCGGACATTATTCCACCGTCCACCAGTCCATGGGGAGCACCAATTGTACTCGTCAGAAAGCACGATGGTAGCTTGCGCTTTTGTGTTGACTTCCGTAAGTTTTATAAGGTCTCTGTCGCTGATGCGTACCCTTTACCTGGAATGGATGACTCATTGGATGCTCTAGCCGGAGCGCGGTTCTTTTCCACTCTTGATCTCCTATCCGGGTTCTGGCATTTGCCACTAGACGAAGCCTCTAAGCCCAAGACATCCTTTCGTACACCACAAGGCTTGTTCGAATTCAATCGGCTTCCGATGGGTCTTCATTCCGCGCCGGCCACGTTCCAGCAATTAATGGAACTGGTCCTGGCTGGTCTCCAGTGAGACTCGTACTTCATATGGCTCGACGATGTCATCGTTTTCAGCCGTACGTTTGACGAACACCTGGAACAACTACGCGCTGTCTTTCTCAAAATGCGTGCGGCCAACCTGAAATTTAAACCGCAGAAATGTCACTTCTTCCAGAAATCGGTTTGGTATCTTGGCCACGTAGTAAGTGATTCGGGTATTGCGACTGACCCAGACAAAACCGCGTGTGTTCGAACTTGGCTGACCCCCACGTGGGGGACGTACGCAGTTTCATAGGATTTGCGTCCTATTACCGCCGTTTTGTCCCCGGGTTTGCTACCATCGCTAAGCCTCTCCACGCCTTGATGGCTAAGGGTCATGAATTCCATTGGGGGGAGGAGGTCGCATTTGTTGCGCTCCGGGATGGCTTGGTGAATGCCCCTCCCCTCCGCTACTTCGATTTTTCGTTGCCATTTGTCCTTGATACGGACGCCAGTAACACCGGAATTGGAGCTGTTTAGTCCCAAGTTGTCAATGGCATCGAGAGCGTTGTCGCATACGTCAGCAGGGTGCTGTCTCCGGCCTAACAATGGTATTGTGTCACGCGCCGGGAACTGTTAGCCATTGTGATTTTTGTGCAACAGTATCGTCCCTATTTGTATGGTAGGCACTTTGAAGTGCGCTCTGACCACGCAGCGCTACAATCCACGCTGCGTGTTGACCAAGCCATCTGGCCAACTTTCACGCTGGTTGGAGTCCCCCACGATTACTCCTTTAAGGTTACTATCGCAAGTGCTCCCGTCACACGAACGCTGACGCCCTGTCGCGATTGCCAACGAGCGGCGGGTGCGCCATCTTTTCGGATTCCTGGCTCTGTAAGCCAGTCGCCGAACCCTCATCCCCTCCCCTCGCGGCGTCGGCCCACGTGGTAACATCTGAGTTGGCCGAGGGTCCGGCGGCGCGTGATGCTGTCATTGGGTTGGACCATGCAGAATGGGGGTGCCGCCTCCAGGTGGAGGACGCTTCCCTGCTAAAATTGCACCGCCGTGTCAGAGAGCCTGAGGGGGGCGAGGATCGACGGGGTGTCGCCTCTGTCATTCTTAAAGGCGGATTGCTTATGCATGTGGAAGGATGGTTGCGCCAATACAACATCATTGCTCTGCGGGGCAAGTTCATTTGGGCGGTACACGAGCGCTTGTTGCACCTAGGTATGCATAAGACGCTGGCCACACTCAAGTTGGACTTCTTCTGGCCTAGTATGGCTGAGGATGTCACTAATTTGTTGAAAGGGTGTGAGCAGTGCGCACAGCGGAAGCCGCCAGTTTCCCGCGTGAACGAATTAGTTACGCTCGACATCCTTGGTCCATTTCCCACTACCCCTCATGGGAATAAGTACTTGCTGGTGGGAGTCGAGTATTTTTCACAATGGCCTGTGGCCTAACCGCTCCCCAACCAGTCAGCGGCGACGATTACTGAAGCATTCTTCAATGGCTATGTAATGGACAAGGGTGCTCCCGGACGTCTTCTGACTGATCAGGGCAAAAATATATCCTCAAAGATGTTGCAGGTGTGCGATTTTTTGGGAACAAAGGTACGCACGTCACTGTACCACCCGCAGACGGATGGCATGGTTGAGCGCCTACACAGGACTCTGACGTCCATGTTGAGCCACCAGGTCAGCGAGTCCCAACTCGACTGGGATTTACATATTCTGCATATAGGATGGCCCCTCACGCATCCACCGGCTACTCACCGTTTTTTTAATGTACGGGAGAGAACACGGCCCCCCGATTGATGCAGGCCGCGCCCAACAAAGCTAAATCCAAAATTTCTGACTCTGTGCGTTTCACCCGTCAGAAGCTTTCCGAAGCGCGGGAAGCCTCTAGGGTTAATTCTGATTTGTGCCAATTGGCCAATGAGCAGCTGAGGGGTTCACGTGTTTCTACACATGAGTGGGCACCTGGGGACAGAGCCTGATTGTACTGTCCACAGGTACCGGTGGGTACGTCGTCCAAATTGTTCAAACCTTGCAGAGGACCGGTCGATGTGATTCAGGTCGTTCGGCCATAGTGTGTCCAGATCCGCTTTGTGCGGCAGAGTTGGTTTGTGCATCCCTCGTGCCTCAAGCCTTTTATTGCGCCGTGCAAGTTCATTCCATCTCCACACTGCAGGCGCCGTCTCCACTGGATTGGGGAGAGGAGAACCCGTCGACCCGGCCTACTGCTCTTCGTGAGGAGTCGGGCTCGACGGGACAATTGCATATTCCCTCAGGAACCTCCAGGGAGAGCGAGTCCACCTCCCCTAGAGGCCCGGCCACGAGAACTCGTTCTAAAACTCTTCGGGTTTCATGATCCCCACGCACACACACTCCCACTCCCTCAGTTGGTTGTCGATAAGCCGTATCGGTTATTGGCTGAACCTAACCCTTATGATGCTTGCGGGTGTTGTTACACGGTGAGGGTGTGAGATGTTGGCCATGAAGGGGATTCCGGGCGTTTGCGGTTCACTGCACTGTTTTTTTGTCTCTCGTATTGCTCTGTACTCACACCCTTTTCCCCGTTGTTAATATACATTTGTAGGTAGTGTAAATATTGTATAGGTGGGTTTGGGTATTTAATTGGTAATTGATATTATTCATTGTTGAGGCACACATACCGTTAATCATTTTTTTATCACTTTATCACCTTACTCACTTAGTTCGTTTTAAAGGGGAGTTGACCGCTGGGACAGCTGAGTGCTACGGAGGGGGGGGGGGGGTGATGTAGTGACATCGCGGATGTCACTGTGTAGTACCAGCCCTAGAGGGAGCTCGATGAGCGCTGGGATAGCGCAGTGGCACCACGCGTCGCGTGTCGTGCTGACTCCTACAGGAGGGAGTGGGAGTGACAGCCATGGGATAAGGTTACCCTAGGCCATGGCACTCTGCTGGACCCTGGAAGGCACATGACCAGTAAGATCTATACAAGGGCCCCAGGAGGAGGCTTGGGTGTGGTCACGTGTCAGGGTAAGATCCTTACGGGAAGGGTCGAGAAACGGCCATAGCTTTCTCGAAGGTGGTCGTGGCCAAGCACGGGGCCAGCCACGACCCAGCAGCGTATAAACCGGGTTCGCACAGGGACCGGGGTTTAGCGTTGCTGCCGTCATCTGAAGATCTACGATCTACGTTCTACGTCCAAGAAGAAGTCACCAACACGTGGACGAGGACTCCAGCTAGGCTCCTGTCCATTGTAGCTACTCCCAGTAACAAGCGTAGTTAGCCTGGTGGTCCACCAGCATAGATTATCTGGTAAAGGGGCAGTAACCCCTTTGTGTTATGTGTTGGTACAGTATTAATAAATGTGTTGCCTCCTAGAAGTACGTCAGCGACTCAGTTGAATCCACTATAAATACTCTGCCATCGGGGGGGTAAGATGCTATACTCTTTGGTTTTATTCGGTAAAGTTCTATGTTTGGCTGTGGCGTCAGCAATTATTGCGATTTCACACCCTGCACATTGACGTACATGGCCAAGGTTTACCGCTCGTCAGCGACCTTTGCCCCCCGATTGAGCAGTATAGACGAGGTGGTTCACTCTTTGTAGGCATGCGAACTTGTAATATTTTTAGTGCCCTGCTGCGCCAACCACCACGAAAAAAAGGGTTGTCACTCTGATCACACCAGGCACGCTCATTACACACATCACGTCGACTGCACGCACGACTCATTACACGTCAAATATACAGTATCACTAAATTGCAATCACGACAATCACGACAATCACCGTGCGCATCACACCCATCACACATCTATATACCGTATATAAAAGGGAAATTTGTGAATGTGTGACTGTTCGAAATGTTTAGCATACTTCCCGACATGCAACAAACGTGAAATTTGGCATGTGGGTAGCTTCCAGACTGTACACCATGGAAAAAGTATAAAAATAGACTTTAGTATTTTGGGGGGGGGGATGACCGTGAAGTGTGTGGCGTCAACCAGCATACAGGACTGGCGAGAATCGATATCTCGTGAGCGTTTGTGGTATCGATTAAACGGGAATAGGCCGATTCTAAAGAAATCTACAACCTTCGATTCCTTTGAGCGATTTAAAGAATCGAATCTTGGCGCGCGAGCGTAAGTTTTTTTTCCCACCGCGCGTTGGGTTTTATTTTAATTAATGAGGTAATGATCAAAGTTTTATTTTCGTTTATCATTAAATTGCTTTAAAACGATATAGTTATATGATTTATAAAGATTAGGGTTATTGTGTGCAAATTTACATGTAGCACGTTAAACTTGTTTTTCCCCTTAAGTAACATGCCTAACGGTACAATGCGTAAAATAATATTTAGGTAAATTATTCTTGCAAGTACTTTTAATTCTTCCCTATAAAAGTTAATTTTTGTCCGTCTGTGTGTCTCTTCGTCTGTGTACGCAACTTGCGACGCCTTTAACTCACAAACTCGGATTTACATTTCTAACTTTAAAGTAGTTAAATTGACAACTTAGTACTATAAATTATTATATTACTACGCTGAGCGCGCGCCAAAGCACGCATCTTCGCATGCACGAAACGTCGTGGTTCCCATAGCAAAAAAAATCTCATTCGACTTAATGCAAACAAAAAAAACTCCTTTAAAATATATATTTTTTAAAGCAACGGTTTATAAACAACTTCGTTTAAATTCTGATTTAAAGCTTTCGTGACTGCAGGCATTCGTATTCTTGGTTCTTTCGGTAAAGTCACCCACGTAGAAGGGGAAACAATAAAATAATAAAAATATAAAACAATAAAATTCTCACGACGTTTCGACTGCAACACAAGCAATCATCATCAGGTGTGAAAACCACGGCGAGAACATTCGAGAAGTGCGTCACTGGCGCCTGAGACACGCGGCGCCCGCGTTTTGTGCGAGCCGATTCCACAGTTTAGGGACCGCGGCGTTTTTAACCAACACACAAATATATATAAATAATAAGGCGTCCATACAAAATGTAAATTGCTTTAAAGTAGCGAATTAATTGATGTGGGTTTTGATACAGGCATGCATTGTCACCGGATCTGAGTACGCGTGCAAAATGTGGAATTGATTGGACAACGGGAAGTGGACGAAATTTTTTTTACAAGATTTGACCCAGACAGAGGAATCAAGTTAACAAAAACCGTTGACAAAGACACACAACGCTGAGGTAATTCTTCAAAGTGTGATGTCCTCTTCTCCCCCTCCCACCCCAATGTGTGCAGTTACTACTATAGTCAGTATATCCTGCTGCAGAGTCGGTAGATACGACTATAGAGTCAGTAGATACTGCTATAGAGTCTGCAGATACTACTACAGAGTCTGCAGATACTACTACAGAGTCAGCAGATACTACTAGGGAGTTAGTAGTTACTACTATAGTCAGTAGATACTACTATTGAGTCAATAGATACCACTATAGATTCAGTAGGTACTACTATAGTCATTAGATACTACTGCAGAGTCAGTAGTTATTACTGTAAAGCCAGATACTACTATAGAGTCACTAGATACTATATATGCCTAAGCGGGGGTAAAAATATTTTTTGAGGGTGGTGGGGGGGTCGACAATTTTTGTAAACCTTTTAGATCAACTATTTACGGACGGACAAATGGACGGACAAACCGCACGCCAGGCTTTCACAATAGCTTAGTATTTGTGTATGTATATGTTATGTTTTTAAGTTTTGAGAAGTTTTTAATTATATTTTTTGCCGCCGGGTACAACAAAACCCGTCGTTCTTCACTACGTGGCGGGGACGTTACCACAGCGCTTGTGCCAGGCTAGGTGCAATTTGAGGCCACTTTAAGCGTCGAAGGCTCTCTGCTGGAAGGATGTCATGGGACAGAACAAGGTGTTATGGGTTAACTTAGATGACTGACAGATGCACCAAGTGCTCACCATTTTCCCAACTCACTTGATTTTAGATGTGCTCGTTGTTTTTGGAGCGATTGCCATGTTTCATAATGCCACCGTGTCTTCCTGTGTTTCTGTCTTTAACGTGTCGCCCTGTCAGTGTCTCTCTGGCTCGCTCCCCCACCCCCTCTCTCTCCCTCCCGGTGTCTCCCTGTGTCCCCATGCGCCCCCCTCGCCACCCCATCTCTCTCTATCTGTATCCCCACGATCCCCGGAGTTCCGCCCGTCTCCCCCGACGTCTCCCCCACTCACACCACGGTGCCAGGGTACGCGAGACCCCCTAGCCGGCTCCACAGCGCCAGCGCCGTGAGCAGCACGAGGCCCACGTCCATCTCGGCGCTCAGCCGCACGGACAGAGGCCGCTTGGGCAGTGCCAGAGTAGTCTCCATGCCTCCCCGAAGCGCGGCGGCCGCGATTCGTGGTCCTTCTTTCCAAGCGCAACGACCTCGCCTGGCTCCAATGCCCGAACCACGCAGTGAGAGCCGGGGGACGGGGCAGGCTTCTGATCCCCTTGGGAAGCAGGCCGGAGGAAGTTGAAGGGCGTTACGGTAGCCGCGATGCAGACCCCGTATTCTTGTACAGGGAAATTGAGTTTTCAGGTCCATGCGGCGTACAGCCGTTTCAATGCGGACAAAAAAAGTGGTTTATTTGTTTGTGTTTCTTCCTTGTGATGGGACTTTGTAGGATGAACGTTGAGATTTATAATGCAAATAACCAATAGCCATTTAACGTGGCACTTAAGTACAAATTACCAGTCACAGCGAGGAGGTGTATAATTCAGTTAACACGTAGAAATTACAAACGTAAATGAAATGCCACGCACTACTTCATTTGGACGCATAATTTCCCACTCATTTTTTCCAGATCCACTGGTGAGACTCGAGTAAAATGAACACCAGTAGCCACGGCCATAGCGAGGAGAGGTATGCGGGACGTGGTGTGCTGGGTAGGGAAATACGTTTACGAGTCGCCGATTCCGACTGAGCCAGCTGACGCGAAGCCGTGCGTGCTAACACGTGTGACACCCACACGCCACACGTGTGTGGGTGTGACACCCACACATGTGTGGCGTGTATTTGACGGGAGAAGTGTGAATTTCAAAAGTAAATTTGGGGACAGCTTTTGTTCCTGGAAATGTATTTCAGTTAATATCCGATGTTTGTGCACTGTTTTCCATTTATACTCTGAACGAAGTTATTTTTGCACCAATTTATATCTGGTTTGATTTCTATCCCATTGTTATCTTGGTCATTTTTGTTGCATTGCTGTGCTAGTTTTTATCTTTAAAAAAAAGTAAGTTTTGTGATCCGGGTGATTTTGGCCAACGAGACTCATCCTCGTACCTCGGAGTGCTCACCCGGTTACACAAAATAAACTTGAGCCACCAAAACGCGCGTTTCACATTAATCCGTCACAAGTGTCTACTGATTGCCGAAGGCGGACCGCGCAATGATTAACCAGCCGACTCCACCTCGCCCAAGGTTTATGACCTCTTATTTTTAACAACAATAACAACTCCACAAATTCATCATCAACAAACGCCAGATGATCCGAAAGTTGCACCACCGGACTCCTGAATGAGATCACATCAGCCCAGCGCTCCAATCCATCCACTGGCTCCCAATCCCATCCCAAATCAGTTTCAAGATCGTGATCTCCGTCTTCAAGATCCTCCGTGGACTCGCCCCTGGAAACTTCTCCCCTCTCACCTCACGCTACCCCCCCACCCCACTCTCATATCTCTTCCCTCACGCTACTCCCCTCCCCGTACTCTTCTACCTCTCCCTCTCATCTCACTCTACTCCCCTCCACGCACTCTCCTACCTCTCCCTCTCATCTCACTCTACTCCCCTCCACACACTCTCCTACCCCTAACTTCTCATCTCACTCTACTCCCCTCCACGCACTCTCCTACCTCTCCCCTCACTCTACTCCCCTCCAAGTTTTCTCAGCTCCAGCACTCAAGTTGTTTTGCGGATGCCTCCAGCCAACCTTTGCTTAGTGGAAGGTCGCTCATTCTCCTCTGCTGACCTCGTCATCTGAAGCTCCCTTCCCCCGGCCATCCGTGCTGTTGACTCCCTGCCTGCCCCTGTTAAAGTCCAGATTCAGCTCCTTTACTGCATACTCTCAAGCCTAAATATAGGGTTTTTTTCAGACGAAACAACGTTTTTCAACAATATTAAACAAATTTAGATTTAAAGCTTTCGTGACTGCAGGGATTCATATTCTTGGTTCTATCGGTAAAGTCACGTAGAAGGGAAACCATAGAATATTTTTATTATTTTATTGTTTCCCTTCTACGTGACTTTACCGAAAGAACCAAGAATATAATATTAAACAACCCCCCCGCGTTGAAGTCCGTTTAAACGTCATAAAATATGACGAACTTGCTTTTTTCTCTACTCACGTACATTCTGAACAGTTGTGCAATGGGCAGTACTATACTATATACTGCATACAAATGGTGTTTGTGAACAGTAAAACATATATTGACCATGGTAAATCGTTCAACATATAAAGGTGCAGCACTGCAGTTGCCTAGTCACGCCACTGCTGGTGGAAAAGGGCCTCCACTACAGGGAGCTGCGGATAGCTTATCTAGAGGTAGAGTTATTGAGCCTACTCTTCCCCGCTGGTCAGTACGTATTGGAAGAGGTTGGGAGTACCCACACTTTACCCCACCACACGCAACCTATCTGATCGACTAACTGGTGTAGCCAATATACTCATGGGTACAACGAGACGACCGGTGCTGGGTGAGGGTGTAGTGAGTTAAGGGTCTCAGTCCGATCATAAATTACTTACAAAGAGAACCCATGTATTTAAATAGAGACGCCTTGACCTGGCAAGTCCTGGTGCAGATCACCCATCTGAGCATTAACCAGAGATTCAGGTCTCCCTTGTAAAATGTATGTATGTTAAACTTCTTTCGCACCCTACGTAGCCAACCGTGTTAATTGGAGGTGCGGTGAAAGGACAACAAAATAGACATTTATCATTAAGGGAATAAGAAATAGTCTGCCAGTAGGGAGCGGTGTTGCCATGTGACTTTTTGATGAAAACCCTGGCTTAACTATATAAATAAATAAAGACCTTAATTTCTGTGTCTCGACCTCTCGGGTACTTCTCGACAAGGTAGAAAGTAGAAATGTGGTACATAGGTAGCTTTTAGGACATAAACCACAGGAAAAAATCTGAAAATCCGAGATTTTTAATTTTAAGGCCCACAAATCTCTATTTTAAGTGCCCCGTAACATGTTTGTGCGTGTCATTCAAAAACCGTTCAAAATATAAGATTGCGTTAAACAGCAACTACAATTAAAGCAATAACCATTGTTCTACGTTTTATTGTTTTTGCGATATTTATTGGCCCTATGTCCGACGGATAAGAGACACGGGGCCAAGGTCCAGGCAGTGAAGACACCAGAGTAATACTGGCCCTGCTCAGAACCAGATCCAGGCTGTGTGTGTGTCACATTGGCACATCACTCACTAATACGTCAACCGCACAATTCCGACAACCCTCTCTTGAAATCCTTCACCCGTCAGAGTCTCACAGATTGCACCTGCCTAAATAATCTTACCCATCAGCTTTGTCACTCACGCTCACAATCACCCACACCTGCCTGTGCGTCCATCGCTCGCTAACCATGACCTTCGCCGTGCCCTTCGCCTTGACCCTGATCTTCACCCTGACCCTGGTCCGTGACCCCGCCGCGGGGTTCTACCCGAACCAGGCCTCCCTGGGCACGTATCTGGCCAACCACACGGACGAGTCCGTGACGGAGACCGGGGCACTGAGGGCTGTGGCGAAGTTCCTCGAGGGCAAAGCGGGACTCGCGCCGGGTGCCTTGGAGGGTCTCTCGCCGCTCACGCCGGCCACGCTCATCGCGGCGTACTACCAAGGTGAGAAGGTGCGGGGAGGTGATGGGAGCGGGTCGGTGTGGTGATGGTGGGGGGAAGGTGAGGGGGATAAGGGATGCGCCGCAGGGAGATATCGGGAGGCTATGGGAGAGACGCTTTGGAGATGAAGGACGAGAGGGGAGAGAGGAGAGGTGGTGAGATGGTTGTGAAGGGATTGATCGGCGGGAAGGTGAAACTTCAACAATGATTTTTTTTTTAACATAGCGCCCTACGGGGTCTCAGTGCGCTTCATCACATCACATCTCTACGCGTGTGGCAGGGCACCCCCGAGTGGCAAGTTGTCCCTTTGACCTGCAAGCGCGCATTCGTCTGCTGCTAGTAGGGTGGGATGACTGCTGCTGCTGCTGTGTATCATCACAATTGAGTCGTGTGCTGTGTATCTTTTTCTAACGTTATGTGTACGATGATGCCGGGACACAACGGCATACTCTTGCGTTCAACACGCCGGTGTTTAAATTCACAGCGAAGTATTAACTGGGGCGGCTGCTAGATGTGAACCGTGAACCTCTTGCAACGAGCGGCGACCACGATACCGCGTGAGGGGATTAATTGGTGAGGCGAGAGATGGTGGTGAGGTGAGGTAGTTAAATTATTAATTGTCGAGACGAGAGTTGGTGAGGCATTGTGAGACACGGGGTGGTGAGGTGAGAGATGGTGAGGAGATTGGTGGGAAGGTGAGGCTTTGTGAGATGCGGGGTGGTGAGGTGAGAGATGGTGAGGGGATTGGTGGGAAGGTGAGGCATTGTGAGACACGGGGTGGTGAGGGGATTTATTGTTGAGGTGAGTGATGGTGAGGCTTGGTGGTGAGTGACCCGTCTCTGATCCCCCTCTTGCTAGCTAACGTGTCGGCGGTGAGGTTCGTCAAGGCTCTGCAGGAGGTGGTGGACGGAAACAACTTAATGGAACAGGGCTATTCCGACATCACCCCCTACTTCGCTTACTGCGAGAAACTACTAGACAGTAGGTTCTGTGGGGGACTTGGGTCCCCTCTCGCACCCCTGCCACCATGATCCACATCCCCCCTCATCCCCCCTCATCATCATCCCCTTACCGCGGGGGTTCCCATTCTCACCTCTCCCCTCTTCTATGCCCCCGCCGCGAGTACACAGGTGGGTGAGTACACGGCTGGGTGAGTACACAGGTGGGTGAGTACACAGGTGGGTGAGTACACTGGTGGGTGAGTACACAGGTGGGCAAGTACATGGGTAGGCGAGTACACGGGTGGGTGAGTACACGGGTGGGTGAGTACACGGGTGGGTGAGTGCACAGGTGAGTGAGTACACGGGTGGGTGAGTGCACGGCTGGGTGAGTACACGGGCGGGTGAGTACACGGGTGGGTGAGTGCACGGGTGGGTGAGTGCACGGGCGGGTGAGTACACGGGTGGGTGAGTACACGGCTGGGTGAATACACGGCTGGGTGAGTACACGGCTGGGTGAGTACACGGCTGGGTGAGTGTGAGGAGACGCACGCACTTGTATGTTGTAAATCATTTAAATTTTCGACGTGATAATTGACAACAGCCTCCACCGAATAGGCCCTGCTGCCTCGGTCATGCTCATCCCCTAGGTCGACTCAGCCTCAAATGAGTACCTGGTGTGGTGTGTAAACATTGCCACCGGGGAGACAAAGACGACCGGGCGTGGTGCTGGCCACCCACCCCCTCGTGTGCCGTGCCGGCCTTCATAGGTGCTCGCTAACAGCACTTGCCGCAACAGTCTGTTAAGGCTATAGGGAGGATCTTTGTCTTTAGATAAGTTGTGAGTACACTCACGGTTTTGTATGTTATATATCATTTCATTTTTCGAAATCACGCTAGGAAGGTACACTGCCCAAAACGTCATCTATTATATATTGATACCCACTCCAACAAAACATCTTAACACTGGTTTTATTTCCAGAAATGGTATAGCCTATTCTTATTTTTCATACTTTGAGACGACCAAAATTGTCTCAAGGATATAACTGCTCACCCCGAGTTATAAATGTTCTGATATGTGCATAGGCTTTGAACTGTTGGCATTTTGGCATTGATCTCTGGTCTGACACTGGTGAGACTAGGCCATAAAAAGGCTGTCTCAAGTGTAGGCAAATCCGTTTCAAAGACAATGCATATATTATCAGATCATGTTTGCATATTCACCATAAGTACGTGTGGTTAATGCATACTTTATTCCTAGCTAAATGTATATATTTGTTGTTTGAACATCTTAACACTCGCTTAATTGCCAGAAAAGGTCAAACCTATTCGTATTATGTTTCCACCTAAAGGGCCCTGCAGCCTTGGCTTGGTCTTATGGCTTTACACTCAGGGCCATTGTGTGTGCTTGTGTCTGTGTGTGTGCAGCAAGAGGGGAGTTGGGCAAGTTCCGCACAATTGCCATGACCTATGCGAACTCGAGCAATCCAGCCCTGGCGAGGAAGAGCCTGGGTCAAATGCTGCACATTCTCAACAAGTTCTACTCCAACACCAACTGGATCGAGCAGGGCAACCTGATCCCCCTGGAGGCCCTGGGTACGTGGGGTGCAGGGGTCGTGCCCGCCTGTACACGACACTCACCAGTGTGTCCAACCTTGTTCCACTCGCCCACTGCTGTGGTGACCCCCATACCACATACTCACCCATTTGTTAGCCCTGTAGCACCTTCTCACCAGGGTCCCACACCTTTAAAAAAACTTTTCCACTTTTTTCCTTAATTCCCACATATATGGTATATGTTGGGTGTTTTCCCCCCAATCCTCTATCTGTAGGGGTCACTCACGGGTCCCATGACACCTACATCTAACCTCAGCGTGCCCCCGCACGACCTCTACCAATATATTGGTGGGGTACAAAGACTCGTGAGGGGGTTTTGGGGAAGGGGGTATCAAGCTCATCAGTGCACGGCAGGCGCCCAGTGTGGCGAGCCCTCACTTTTTTGTAAGGCGGGGAAAGCTGATACAGGTTTCCTGCGCTTTGTGCGATTTTACGTATGTACGCTGCTAACTTATTTCTACCCATTAATTTACTATAATATGCGGTTTGAATTGTCCCGGCTATGCGGTTGGACATGGGACATTGCGTCTAGTCTACTGCATTGTACGCGCTACTCGGCAGGCATGTCATCTCGGCGTGCGGTGCATTGTAGGTTGGGTGGTTGAGGTCCATGGTACGCGATTTCGCTTTGTTTACCCCTTTTTTGGATTTAATCTACCCGCATAGAGTGAGGGAAACATGCAATGGGATGCCTCGTTTGAAGATCCACTCAACGGCTTCCTGAGATGCTAATTGGATAAATGAAGTGCTGCCCGCAACAGATGTTAGTGGGCAGGTTGATAGCGATACGTTCTATGGTCTGGGACGCCATGACCACATTCGCGCTGGGGATCGTCCATCATCATTGCCCAGAAAAAAACACAAAACGCACACGAGCCAGCGCCTCCTAGCGGCTCTGTGAATGCGGAGCGCAGCACAAATCACTTTCACAGCACGGGGTAAGGGGGGCCCACTCCATAGCATCAATCTGGACTTTAGAACAGCGGTTCCCAACTCTTTCGAGTGTGCAGACCCCTTTTCAGCCTCCAAACGTTTCGCAGACCACCACATGCTAATTGCTGTTTGAAACACATTCCTGCAGAGTTCATTTTTAGTTCATTTATTTGGTATAGCCCTGTGAGCCATTCGGCTCTTGAATCGGGTACAACCGCAACAAACAAAAACATGAACAAGAAAACATCTTAAAGTGATTATGTGACTGTGCAAACAGAAAATCCAGGAAAAAAAACATCAAAATATTCCTGAAATAGCACCGTACACCAACGCTGTGTGCAAAAATCCCAATTGGATGCAAGTCAAATAACAACAACAACCACAAGACAACTAAGATTAAGGCCATCAGTCTAACTCCTTACTGCAATAAACAAAAACATGGCCAAAAACCAAAAAAACTTTTAAAAATCACCAAAATAAAAGCCATAAATGCAATGTAACAGTGATCATAGGGACTGTGACCGAATTTTTAACAATAAACTACATAAATAAATTATAACACCAAAATCTAGAGCCATATTTTAGGCCACTGAATAGCAGTGGCAGCTAGGGGTGTACAACTTTTCTAGAGCAGTTTTGAGTGAAGATCTCAAAGGTAGTTATTCAAGTTGCAGTTTATTGGCAATAGCATTCCAGACCCTGGGGGCATCAATAGCAAAGGCCCTTTCTCCGGATTTTGTACGGCAATAGGGAATGTGAAGCTGGTAAATGAGCAAAGACCTGAGGTCAAATTTGTTCTCTGAAACAGAGAGGAGATCCAGTAGGTAGTCTGCGGATTTTTTTGTAAGTACATCGTGAATAAATAAGATCTGGTGCACAAGCCGTCGAACATTAAGAGAGCTGGTAGGAACGTTGGGTTGCTCGGTCAATGGCCAGGGTCAACGGCGGCACCACGTGGTGTATTCCGCAAATATGCCCGACTGTGAGGGCGGGCACAAGCCGGTGGGAGTAGGTTAAACGTTGAGTTTTATAAGGGCACCACGGGGTGACCAGCCCCTCCCCACCCAGCCCCACCCCTCCCACCCCCCACCCAGCCCCACCCTCCCCACCCAGCCCCTCCCTCCCTACCCAGCCCCTCCCCACCCTCTACACCCAGCCCCACCCCTCCCATTTTTGGATGCACGATGGACGGACACAATAATCCCCTGTGGGCTGGTGTAACCAGGAGGTTCCTACCAGTATTATTAATTTCCTTTGTGAGGATGTTTTTAGGGGCCGTCCATAAATGACGTCACGCGATTTTGGACGATTTTTGACCCCCCCCCCCTTCGTCACACGACGTCACAAAAGTCAAACCCCCCCTACAAATATGACGTCACAAAGCTCTGCCCCCCCCCAAAAAAATAAACCTGCTTCAAATCGCTTTAAACTATTGTCATTGTAGTGCGTATTTAATGTGGCGCTGCACTCTGATGTTGTAGGAGAAACATTTATTGAAAAGTCTATTTAATTAAGTAGAACGTGTTGTCTATATTTATTTAAAGTTGCGCATTTTGATGTGATGTCACATTTCTCAAACCCCCCCTCCTCGCCACACATCGTCACAAATGTCTGATTCCCCCCCCCCAGGTGCGTGACGTCATTTATGGACGGCCCCTTATTTGTTTTCTTTTCAGCAGACCCCTGTAGTAGTCTCGCGGACCACCAGGGGTCGGCGTACTAGAAGTTGGGTTCTCAAAGTGCGAACCCGGACCACTCGTGGTCTGCCACGACCCTCGAGGTGGTCCGCTGGCTCATGCAAATGAAGGTTGATCTAGAAATAATGATAATGTTTATATCATGTGTTTTGGACATTCATTCACATTTGTATTATATTTAATTAATAACCCGTAGGTAAACTACCCTAACCCTAAGATCTAAATACCCCCCATAAAATACCCTTTTAGCTGCGTTATTTTTTTATGTACCGGTAACACTCATCATTCTGTATTACTGAGAGAAGCGGAATGCTTTTTGTCACGAGGGGTGGGGTGCTGTGTGGTCCACGGGAATGTTTGTATTGGTGGCGTGGTCCGCCCGCCAACAAAGTTTGAGATGCACTGCTCTCCAGCAATCACTTGACATGTACTTGGGCCAGTAAGGTCCGTGGCCACCGGTGCAGTTGCACCGCCTGTACACTTGATAGTTACACGACTGGACACTGAATGCCATTGCTGCCTGTTCTCCACCCTTTACTCCTACAGTGAACAAGAGCCTGACATTTCCAACAATTGCATCCTCAACCTTGGCCACTTGCACAGACTGCACGAACACAAGGCAAGCCCCCGCCCCCCCAACTTCCGCCCCCCCACCAACTCCCGCGCCATCTTCCCCGACCCCCCCCCCCCCCCCCGTCTTTCCCTTTCTCCATATGCTCCATGTGTGTGTGCATATTGTCGACTCAGCCTCAATTGAGTACCTCGTACGATGTGTAAATTTATTTCCACCCGGGGAGACAAAGGCGGCCGGGCGTGGTGCTGGCCAACCCACCCCCTTGTGTGCCGTTCCAGCCTTCATAGGTGCTCGCTAACAGCACTTGCCCCAACAATCGTGAGGCTAAACTGGGGGATCTTTGTCTTTTGCACACGGGTGTGTTAATATGTTGTATAATGATAACCGTTTACATTTGTCAGGCACATTTCACCAGTAGGACCCGGTAGGACAGGACGCGTTATTAGAGCAACTTCACATTACAAGGCACTTACATTAATTACAGATTTCCCTCGCTTTATGTGGGTTTGGCTAACCTATTTATACCTAAAATTCGCAATTTGCGGTTTGGATTCACTCAGATGCGTCTGTGCTTGACCGACGGACAACATTGTGTATGTGTTACTGTATGTGTTACTCGGCAGACAGCTGTCTTGGGTCGTTTCACGCCCCTTTTTTGGAACGCATAAAGCGAAGGAAATCTGTACGAAGAAATACGTGGCGATACACTCAGGGTGCCTACGGGCAATGAATACTCAGTCGCATTACAACGCTCGTGCCCAAGGACCTGTGCTATGGGCACGGCACAGTTTAGGAACAATCCTCACTACCAAATTTAGCAATAAGATGCAACAGGTTGTCAGGATTGTACGTAGGTTTTCACCGAGTGAGTTGAGCTGAAACATGATAAATTGACGCGTTAAACGCGTGACAATTTTGATTTAAAGCTTTCGTGACTGCAGTAATTCATATTCTTAGCTCTTTCGGTAAAGTCATGTTGAAGGGAAACAATAAAATAATAAAATATATATAAAATACAATAAAAATTATCACGACGTTTCGACCATAACACAAACGGTCATCATCACACCTGTGTTATGGTCGAAACGTCGTGATAATTTTTATTGTTTTTATATATATTTTATTATTTTATTGTTTCCCTTCAACGTGACTTTACCGAAAGAGCTAAGAATACGCGTGACAATTTGTTTTGGGCTATGTCGGATGGTGAGTGGCCTTGACGACACAGAGCTGGTCAGACCGTTAAGTGGCCTAACTAAAAAAAACTATATATATTATGAATCATTGGCTGAGAACACCTACGTACAGTATACATTTTGGGAGAGATTGCTTGGATGGGTCGACCACCATATACTGCAGATTGTCATAGGCTGCTGTTGTACCGTACGTCTATGCATCACGCATTTGTAACCTCTTTGTGCTGCACAGTGACCCCAACGTGTACGAATGTCTGAACAACATCATCCCAGCTTTAACGCTCACCAGTGGATACAGGCCTGGCAGAATGTGCAAAAATAAACCTGCAAGTGAGATCACACGTGTCATGCACCTGCCTTCTGCACACCTTACCGCACACTCACCACTCGCTCACCGCTCGCTCGCATATATCCGCACACCCCAGACTTGGCTAATGAAACTGCCGAATGTTTTCCTTAGTAGCAGTCATGTATTGTATGAAGCTGACAGACTGCGTGTTTATGGTCGATAAACCTTCAGTTATAACCTGGGCTGCCTGCTGGAATTGAACCGCGACCCCCTGCAACAAGGGACAAACGCGCTAGCGCTTGGCCATCTGGTTTTACGAGCCTCGCGGTGTCTCTGTGGACATCACCCTGTTTCTCTCCTCCGCCCCCCGCCCCCCACGCAGGCAAGTGCAGTCATGGCGGGATAAACGATGTGTGGCAGAACGAGACTGCGACGGGTGGCATCAACAAGGAGACTCTGGAGCCAGAGCTCTCTCCGCACCACTACCATCACGACGAAGCGGGGCAGGTGGCCATGATCGCCACGCGAGACGCCCTCGTCAACTCCGGTGAGACGCAGAGCCAGCTCCACCTAATCGCACAACCTCACCACACAGCTCACCACGATCACAGCTGATCACAAACACCTCGTAACACTCTTTGGTTCTATTCGGTAAAGTCACGTAGGTAAAACAACAAAAATCACGACGTTTCGGCCACAACACAAGCGGCCTTCATTCGCTTGTGTTGTGGCCGAAACGTCGTGATTTTTGTTGTTTTACCTACGTGACTTTACCGAATAGAACCAAAGAGTATGGATCCTTGCAGTCACGAAAGCTTCAAATCTACCTCTTCACACTACCTGTACGAGAGTGTGGGGTAGTTGGCGTTGGTAGCATTCCGAAACCACCTCAACTCTGATGAGACACTGAGAGGGCTCAGTATTAAGATTAAGGATCAGAGTTTGAGTTAGGGTCAGGCTTAGAGTCAGGGTTAGAGTCAGGGTGAGAGTAAGGTTGAGAGTCAGAGTTAAGGTATCCGGGGTGAGGTTCGAGTTAGGGTAACCAGGGGGAGAATCGAGGCAGGGTTAGAGTCATGGCCAGGGCTAGAGCCAGGGTGAGAGAGTCAGGATGTGAAGTAAGATAAGGGTGAGAGTCAAAGTTAAGGTAGGCGGGGTGCGGTTCGAGTCAGACTTGGGGTTGTCAGGGGTGGACTTGGGATCAGGTCACGGTTTCCCTCATGTGGAGATCCCCTCTCATCACAGCGGGCAGCGTGCTGGAGGAGCTGGGTGAAGAGCTCTTCATGCAGCTGTTCAACCTTGAGCGGCACTCACTCGTCTACGTGGTGGACGTGACGGGCAGCATGGGCGATGACATCGCTTTGGTGCGCGACAAGACCAAGGAGATGGTGCTGAAAGTGGCCAACAAAACGGAGGCCCCCGAGACATATGTGCTCGTCACCTTCAGTGACCCCGGTACGTGGCCCCTGGGGTTTCCTGGAGTCCCCTGGGGCCCCCTCTGCCCCTTTTCCACTGGCACATCCGAGCCGAGCCAACCCAGCTGTCCAAATGGTACGGGTGGTTTTTCCGCGGGCCGTTTGCGGAGCCGAGCCGAAACCAAACCGTGATACGCTGCTGGCCTCAAAGATGGCATCTGAATCTGACTCGGCGTCAAGCAGGGGCGGGGGCTAATGACACGTTCATCGCATCTGACGTCAGTCAGTACGCCGTGAGAACACAGCATACTTAACACCAGTGTCTGTGTTCTTTATATGTTTGCATTTAAAGTCTGCCACTTTGAAAAACACCGAAAACCACATTCAACCTTTCCTAATTAACGCGGTGGAGAGAGCCAGAGCAAACTGCACGATGGGCAGGAGCTGATCACATCGCTACTCTTTCCATTTAGCGTTTGGCATTTTAGAGTTTGTTTAGTATTGACTGTTTCATGCCCCCCCCACCCAGACCCCTATGTGCAAACAAGCTCATACTTCGGGTTTTCTGGGGCTCCGTGTTGATACCCTGCGTTTCCCTCGTGTGTGTGAGTAGAGGTTTACGAACCATTTATCACCAAGGACTGGACAGAGATGTACCAGGCACTGGACTCTCTGGAAGTTGCTGGTGGCGGAGACTGCCCTGAGATGGCGCTCTCAGCCCTGGAGCTTGCGTTGCAGATCTCGCAGCCTGGGTAACCATGACCTATCACTCTCCTTCGCTTTATCCCAGGCTCGGCGGCCCTGCTTGTCTTTGTCCACTTTGCCCTGCTTGCGGTACCCTCCTGCCTTGAGGCGAATGCTCGCCACATCTACCTTGGTCTTATCTCTCCGTCTTATCTTTGGTCCGCCTCTCGGTTCCTTGGCTCGCACATCCATCGGCAGAACGCTCCGACCCACATCTGTGGGACCTGTCGTCAGGAAGTGTCCCCCACCACTTCCCGCACAAGTCAATAGTAATATCACGTAAGGATGGCAGTTCCATGGTTCCTCCGATAATATTAACGTTATTCTTGTCCATTATAAAAGCATGAATTTGCTTAGTACAACAATCTCCTTTGACCAGTCATGGAATGGATATATTCTAATCTGGGTGATTAGACTTGTTTACTTATTTATCCAGGAGAGCCACACTTAGTTGTCGGACTCTTTTTCACCAGGATCCCGCACACTTATTTATTTATTTCAGATGTTTTCATCGAAGTAATGGGCGTTTAAACAAGTGGGAGGAAACCGGAGTGCCCGGAAGAAACTGTTCAATCCCCATACAAATGGAAACAGGTGGCGATTAGTCCACTTGCTGTACTGCGTTGTTCTGACGTGCCAGGGTACGGCTCTTCCTCGACGCCCACGTGAAGGGAGTTTCACAACATTTGTGCAGTGATCCACGAACCCTCGCTGCCTCCACCATGCTGGATTACAGGCCACGTGCAACACAGCCACCACTGCCCGACTAGAAAAGTTGAAACACGTTTTCTTGGTGGTTGGGGCCTGACACGGTCATCTCGTGTAGGAGTAATGTACGGGTGTAGCCCACTCACCCTTTCTTGTGAGTGCTCCAACCTTGGCTGTACACACAGAGCGGTCCTACGGACAGACTTTACAAGAGGTTCTGGAGGCATCGAATATGCTTGGTTGTCTTCTCTCTAACAAGGCCTTTGTCTTTAACTCCAAACGATTATTAATTATCACTCTAAATACAACACACATTCAGTCGAAGTTGGAATCTTGCTGCCATGTCTGAAGTGGAGCACCCAGTTCCTACCTCACTGCACTGGCTAGAATTTAGAGTGATGCAGTCAGGGTGATAGATGATGAAGAACTCACGAATAGACTCCAGTGACTCACTCATCAGCGGTCAGTCACCTCTTTATCGCTCTTCTATTACTAACATGGTTACTGTTCCTGTGAACTTCACTGCTTAATTCCTCCACCCCTGTTGAGGACTTGGTCTACCAAACTGTTTTTCTCTCATCCACACTGTGTCCAACCTCCACATTGTAAGTCACAACACACTCGCTGACCCACCCACTCAATTGTTCAATCACTTACCGACTCACTCGCCACACTGCGGGTCACCTCACTTCTCTTTATGCTTATTCCCTCATACTGCTACACTGGGAATTGATGATGGGAATTTCTTCCCATCATCTTTCCCCGCCCCCCCCCCAAGCTCTTACAATAATTAAACTTGCAAAAATTATAATAAACGTGTCAACTGGTGTCTTTGACAACTTTGATAGTGCCCTTTTGTTGCTGGCTGCTTGACGTTTTTGTCACCTTTGGGGTCACTGCGACCTTGTGACCTTGATCGTCACGCCTACAGGTCGGATATTTACCTGTTCACGGATGCGGGAGCAAAGGACGAGGCGGACAAGAAGGATGCAGTGAAGGCGCTGTTTGAGAGCACAGATTCCCGGTTGCATGTGTTCAACACGGGATCCTACTGTATGGCCCGAACACAGCGAGACCTCTACTCACGCGGTACCACGCACAGCTCCCTCACCCCTCACTCACCCAGCGCTCGCCAAACTCACTACACTCGCCTTGTCTCTCAACAAGGTGACCTACACTCGGAAACATTCACCGATACTTACCCACACTCACAGAACTTCTTACACTCGCGTTGCCTCAACAGGATTGTAAACTCATCCTGGCCTCACTCGCCCTCTCTTTCCATCGCCCACTCTCCCCTTATATCACCTATGCATGTTCACCCTTATCTCTGCACTCTCTCCCAACTGCACCATCACCAACCCCTTCACCTCCCTCCTCCTCTCCAACTCCCCCCCCAAACAGCCAGCGAGCCACGTCAAAATATATACGAGACCCTGGCAGCGCTGTCGGGTGGCCAGTATATCCTGACGAGCAAGGGCGAGCTGGCCGACGTGCTGGGCAGCTTGGAGCTGAGCCTCAACGCGGCACCCGTCTCTGTGCGTTACGTGGAGGTCACGACCCCGGACTCTGTGACCTTCCCCGTGGACTCGTCGCTGTCCGAAATCGTCGTGTCTGTGAGCGGCCCGGCCTTCTTCACTGTGGAGCTGTTACTTCCCTCAGGTACTGCCTCCATTGCACGGCAGCAATGACTGCGTTGTTAGTCACGCACCTGGCTCTGCTTGTCCCCAAACCAGATCCAGATGTCTTGCGAGGCCAGCGTGGTTTTGGCTCGGCTCGGCAAACAGCCAGTGGAAACAACACTTGTACCATGAACACCCCCACGCTGGCTCGGCCCAGATGTGCCAGTGGAAAAGGGGTATAACACGCACACACTTCATCTGCTGTAGTACACACCCACAGACAAAGGTCCCCCATGTAACCTACACAGGCTGTTAGGGCAAGTGCTGTTAGCGAGCATCTATAAAGACTGGCGCACGAAGGGGCGGTGTGGGCAGTGCCATGCCCACGCCCGTGCTGACGTTTACTCACTGCACACCAGGTACGGTAATCGTTTACATTTCAGTTGACCTCGGGAGAGGCCTAGAACCAGTTCAGACGATCGCTAGCAACTGATGTCGGCCGTGTTCCCATCCCGTCGTCAGGTGATCTCGCCACCGACGTGGAGGAGCTCGTGTCCTCCAGCCAGAACGTCGTGCGCAGGGTAACCACAGTGACCCCAGGCACCTGGACGGTCAAAGTCACGGGGTCGCCGGGGCCTCACCTGGTGAAGGTGACCGGGCGGAGCCTGGTCGACTTCACTGCTCAGCTGCTGCAGCGGATGAACGGGTTCATGCTGCCGATTCCGGGGCGCCCCGTCACGGGTACGGCGCGCGGGGTGTGCGTGGGTGTATGTGGTGGTAGTGCATGTGGCATGTGTGATGATCCATTAGGGTCTTTGGCAATATTTTCAGGAGCCAGATGCCAATGTCCAGGTCTGCTGGCCACAACCAGAGAGCTTGAGCAGAGAGAGTTTGTGTAGTTTTGCTGTTCTTCCTGTGTTGAGGGAGCACAGACTGCAGTGGATTTACTAAATGGTCCATAGTTTCGGTTGCATGCCCACCATACTACTTTGGATTGTCGTTAATGTGTTCTACATATCTCTATGGGTCTCTGTGTATCTCTATGGGTCTCTGGGTTTCCTATATGGTCGGTTCATAGTTTGGCTTACATGGCCACAATCGCACTACTGTGGCTTGTGTCTTTAATTTTCTATTTATGAAGATGTGCGGACCGGGCTGGTGATGTTCTGATGCGGTTGATGGTAACACCAGTGTCCTTGGTTGATTGATAACATGGTGAGTGTATGATTTGCGGTGTGACATGGTGTGGCATGGTGTGATGTGATGTGATGTGGCGCATTGCAGTGTAACACGGTGCGACGTGTAACGTGTCAACGTAATGTGACGTGGTGTAACGTCAATGCGATGCAGTGTAATGTGTTGTGATGTGACGCAGTGTTATTGTGTTGTGGCGTGAAGTGTTCCTATGTGGTGACATGGTGTGACGTGATGCCACGTGTTGTGACGTGGTGTGACGCTGTGTGGCGAGACAGGTGAGCCGTATCAGCTGTGGGTGAAGCCGATGGGCAGCGTGGCTGGTTTCTCCATGTCCAGTGTCCGTCTGCTCTCCGGCATGGGCAACTTCGAGTACCTGGTCTCACCCACCGAGTCCGAGTTCGGGGTCCCCTTGCAATTCAATGACCCCATGGTGAGCATTGGGGACAGGGAGGGGACACGGGGATCAGGGGTGATCCGAGGGGATCGGGTGGGCGGGGGTGGATCAGAGTAGAGCTGTGATATCTGATTGTCTACTTTATGATTCATAGGGAATTGCTTTTCCAGTTAAGCCACGTAATGATCTGGTAAAATATGTACGATAAGATCTTCCGCTACCCAACGCGCAAACTATTGATCTTGCAGCTCACTCACCAGTGAGTTGGTGAACAACTCTGCATTCCCATCCAATTCAGGAAGCCATTCCGATTTTCAAGGAGTTTAGTCTGACTTTCTGGATCTGGTCCCGAAGATGCTCGACGCAGTTGCAGGGGAATAGAAGCGTCGCGTCTCTAATTGAACTAAATCTGGCCGTGAGAATTGCTGTTCAACTCACTGGTTACACATTGTCATAGCTTAGAGGGGGTGGTGATGGCTTAGAGGGGGTGGGTCTTCATCCAACAGCAGATAGATTATGGCTGATGCTGCTGATGCTGGTTTGCAGGCGTTCATGGTGGAGGTGTGCGGCTCATCTCCGGAGGGCCTCCCGTTCTGCCGCATGCACACGCAGCGCACGACCGTGCAGAGCTTCCATCTTGCCCAGCTCAACTTCGAGGAAGGTGGGGCAGAAGATCAGAATTGCCCTCATTGTCCACCTCTCATCGTAGTCACTTGTAATCCACCCTCAGTCACTTATAGTCCACCATCGTAGCCAGTTATAGTTACTCAATTGTAGTCCACCCTCATTGTCCACCCCTCAGTAACTTGTAATTCACCCTCAGTCACTCATAGTCCACCATCGTAGCTACATATATAGTCACTCACACGTATAGTCCACCCTCATAGTCACTCACCTATATAGACGTTCACTCGTATAGTAACTCATTCATATAGTAACCATCGCAGTTACTCACTTATAGTCTCTCACTTAGTCCACACTCCTTACCCACCAACTAAGTCATTCACTCAGTCCACCTTCAGAGTCCACCATCGTACTAATTCTCATAGTTCACTCACAGTGCATCACACACAGTCACACCACGTACGTGATTATGCTGAACGCCATAGTGGGAAAACCTTCATCCAGCAGTGGATATATTCTGACCCACGCACATCCGCTGACACTGGACCCCATGTCTCCTGTGTCTCCCGTGTCGCCCACGTCTCCCACGATGCCCGGGTTTCCCTTGATGTCCGTGATACCCGTGCCACCCACATCGCCGACGTCTCCCATGACGCTCGCGTCTCGCGTGTCTCCCGTGATGCCTGCGTCTCTAGCCACGTTGGAGCCCGGTGTGGAGGTGTCCCTCTCTGTGGTCCTGGAGAACCGCGGCGTCGCGGCGTCATCCTTCTCAGTGTCAGCGCGTGACGAGCTGGGCTGGGCGAGTGCCGTGAGCCCCAGCAGCACCATGCTGGCACCGGGGGAGAGCGCCACACTCATCGTTACCGTGGCGGCGCCGCAGCACATCACCGAGTTCAGCAGCAGGTGAGCGGGCGAGCATCGCGGGTGCAATGGCATCAGAGATCATCGCCACGTACACAACATCGTCACTGACGTCACGGATCACAATGACATCCCTGAGATCATTTGGCACACGATTACATCACCACATCATCATCAACATCACTGCACACACACTCCCTGTTCATGTGCGTGCCTGTGCACGTGTGCCTGCCTGTGTGTGCGGTAGAGTAGCGGTTATTGCGCGGCGCTACGAACCCGGCGTTCCGAGTTTGATTGTCACTCATGGCCAATACCACTGATAGCGATTATCTGGACCAGTCCTGGGCCTCTCCTAGGTCGACTCAGCCTCAAATGAGTACCTAGTGCGGTGTGCACTACACATCGCCATTGGGGAGACAAAGGCGGCCGGGCGTAGTGCTGGCCACCCACCCCCACATGTATCGTTCCGGCCTTCATAGGTGCTCGCTAACAGCACTTACCCCGACAGTTTGTTAAGGCTATACGGGGGATGTTTGTTTTGTGTGTGAACCTACCTGTGTGTATGCCTGCCTGCCTGTCTACCTAAAATTGCACCGAGCATGGCACAAGCGCGAAGGAGATGTCACCACCACTTAGTGGTGAACGGCGGTTGTTATTGTAATTGTACCTACCTGAGCATGTGTGTGCTTGCCTGTGTATTTTCCTACATGTGCATGTGCTTGCCTGTGTGCACGTACCTACTTGTGCGTGTGTTAATATATATGCCTGTACCTACCTGTGCGTGTGTACCTACCTGTATGTGTGTGTGTGCCTGCCTGTGCGTGCTTGCAGCATGCTGCGCGTCACTGCCGAGAGCTTGGATTCTCCGGACTCCTCCTACACCCTCAGCTTTCCCCTGAGCGTCTTCATCGCGCCAGTGGAGGTGAGGAACGAAGACATCGCTCACCGGAGCACGACGACACTCACTACATTGCTCACTACTTACATCCCTCACTCCAACACTCAGTCATTCCTCTATCCCTTACTCCCATCACTCACTGCCAGTACTACAATACTGAATATCCATTTGCGCCTTTCAGGAAAGCATAATACAATTAATAAGCAGAAAATGTACATCCTTCACAAATCCGTCTGTCCACATAGAAAATATAAAAGTAATTTTACACATCCCATCAGCCGCACAGACTTCTGGTCGCACATACATTGAGCAGCATTGGTTCAGCACATTCGGTGTCAATGTAGAGAGACGCATGTATGAAGAATAATTATTGTCTTAATCTACTCCCTCCCTCCCGCCTCTCCCCACCCCCATCCACACTCCTTCATGCGCCCTCACCTCCCTCACCTCACCTCCAAATTGCCCGTCATTTTATACGTGTCAAAACATTTGTCATTCGCGTCTAACTTGCACACGGTTAACCGGCTACTCCAATATAAATGATACCGCCTCCCGTAATTTGTGATTGTAACATATTTTCTCCTCGTCGTCGCCCAGATCCCGGACACGTCCCCCCCTGCGGTGCGAGAGCTGGCGCGGAATGTGTCGGCGTGCACGGCGGAGGTGCAGCACGGGGGTGAGGCACTGTGTTCGGCGAGCGGCTGGAGCGTCGACGTCGAGGCCATCGACGCCGAGATGGAGGGACCCCTCACTGTGAACATCGCTCTTGGGGACAGAAATGCGCTGCTAACCGTGGACAGCATCGGCGGAGTCGACAAGATTAATTATAGGTGTGGGGTGGGACGCACACGGGGAGAAGGTGGAGGGCGGCGGGGGTTGATGGAGAGGGATGCGGGGAGAGATAGCGGGGCAAGGTAAACGGGGAAGGTGGGAGACAAAGGACACTGGGAGATGGGGGGACAAAGAGATGTGCGGGGAAATAGGAAGATAAGGGAATACAGAGACAGTTGGAGACTGAGCACGCGAGGGGACGGGAACAGTGTGGATGAGACGAAACAGTCATGTCTCGTAAACCAATTCATCAGTATTAGTGACGGAAACAATGAGTGTGTGAGTGGATGGTGTTTGAGCAATTAGGTGAGTGTGGGTGAGTAGATGAGTCAATGAGTTGTTCTGGTGGTTGACAACTGATATTGAGGCGAAACAGTCAAGTGTCTGCTAGAGACCGAGACCTTCGACAGGGGTGGAGGAATCGACGAGTAAAGTCCATGGTAACCAAGGTGGTACCGACAGAAGTGTGATAACGGTACCCACTTACCCCTTACACCTCACTCCCTACCCCTCACCCTGTGCCCGCTCACCTCGTCTCTCCCCTGGGCCCCGCAGGTCCTCGTGCTGCAGCCCATGGGTGACGCTGGACGTGAGTGATTTAATGGGGAACCTGGAGCGCTACTCTCTCGACTTCACCGAGCCAATGCCGACACAGGACACCACGGCGGTAAGGATGCACCCACACCCACTACGTGCGGTCCGATCTCCGATAGCTCGAGTCATCGCTTGCTGCACCGAGTAATTGCACAAGCATATAGGTGCATGAAGAGACCTTCTGCCTTTTACGCTTTAAATAGAGGATCTGCCTGGTCAACATCAAATCTTACGGAGGTGGCTGGGTGGCTCAGGAGTTTGAGTATTGACCAGAACCGCCAAGCATCTGGGTTAAAGCCCTTGGTCTGGGTGTCCTTTAGTTGGTTCATATTGGCTTTGTAAGAGATACATTGGACTCCTGACAGCCTGGGTGTAAATAGTGGTTTCAGCCACCAGTGACTAAACTGGGTTCTCAAGTGTAGCGGGTTGATAATCTCGGGCTGGTTTTACATAGACTCATGATTGCATAGAGACTCAATTTTGCATAAAGCAGGTTATCAAGTGTAGCGAGTAAATGGGCTCATCCTCGTCACCAATGACTTAAATAGAGACTCAGCAGACTTATATAGAGACCAATAGACTCACAGAATACCCATAGATCCCAACAGAGATTTATAGATGCACACAGAGACTCATAGTCTCACACAGACAAAAGTGGTGATTAACCCTGTTTCTCAAGTAAAGCAGGTTGATTGTCTCAGCCCGGTTACAAATTACTAATACAGTATAGAGACTCATAAACTTACACAGAGACCCAAAGACTCATACGAGATCCATAGCTTCACACAGACACATAGATTCACACAGACTGAATAGTGATTAACCCGGGTTCTCAAGTGTAGCGAGTTGATTGTCTCAGCCCGGTTACAAATTACTTATATAAAGAGTCATAGACTTACACAGAGACCCGTAGGCTCACAAGAGACCCATACACTCACACAGACTGAGTAGTGATTAACTTGGGTTCTCAAGTGGAGCAAGTTGATGGTCTCAGTCCGGTCACCACTGGCTAACACGTGTACCCGGCAGGCGCTGGTGATCGCCTTGTCGGTGGTGAGCGTGGTGCTGGTCGTCATACTCATCGCGCTGGGAGTGGTCATCGGACGATACTGCTGCCGCTCCAAGCGGGCGGTGCAGCAGGTTGCTACGCCCAGCATCATCACCAACCCCTGGGCCAAGCCCATGCAGCGCCCTGATATGAAATAGCAACACTCAGCACAATCTACACACACCGCAATCTACACTCAGCACAGTCAGCCTACATCGAGCAAACCCCCCCACCCCCTTTCTCGGCGAGTTATTTTGCTCCTAATGTCTCCCATGCTCTGAAATCGCCGTGATTTTGAATAAAGGATTTGAGAAGTTGTGCTGCGGTGGTGTGGTGGATGGCTGTTGTTGCTACGCACCTCACACAAACACACCAATCTCACACACTCCTATCTTGTACTCACACGGATACATACCCCTATCACCTCCGATTAGCATGGTTGACTACATACAGTGCGAGAGAAGTTCAACATAATGTATATACGTATCACACTTCCATCACACACGCAGCTCCTTTGTTAGGAAGCCACTGGCGCTATGAAAACGAATTTATTTAGAACTGCTTTTTGTGTTTGTTTTCCTTTCCCTGCACATACTATTAGCACGGTTTGCTACGTACAGTGCGAAAGAAGTTAATCTCCCAGAGTTTTGCATACACTCCCATCACACACACACACGTGCCACACTCCTATACAAGATATCCCGTTTAGCCTTACAGACTTGAGGAACAAGTTATGTTAGCGAGCACATGAAAACCGGGATGGCACACCATGCCCAGCTGCCTTTGTATCCCACGTAGCAATGTTTATACACCACCCCAGGTACTATTTTGTCATCATTGGTGTTGACTGTGAGCGGGAATCGAACCTGAGTCGCCTGGTTCATAGAGCAGCACGCTATCTGCTGCACTACCACTCCCTACCAATACCCGCAATTCGCCACTAAGTGATGGTAACGTCACCATGGCACCTGTCCTAGGCCTGCACTTTGAGGCCACGTGAATTGTCGAAGACTCGCTGGCAGGATGTCTCGGGACAGACCCAGTTGCCATGGGTTGACTGAGATGACTGGTAGATGCACCAGCTATACCCACTACTGTGCAAACTTGCAACATTTTAGCTGCTCATTGTGAGTGTTGCTCCTTTGTCCTCAGTCGTTGGAAGGCGACTGCCTCCAATGACCCAGCAGCGTCCTTCATGAGCCTCCTCCATCGAGGCCGATCTTGACACCACTGGTACCAGTCGTTGGCAAGCCCACTCAGCTCGACATCCTCCCGTACGGCATCAGTCCATCTCTTCTCCAGCTCATGTCGCACCCGTTTAGCACCCTCTATGTGGCCAAACAAGCTGCTTGGGCATGTGGGCTACATGACCTAGCCAACATAGCCTTGCCCACCAGAGGAGCTCACTGATGGGAATGTGTCTAGATCTTTCAAGGATTTGTGAGCTCACAATCCAGCCTGGTTAAACCCAGGATCGTAGGCAGGTCAGCCTCTGTTTCTAACCGGCACATGTTCCATGAGAAGGATCCACGTTTGACAAGCATATAGAAGGGAGGGCATGACTGGCCGAGAAGACCCGAAGCTTCATGCGAAGCGACAGACCTTGTAGCTTCCACACAGCAGTACACAGCCGATGAAAATATAATGCCGCCCGACTGATTCGGAGAACTCTGCTGTCAAACCGGAGCTGGTCATAAGCACGCTGCTCAGGTATGGAAAGTGATCCACTCCACAACTGCACCATCACCAATGGGAAGCTGAGGGGGTGGAGTGTTTGGTGGCATAAAATACTTAGCGGCACACTCCAGGTTCAGCAACAATGCCTTCAATTCCTCTGAGTGAGCAGCAATCACCAGATCATCAGCATACGTAACATGGTTGACCAAGAGGGAGCCATCCCCCGACCGCACCCGGGCATCGATCAGCCTCCCATTGTATCTGTACCAGATGGAAATTCCTCTGGGAGAGCCATGGAAAGTTCGAACTACGTGGTCAAAGATGGTGTTAAATAATGTGGGAGCCAGAGGACATCCCTGTCCCACCCCAAAGTGAACAGAGAATAGCTCCGACTCCTGGCCACGTAGCTTTACCTGGGCCTGCACACCATCATTAAGGGCCCTTAATGATTGTCAGGAGAGATTTAGGGACTCCGAAATCACGAAAAACCACCCATAGTCCTGGCCTATTGATGGTATCATAGGCCTTGACCAGGTCAATAAAGCTTTGTGACGATGTGTGACGAGGGGGGGGGGTTGAGAAATGTGACGTCACATCAAAATTCGCAACTTTAAATAAATATAAACACGTTCTACTTAATTAGACTTTTTTTAAATAAATGTTTTCTGCTACATCAGAGTGCAGCGCCACATTAAATACGCATTACAATGACAATAGTTTAAAGCGATTTGAAGCATATTCTTAGTTCTTTCGGTAAAGTCACGTTGAAGGGAAACAATAAAATAATAAAATATATATAAATAAAAATTCTCACGACGTTTAGACCATAACACAAACGGTCGTCATCAGGTGTGTCGGTTTTTATAAAATTATTTATTTTACACCGTTTAAAAATAAATAAATTTATGCATACCGACACACCTGATGACGACCGTTTGTGTTATGGTCGAAACGTCGTGAGAATTTTTATTGTTTTATATATTTTATTATTTTATTGTTTCCCTTCAACGTGACTTTACCGAAAGAACTAATAATATGAATTACTGCAGTCACGAAAGCTTTAAATCGAGATTTGAAGCATGTTTGGTTTTTTTTTGGGGGGGGGGGGCATAGCTTTGTGACTTCATATTTGAGGGGGGGGGTCTGACTTTTTGTGACGTCGTGTGACGATGGGGGGGGGGAGGTCAAAAATCGTCCAAAATCGCGTGACGTCATTTATGGACGGCCCCTAATACCAATACCCCGCCATTCGCCACTAAGTGACGGTGGCGTCCCCACAGGGGATGTGCCAGGCCAGGTGCACTTTGAGGCCATGTGAAGTGTCGAAGGCTCGCCGACAGGAGGTATCAGGACAGACCCAGCAGGTGCCATTGTGTTGGCTGACTGAGATGACCGGTAGATGCACACCACCAGCTGTACCACCCACACACAGGCACGCACACACGTGTCACACACGCTCGTCACGTGACGTCAACACGTCTATGTCACATTCCCCAGTTCACACGCGCTACCCCCTCCGCGATTGGTCGCTGAGCGCCACGTGACCGCGCTCAACGCCGCCTCCTTGCGGAAGTGAACTGGGAAATCAAACGCGGTGACGCGGACCCCGAGGCGGGTCCCCTTGCACCGGGGTATCCCTCACCCCCTTGCCGCCTCACCCCCTCGCTCCCTCACCCCCTCGCCGCCTCACCCCCTCGCGGCCTCATCCCCTCACCCCCTCGCCGCTTCACCCCCTCGCTCCCTCACCCCCTCGCCGCCTCACCCCTCGCTCCCTCACCCCCTCGCCGCCTCACCCCCTCGCCGCCTCACCCCCTCGCTCCCTCACCCCCTCGCTCCCTCACCCCCCTCGCTCCCTCGTCTCGGAGATCGCTGGGGTCTTCGCCGCCGCCGTTGGCGAGGGAGCGGCAGGGGAGACCCCCGGACTCTTGCTCTGGGGTCTGCTTGGAACCGGTAACCATAAAATCTGAACTTTGCACCCCTAAACCATAAATATCGGTACCCTATACTAAGAACCCCTATAGTGGGGGCCCCGTAACATGGATCCCTAAACTTTGGACCCCAAACTCGGGAACCCCAAAATTAACCCCGGGATCCCCTTGCCTGTAGTCCCTGACCCCTTTAAGTCTCGAATCCCGAGGCAAATCGCACCTCGACCCCACAGGATCCACCGCAGGGGTCCGTAGGCGGGACCGCACCCCCCCCTGCGTGGGGACCCCTGGGAGAGGATGGCGACCCCGTCGCCGGCACAGACCCCCGAGTCGGCGAGGCGAGGGGACCCGGACGGGATGACGTGGTGGTACCGGGTCCTGCTGCGGGTGGCGGGGGTGTGTGGGGCCCTGGGTGAGTGAGGCACCGAGAGACACTGGGGGCGGTGGGAGGTGTGGTGGGGTAGTGTGGGTATATCGGGGCATGGGGAGACACAATGAGATAGGTGGGATGTAGGGACAGGGGGAGACGGAGTGTGAGATGGGAACACTAGGGGGAGAAGGGGCACGGTGAGAGACACGGAGACGCATAAAGAAGGACGGGGACGTGGGGAGACACGGGCATTCAGGGAGACGGCAACACAGACACAGGGAGACAGGAACACGGACACAGGGAGACAGGAACACGGACACAGGGAGACAGGAACACGGACACAGAGACAGGAACAGACACAGGGAGACGGAACACGGACACAGGGAGACAGGAACAGACAGGGAGACAGGAACACGGACACAGGGAGACAGGAACAGACACAGGGAGACAGGAACAGACACGGGGAGACAGGAACAGACACAGGGAGACAGGAACAGACACGGGGAGACAGGTACACGGACACAGGGACACAGGAACACGGACACAGGGAGACAGGAACACGGACACAGGGAGACAGGAACACGGACACAGGGAGACAGGAACACGGATACAGGGAGACAGGAACACGGACACAGGGAGAAGGAACACGGACACAGGGAGAAGGAACACAGACACAGGGAGACAGGAACAGACACAGGGAGACAGGAACACGGACACAGGGAGACAGGAGCACAGACACAGGGAGACAGGAACAGACACAGGGAGACAGGAATACGGACACGGGGAGACGGAACACAGACACAGGGAGACAGGAACACAGACACAGGGAGACAGGAACACGGACACAGGGAGAAGGAACACAGACACAGGGAGAAGGAACACAGACACAGGGAGACAGGAACAGGGAGACAGGAACACAGACACAGGGAGACAGGAACACAGACACAGGGAGACAGGAACACGGACACAGGGAGAAGGAACACAGACACAGGGAGAAGGAACACAGACACAGGGAGACAGGAACAGGGAGACAGGAACACAGACACAGGGAGACAGGAACAGACACAGGGAGACAGGAGCACAGACACAGGAACACGGGCACAGGGAGACAGGAACACAGACACAGGGAGACAGGAACACGGACACAGGGAGACAGGAACACGGACACAGGGAGAAGGAACACAGACACAGGGAGAAGGAACACAGATACAGGGAGACAGGAACACGGATACAGGGAGACAGGAACACGGATACAGGGAGACAGGAACACGGACACAGGGAGACAGGAACACGGACACAGGGAGACAGGAACACGGACACAGGGAGACAGGAGCACGGACACAGGGAGACAGGAACACGGACACAGGGAGACAGGAGCACGGACACAGGGAGACAGGAACACGGACACAGGGAGACAGGAACACGGATACAGGGAGACAGGAACACAGAGAGACAGGAACAGACACAGGGAGACAGGAACACAGACACAGGGAGACAGGAACACGGACACAGGGAGACAGGAACAGACACAGGGAGACAGGAACACAGACATAGGGAGACGAAACACGGACACAGGGAGACGGAACACAGATACAGGGAGACGGAGTGTTCAGGGACTTGAGTGAATGAATCCGAGTCACGGGGATCCAGACACAAAGGGACAAAGAAACAGACCCAGGGTAAAAAATAAACATTTGTTACGCGGACACACATTCGGAGACACTGGCTCGCAGGCAAGAGCCACGGAGACTTGTCGCAGACTCAGAGAAGTCCACATCATGCACCCTTCCACGCGTTTCCTTTTACGGCGACACGCGGGCCATTGCTTATTGATGACTGTGTGCATAATGTATCCTTTCGCCAACCCGCATTGACCGGCGTGGTGAAGTATGGTCAAACAACCACCATCACTGACGTGCCGTGGGCGCGGAGGAGACGCCTTCTTCCGGAAGTGGATTGACAGAGGAATTTCAATAATTGAGTCTCGTCCCCATTATTCGTGTACTTTATATTTGTAATGTGCGTATATACTGCCAAGGTACTTGTGGGGAGCGGTGGCGTAGCGGTTAGCGCACTGCTCTATGAACCCGGCGACCAGAGTTCGATTCCCGCTCACGGCCAACACAAGTGACGATTATCTGAACCGGTCCTGGACCTTCCCGAGGTCGACTCGGCCTCAAATGAGTACCTGGTGCGGTGCGTAAACATCGCCACAGGGGAGACAAAGGCGGTTTGGTGTGGTGCTGGCCACTCCACCCCCTCGTGTACCGTTCCGGCCTTCATAGGCGCTCGCTAACAGCACTTGCCCCAACAGTCTATTAAGGCTATACGGGGGATATTTGTCTTGTTGTACTGAATATAACTATTCGCTAACAACACTTGACCCAATAGTATATGTAGGCCACATGGTGGACCTTTGTGTAGTCTGTCTTCGTGTTGGGCGAAGTGGAGCGCACAGGAGTGCATCTGCCAGTCATCTGTCGACTCATTACACCATCCATACTTAACGTGATGGCCTCAAAGTGCACCTAGCCTGGCACAGGCAGACAGGAAGTACTGGGGTGATGGCACCATCACATTGTGGAGAATGACGGCTGTCATTGATGCTGTTGCTGCTGTTGTTGTTGTGTCAGCGTGTGCCATCGCTGGTCTCTGGAGCTGCATCACCGTGAGCCCACTCACTCTCCTGGCTGGCATCTTCATGATGTGAGTGGCGGGCGGAGAGATTCCCCACGTAGCCTTAACAGACTTTAGGGGCAAGTGCTGTGAGTGAGCACCTATGAAGGCCGAGACGGCACACGAGGGGGTTGGTGGCCAACACCACGCCCGGCTGCCTTTGTCCCCACAATTGTAATGTTTACAAACCACAGCAAGTATTAATTTAAGGCTGAGTCGACCTAAGCAAGGCCCAGGACCGGTTGAGATATTCATCACCGAGTAAATCAAACTCGGTTCACTGGGTTCGTAGTGCAGTGCACTAACCACAACGCGACCGCTCCCCTAACTGCACGACCACTACCCTAACCACTGCACTACGGCCGCACACACCCACAAACTTGCACACACCAGGATGCACATGCCCACATAGTCACACCCTACCAAAAACTTACCCTCATCCTAACTTTATTTTGTACACTAACTCTCAGTTTTGATACTACACCCAGGCCCCAACCCCCAATCCCCACGCTGGGTCCAGTCCCTGTCCCAAAACTGTAACCCTGACCCTTTACCCGTAATCCAACCCCGACACTGAACCTGGTTGTTACCCCCATAGTAATTGGAACATTGTGTGCGAGTCTCACCGATACGCTTTGTGTTTTTCTCCCGACGCCTCTGGACCCCCTTGTTGGGTCCCCTCCCGGGTCACCCCCAGGCTGACTGCGGCTGTGCTGCTGCTATGCGAGGCTCCGTTCTGCTGTCAGTTCGTGGAGTTTGCAAACGTGGTGGCGGCACGTGCCGACCGCCTAAAGCCCTGGCACAAGGGCCTGGTGTACTGCATGTGAGCCCCACACAGCACGCACAGTGCACAATCACAGCACACAGTACGTGCGGTATACACGATATACAGTACACGTCACAGCACACACAGCACACACACCCCTGACATAAAGGCCTGGTGTTCTGCACTTCAGCCCCGCACAGCACACACAGTTAACACGATACATGTGGAATACACGATATACAGTACACACCGCACACACGCCCCTGAGACAAAGGCCTGGTGTTTTGGACATGAGCCCCACAGCACATACAGCATACACAGTACACAATCACAGCACGCACGGTACATGTGAAATACACGATATACAGTACACGTCACACACAGTGCACACAGCACACATACTCCTAACACAAGGGTCTGGTGTATTGCTTGTGAGCCCCACACTCAGTACAGGACACAGTACAAGGCACACAGGTATAAACAGTACATGCAGTAGGCTACACAGTGAATTTCTTGTGCGTATACGTGTGTCGTATGTGTATATAAATTTTGTGGGGAGCGGTGGCGCAGTGATGAGCGCTTGTGCTACGAACCGGCGACCCAAATTAAATTGCCGCCCACGACCAATAACAGTGATGAATATTTAAACCGGTCCTGGGCCCTCCCCTAGGTCGACTCGGCCTCAAATGAGTACGTGGTGCGGTGTGTAGTACACATCAGCAATGGGGAGACAAGGGCGGCTGGGCGTGGTGCTGTCCACCCGCCCCCTCGTATTCCGTGCTAGCCTTAATAGGTGCGACTCGATAACAGCATTTGCACCAACAGTCTATTAAGGCTATAAGGGGGATCTTTGTATTATTGTTAATGTATTGGTGTGTGTGGGTATGTGCGTGTGTGCAGACTGGCGCTGGTGCCCGTGTTTCTGAGTGCCGGCCTCACCACCATCCTGGGCAATGCCATTGTGTTTGGTACCGGCGTCCTCTACGGCCTCGCCTCACTCGGCAAGAAGTGCGTGCCTGGTCACGGGTCACAGGTCATGGGTCACGGGTCATGGGTCAGAGGTCACGATATACAGCTCACAGGTGACAGGGTATGGCGCATGGGACAGAGGTCACGGTTCACAGCTCATGGGTGACAGGTCTCTCATGAAAAAGAGTCACAAAACTCGGTGAGGCTTTCCTGGATAAACAAGAATTGTAAATGATAATAGTCTTTGTATGCGCATGTATGTGTTGTGTGGGGGGAGTTGCGGTTTGACTGAGACCCACCACTCCCCACACACAGTGAGTAAACCCATGGCACCTGGGTCTGTCCCGTGACCTGCCAGGGAGCCTTCGACGGTTCACTTGGCCTCAAAGTGCACCTGGCCTGGCACAAGCATTGTGGTGACGTCACCGCCACATCGTGGTGAATGGCGGTTGTTGTTGTTGGGGAGTGGTGGTGTAATGATTAGTGCAATGCGCTATGAACCCAGCAACCCGAGTTCGATTCCTGCTCACGACCAATAACAGTGGCAGATATTTGAACCACTTCCCAAGGTAGACTCAACCTTCAATGAGAACCTTACCCCCCGTGTATCGATAGTTACATTTTAATGTGCAATTTTTTATTGAGGGACTGTATGTTGTCGTCTGGGACTTTTGTTGTTGTTTTGCTGCCTTTTCCCAAGCTTGCATTTATTGTTGAAAAATCGTCAGGAGTTGATATACTTTTGAAATGTATACTTGTATACCTTATCTATTTACGTATTTATTTTTGTCTTTTGCTTAACTTTCCTATATTTTGCACTCCAATCGTTTTTTTCTGTATTGCCGTAACTTTCTGACCCACACCAACTGGACATCGGTGAAAAAAAAAGCTTCATGGCTCATTTAATTTTTCCAGGATAAATCAAGATTCCAATTACGAGTACTTGGTGCGGTGTGTCAAACATCAGCACTCAGTACTGGGGAGATAAAAGGCGGTCGGGCGTGGTGCTGGCCACCCAGCCCCTCGTGTACCGTTCCAGCCATCATAGGTGCTCGCTAACAGCACTTGCCCCAACAGTCTGTTCAGTCTATACGGGGGATCTTTGCATGTACGTGTGTGCGTGTGTGTCGCCAGGGGTGACGCGGTGTCGTACGCGAGGCTACAGCACGGCCAGAAGTCGGACGACATCCCCCTCGCGGAGAGGGGTGGCGTGGAAGGGGAGCCCTGAGGACACTCCTGACAACATACACCGCTCGCACACACACAGAATACGTAGCACACGCATAGCATAGATAGTACACACACACACGGTACATACATAAACATAGCGTTAACAGTACACACATAGCACGTGCATGCATACATAGTCCACACAAATAAAGCACACGCATAGCTTAAGGACAAAGATCACTGATTAAGGCTGACGGTGTGGTCATCACTATTCCCGACCGCCTTTGTCTCCCTGGAGCTGACGATGTGTGTTGAACACACCGCACCAGGCACTCATGTCTTAGGACTGAGTCGAGCTAGTGGGAGGCCTGGGAAAGATACAACTCGCCACTGAAGCGGGGATGAAACCGAGGAGACCGATGGGGTTGGTGGTGCAGTGCGTTAACCACGACGCTGCTCACCCCCCATGTAGTAACACGCACATCATACCCTGACACAGTAACGACACTCACCGTTCGTACCGTACACGGTGTATAAACACACTACAATGCTAGGGGCTCGTCAGCTATTGTTTACACAACCACGCGCTGGGCAAATCCTGGAGGCGCGTAGTGTGGGCTCTGACATTGGAGCCGGGCACGCGGGGTAAAGGATAAATCCACAGAGCACAGAGAACGCACGTGCTGTACGCTACAAAGACAAAGATCCCGCGGATAGCCTTCACAGACTGCTGGGGCAGGCGCTGTTAGCGAGCACCTATGAATGCCGGAACGGCGCAATTAGGAGGGGGATGGTGTGGCCAGCTCCACGCCCGGCAGCCTTTGTGTCCCCAATGCTGATGTTTACACACCGCACCAGCTACTCGGGTTGAGTCGACCTAAGGAGAAGGCCTGCTGACGGTTCGGATAAAAGTCACCGGTAGTTGTTGGCCGTGAGTGGGAATCGAACTCGGGTCGTGTGATTCCTCGCGCGGAACGCCAACAGCTGCGCCACCGCTCTCCGCAATCCACCGCTGTACAAAACCCCCTCTGCACGCGCAAATCTTACAATAGGGTACACGGGAAACATAGCCCTGGACACGCACACCGCGCACACACCCCTTTAACTATATATAAGATGTTAACCACGCGTCTACACACCTCTCCCGAGAGTGACGCTACATACACTCAACGGGGAAGGGCGCCACGCGAACACGCGTGCGTCTTGGCTGAGCGCGAGTGCAATTGTTGGCACGAGGAAGGAGGCGATGGCTCTTCTTCCTCCAGGTGCCGTGCGGGTTGTGGTTGTTTTATTGTGGCTGTAGTATCGGCGGTAGTTGTGGTGGTTGTTATTGTAGGCATAATAAACGGCGTGCGAAGACATTCGGGGAAGAGTGTGGCGGTGTTGATGTGAACCAGCTTGCTTGCTTGTCACCAGCGTTATTGTATCGTCACACCACCATCAGCACGTTCACCATTATCACCAACACCGTCTCGCATCAACCCATCCATCTTCAGCATCACGACCACCAAAATCGCATTGTCACCAACCTCGTCATCATATCGTCGCAACTTCAATCACGACGACATTCCCCGCACCCCGATCGTCGCACAACACAATCATCACCATCATCCACCCGACACTATTTCACCATATTCACTCCTGGATATGTTGATCATCATCAACCACATCCACGATCATCACTTCCACCCCTGGCACCCATCTCCCGCACGTGCTCTGCTCACCCGGCAAGTGAGGCGCTCGGGTGCCACGTGGCCAGGTAGTAAGTCAGCTTTATTGATCGCGTACAAATGAGGTACATGGCAGTGAGAATCTTCGTCCCCTTGTCGCTCTCTCAGCTTGTGCAAATTAACAACAATGTAAACAGCACGCAAACAACATTTTAAAAATACGTAAAAAAATCAGTAAAAACTCAGTGAAGTCGCTGTGCGGATGATAAAAGTGGCATGTGCATGAGACGAGGCGGGCAAGGAACGCGTGGATTAGAGGACATGAACAACGGGCGTACGCCAAACAAAACAAGCCGGTAGGAACTGCAGGGCACGCCACGGGATAGAAGTGAACAACTTTTAGAGACGAATTACGGAGTGGTAGCCAAGGGAGGGGAACGCGTCTAATGGATCCGTGGGGAGACGAATCGATGAAATCGACTCGGAAGCGTGGGTCCCAAGTGGATTTTCTCCAGCGCGTGATCCGGCGACTCGGTGGGCCCATCGAGGACTTTTATTAAATTCGATTTGCTTCTGGCATTTCCATAAGCCGGGTCAAGCCACTTATTGCACAATGAGACAAATCCAACTCAATCTTGAGTTATCAAAATATTCAATTTTACGGCTGGAGGAATCCGAGGACCTCCAAAAGCTCTCTCTTGTTTTTTTTGCCACAGATATCCATACTATTTGGTTCTTTCGGTAAAGTCACGTGGGTAGAAATAAAAGAAGACAAATCACGACGTTTCGATCGCAACACCAGCACGGTAATCTTCCATCGAGTGGAACAACCGCAGCAAGAACAATTGGTGAAGTAGGCGGGAGACATCCAGTTCGGGGCCACGGGGCTTAAGGACGCCTGGTGGTAAGACGAAATCAACTCGAGACGTTGTTTGATGTCTGCCGGCCGAGTGGCCCTTGAAAAAAGAGCGACTTCCGTAGTTAAATTCGCATCTGATTCTGACTTGAGCCAGCAGTGGATCGACCAAGGCGTGCAACGTCATAGACGTAGCCCCGCCCACCACGCACGTGACCACGTCGCGTACAGTGCTCACTGTACCCGCCCCCTTGGGCCCGTGTTCTCTTAAACTCTGCGCACTTGATTTTCGGAGCAACGTTTCGGGCGTTGATCCTCATTCATGGCGCATTTTAAGCCAGCATTGGCCTCCACTCGGCCGTGGCGACGTTGAAGGAGAGCTTGATGCAATGTATTGGCGATGTTTTTGCTACGTCTGATTTTCGACGTTCCATTAACTCATTCAATATAATCTTGATTCGAATCTTGATTTGAATCTTTATTTTAAGTTTTATGTATATACTGTATCCTTAATTAGACATTTCAAAACGTCTTTAATATTTAAATTATCGACATTTTGTCATTTTCATTGTTCAAATATTACGTTTGTTACACATTTTTAAATAGCGCGAATCTTCAATTATTGGCAATCTATATTAATTTTTGATAATCGGATTTTTTTTATCACATGCTTTCATAATCTCATAAATTCACGAGGCAATACACATCTATCAAACGTACAGGATCAACGCTGAGTCGTGAGTTTCTAAGCGTGCCTCCTGAATCTGCACCGCTGAACACGGCGCGCCATAAAGGACACCGCGATTGTTACGCTAATCTTTTGAACATTTGTCAAAATAAACAGCCGTGGTTTTGTTTATTCGTTAAAAGATAAATACAATTAACCACGTGCGCCCTGAATTTTGGCCAAACCCTGTACAGTCACCACCCCCCCCACCGCCACCACGTGGCCGCGCGCTCCGCCCCTGGTACGTGCGTGGTAGCGGGTGGTGGTACTGTTACTGGCTGTGCTCCTAGGTAGACTCAGCCTCAAATGAGTGCCCGGCGCGGTGTGCGGTAAACGTCGTCACGAGGGAGACAAAGGTGGTTCGGACGTGGTACCACCCTCTTTATTACCCCGTTCGGGCCTTCATAGGTGTCCCCAGCAGTGTTGTTCGTGGCTTAGGCACGGGGGATCTTTGTTTTCTGCTGTTAGTGTTGATGGTAGTGGTGGTTGGTGGTACTGTTACTGGCTGTGCTCCTAGGTAGACTCAGCCTCAAATGAGTGCCCGGCGCGGTGTGCGGTAAACGTCGTCACGAGGGAGACAAAGGCGGTCTTGGTGTGGTTCTGGCCAGCTGTGTTAGGGGCTTAGGCACGGAGGATCTTCGGCGCTGTTGGTTGTAGTTAGTGGTGGTGGTTGGTGGTCGTGGTTGTTCAGGCTGAGCGGTGCGCCATGGAAGACCTCGTGGAGGCGCTGTTCGAGGCGGAGGCAGTGAAGTTTGGAAACTTCACGCTCAAGAGCGGCCTCGCCTCCCCCATCTACTTCGATCTCCGTGTCATCGTCTCGCACCCGCGCCTCATGCTGCAGGTAGGGATCCCCCGTACCTCGTCTTTGTGGGCACAAGTTTACATCATCACCCCCACCATCATCATCACCCTCATCATAACCCACACCTTCATCATAACCCACCCATCATCATCTAAAGATCTGTGTGAGTATGCGACCCACATACTCACACAGATCTATAGACTCACACACTCACACAGATCTATAGACTCACACTCACACAGATCTATAGACCCGCATACTCACACAGATCTATAGACCCGCATACTCACACAGATCTATAGACCCGCATACTCACACAGATCTATAGACTCACACACTCACACAGATCTATAGACCCGCATACTCACACAGATCTATAGACCCGCATACTCACACAGATCTATAGACCCGCATACTCACACAGATCTATAGACCCGCATACTCACACAGATCTATAGACTCACACACTCACACAGATCTATAGACCCGCATACTCACACAGATCTATAGACCCGCATACTCACACAGATCTATAGACCCGCATACTCACACAGATCTATAGACTCACACACTCACACAGATCTATAGACCCGCATACTCACACAGATCTATAGACCCGCATACTCACACAGATCTATAGACCCGCATACTCACAGAGATCTATAGACCCGCATACTCACACAGATCTATAGACGCACACACTCACACAGATCTATAGACTCACACACTCACACAGATCTATAGACTCACACACTCACACAGATCTATAGACCCGCATACTCACACAGATCTATAGACCCGCATACTCACACAGATCTATAGACCCGCATACTCACACAGATCTATAGACTCACACACTCACACAGATCTATAGACCCGCATACTCACACAGATCTATAGACCCGCATACTCACAGAGATCTATAGACCCGCATACTCACACAGATCTATAGACTCACACACTCACACAGATCTATAGTCCCGCATACTCACAGAGATCTATAGACCCGCATACTCACACAGATCTATAGACCCGCATACTCGCACAGATCTATAGACCCGCATACTCGCACAGATCTATAGACCCGCATACTCACACAGATCTATAGACCCGCATACTCACACAGATCTATAGACCCGCATACTCACACAGATCTATAGACCCACATACTCACACAGATCTATAGATCCACACACTCACAGAGCTCTATAGACCCGCATACTCACACAGATCTATAGACCCACACACTCACACAGATCTATAGACCCGCATACTCACACAGATCTATAGACCCACACACTCACACAGATCTATAGACCCACACACTCACACAGAACTATAGACCCACACACTCACACAGATCTATAGACCCACATACTCACACAGATCTATAGACCCACACACTCATACAGATCTATAGACCCGCACACTCGCACAGATCTATAGACCCACACACTCACACGGATCTATAGACCCACACACTCACACGGATCTATAGACCCACACATTCACACAGATCTATAGACCCGCATACTCACACAGATCTATAGACCCGCATACTCACACAGATCTATAGACGCACACACTCACACAGATCTATAGACGCACACACTCACACAGATCTATAGACCCGCACACTCACACAGATCTATAGACGCACATACTCACACAGATCTATAGACGCACACACTCACACAGATCTATAGACCCACACACTCACACATAGCTTTAGACCTGCATACTCACACAGATCTATAGACCCACACACTCACACAGAACTGTAGACCCACACACTCACACAGAACTATAGACCCACACACTCACACAGATCTATAGACCTGCATACTCACACAGATCTATAGACCCACACAGATCTATAGACCCACACACTCACACAGATCTATAGACCTGCATACTCACACAGATCTATAGACCCAAACACTCATACAGAACTATAGACGCACATACTCACATAGATCTATAGACCCACACACTCACACAGATCTATAGACGCACATACTCACATAGATCTATAGACCCACACACTCACACATATCTATAGACCCACACACATTCATACAGACCTGTAGTTATGTTGACAGGAGAACAGGCGGGAGAGGTTAAGGACGGGTTAGGGGTAGTTTAGGAGTAGTTATAGGGCTCGTGGTAGTGATGATAGGGGTAGAGGTAGTGAAAGAGTTTGGGGGAGTGATAGGGTAGTGGTAGGATGGGGTAGTGTGTGATAAGGGTAGCGGTAGGATAGGGATAGGGTAGGGATAGTGGTAGTGTTAAGGGTAGTGGTATGAAAAGGAATAGGGGTAGTAATAGGGTAGTGGTACGACAGGGAGTGATAGGAAAGGGGTAGTGATAGGCTTGGGAGAAACGGGATCAGGTGCGTGAAGATGTTTTATGTGCAGTGGGAGTTTGTTACAGTGTCTGTCTCAGTGTGAATTTATATATCTCTGTGCGAGTCAACTGGTCTCGGTATTAATCAGTCGATCTCTGCGGGAGTACTAAGTGAGTGGGTCTCGGTGTGAATCTATAGATCTGTGCGAGTCTGTGGGTCTCTGTGAGTGGGTCTTCGTGTGAATCGATAGATCTCTGCGTGTAGGTCTCTATGCGAGTGGGTCTGTATGAATCTATAGATCTGTGCGTGTATGTGGGTTTCGGTGTGAATCTATAGATATGAGTGTAGGTCTCTATGCGAGTGGGTCTCGGTGTGAATCATTAGGTCTCTGCGAGTCTGTGGGTCTCGGTGTGAATCTATGAATGTCTTCACATGGCTGATGTTGATGCCGAGCATCGGCTGTGATTTTACGCTGTTATTGATGAGCTAAATGATTGCATCAGGTGAATTGCAACTCACCCATCCCCTTGTCTCCCCCCCCCCACCGCAGGTGGCGGAGCGCCTATGGGATGTGGGCCGTTCCGTGTGCCACTCGGCGCTGCTGTGCGGCGTACCCTACACGGCGCTGCCCATCGCCACGCTCATGGCCACGGCGCACGAGAGGCCCATGCTCATGAGGCGCAAGGAAGCCAAGCAGTACGGTGCGGCCCAACGCTGTGTGGTGTGACGCGACACGGGGTTGGCATGACGCGGGATGTCCTGATGCGGGATGGCGTTACGCGGTGTGGCTCAACACGGGTGGTGGCGTTACGCGGTGTGGCGTGACGCGGTGGTGTAGGCACGGCGCGCATGCTGGAGGGCGCGTTCGCGGCTGGAGACGTGTGCGTGGTGGTGGAGGACGTCGTCACCAGCGGATCCAGCGTGCTCGAGACGGCGGACGTGCTGCGTCAGCACGGCCTGCAGGTGCGAGATGCCGCGTGATGACGACGGTGTGCGTGATGGTGATAATTTGATGGTGGTGCAGTGGCACGATGCTATCATACTCTTGATTGTGAACAGAGCTGGGCGGGATGCTGCGTGATGTTGATGCTGCAGGTGCGCGACGCGCTGGTGCTGTTGGACCGCGAGCAGGGTGGCCGCGAGATCCTGGCCGGCGCTGGCATCACCCTGCACTCGGTGTGCACCGTGTCTCGGCTCATGCAGGTGAAGGCGACTCGAGTGCAGAGTTGGGAACAACAACGAGGAGCATTAATTTCCTTTATTAACCTGGGAACACCTCACAGAGGCGTTCCGCTGCATACATATCGAGCGGGTTTGACGGCGTGGGGTGACGCTCGCCCAGCGTGCTCTTTACGAGGGGAGTTGCGCTCAAAGGTTCGCACGGATGGATTCACCAGCCCACAAACCATTAGCTGGTTTGGCACTTAACTGGGCCGAATTACAGCTCGTGAGAATTTAAGGTATATCGGTGCAACTGCCACGCAACGAACGGCACTCTCCATAGCGGGGCGCGTGAAGATTGCAGCCCAAACTCGTGTATGCGGATAAAAACAAAGCAAAGCGTCACTTGGAAAGGATCTTGGAAGCAGTTCTGTGATATCCCGTTCTGCAGTGTCGTTCTCGCTAAAACACAACCGGAACGGCCGTTGTGAAAACCAAGCAAGACCACGAATCCCTGCACTGTTGCACACCGGCGTTGGTCAGTGTCCGCCGAGCGACCCGGTGGACAATCTAGGCGGCCGTCCCGCTCACTCCCGCCCCCGCCCCAGGTGCTGCTGGACCGCGGCCGCGTCGACCGGGCCACGGTCGACTCCGTGTCCGCCTTCATTTCCCAAAACCGCGCTACGTCGCCGCCTCGTGCCTCGTCGCCCGCGCCCTCGCTCGTACCCGCCCCCGGCGGCGGGCCGGGCGCGGTGGCACAGAGCTACGGGCAGCGCGCGCGTCTCCCGTCGACGTCGGCCGTCGCCTCGCGGCTCCTCCTCCTCATGGAGGAGAAGCGCAGCAATCTGTGCGTGTCGGCCGACGTGCGCACGGCCGCCGAGCTGCTGACGGTGGCGCGCGCCGTGGGCCCCCACGTGTGCCTCCTCAAGACGCACGTGGACGCGCTCGACGACTTCACGGCCGACCTGCCGGAGCGCCTCGCCGAGCTGGCGCGGAGCCACCGCTTCCTGCTGCTCGAGGACCGCAAATTCGCCGACATCGGCCACACCGCCCGGCGGCAGTACCAGGGTACGTGTGGGGGGGGGGGGGGGTGTACTGCAGTGCGTGATGTGTGGCGAGTGAGGTGTGTGTGTGGCGAGTGAGGTGTGTGTGTGTGGCAAGTTTGGCGAGTGTAGTGTGTGGCGTGCATTGCAGGAGGGGTCTTTGGCATCGCGAGCTGGGCGGATCTGGTGACGGCTCATGCTGTGTCAGGCCCCGGGGGGCTGGAGGCCCTGGCCGGGGTGGGAGTGCCCCTGGGGAGGGGCTGCCTCCTCATCGCGAAGATGAGCTCACAGGGGGCGCTCACCACACAGGGGTACATGCAGGCAACGGTATGGCTCGGCTCGCTCTACGCACACCACTTACCACACCTCACTCACCACACTGCTCCATTCACCCTTGCTCAGTGTTGACGGTGGGGCGTGCGATGCCACGTAGGTGGCAATGGCCGAGGCGCGTCGCGACTTTGTGCTGGGATTCATCAGCACGGAGCGCGTCACCCACGACCCCTCCCTGCTGCACGTCACCCCCGGGGTCAAGCTACAGCCGGGAGGTGCTCACCACCACTTTATCCACTCGCTCACCTCTCATAGTAGCACCACACTCTCCACTTTACACACCCGCATTTGTGCCTGTGTGCACTTCTGCACCCTTCTGAATGGGTGCATGTCCCGTGCGTGCCAGGCGACGACCTGGGTCAGCAGTACTTGACCCCGGAGGAGGTGGTGGGTCGTCGAGGCTGCGACGTGATGGTGGTGGGCCGCGGCGTGCTGGAGGCCACCGACGTGACCGCCGCCGCCCGGCTCTACCAGCAGGCCGGCTGGGACGCCTACTGCGGACGCCTCCAGCCCGCCACCGCCTCGTAGCGCGGGGACAGCGACACGGGTGGGGCAACGCGACCGAGCGGCACAGGGCAGGGGCAGCGTGCGCAGGGAAGTAGCATACAAAGGGGCGGCATAGACAGGGCAAAGGCAGCATGTAGCAGGGGGCTGAAGAAATCTGCACTCTCGGTTCCTATTGGATTGCACTGGCGACGACGTCTGTAAGGGCGTGTGGCAACGACGCCTGTAAGGGCGCGTGGAGACGTCCGCGGTTTGTCTCGGCCTGAATAAAGCTACATTGAATAACCCCCCCCCCCCGCTTCTTTCACGTCTAGTGGGCAGCACGGGGAGGGATAGTGAACTGCAGGTGGGGAGGGGAATGTGCAATCGGTTGATTTATTGGAGGACACGCGCGAGGAATCTATGAAATAACAGGAATCTAGCCGCCAACACCGCGCTTAATAGTAGTAGATACAGGTTTTTATCAAAAAGCGCCAAGATTCCCAAAGCAATCTCAAATAAATATCCCCCACCAGATACAATTATGTGCAAAACTCAATCCGCCCCAGCACCCCTTTGTGGGGTTGGGGGGGGCGGCTAGGGGTCGGGGGGCATGTGACAGCCTTAACCGATTATACACCAGCCCTGGGGGTGGGTTACAACTCCTGCTCCCCCCCAAATTAATACAAGCCCCCACCACTGTCCAAGTGGTCACCACCCACTTAATCAGATTGGAACACCCACACCCACATTGTAAGCTATACACATGGTACACAGTCCGCCGTTGGTACGCGTGGCACACTTGTGGTACGCGTGCGTGTATGGTACGCAACGGGGAAACACTTGTCGTATAGGCGCACGCGTGGCACCACGGGTATTCTCGCGGTGTCCGTGCGTACGAGACGCACACTGAGCAAGTGAGGCCTGGCAGAGGCCTTTGCTGTCGTGGAAATGGGAGACTCGATACAGCTCTGTTTACAGCAGGATTACATGAGGCACACAGACACACCAAAAAAGTAATGATCCACCGAAAAGCCTTAACAAATTATTGGGGTGAGCAACTATAAAGGGCGGTACGGCACTCAAGGGGTTGGTGGCAAGCACCACGCCCGGGGCCCCCTTCGTCTCCCCAGTGCTGATGTTTACTGCACAACGCACCAGGTACTCATTTGAGTCAACTGGATTTGTAGAGCAGCGCGCTAACCGCTCCCCACAACAGCCACGCAGGCACACGCACACACATGGGACCATACGCAGAGATACTTGGAAAAACAGGTTTCCAAAAAGAAATGGACAGAAACATGCACAGACATGAAGACACGCACGTACACAGACAATACAGACACGTAGCTACGAAGACACCCGGCAGGCGGACACCGACGTAGTAAGACACGCAGACAGATGAAGGCAACACGCGCACGTAGGACGCAGAGACATATATATATACAGACAGACGGGCACAAAGAGGAATGGACACACCGACGCACGCGCACACACGCACTCCAGCACGGCCCGTGATATGTGCACGCCGCTCGCCTTTAACATCTCTTCCCCGTGACCCCGTGCCCCAAACGTATAAAGTGAGAGCATCTTGCCAAGTGCAGCCATGGGGGAGACTGGACTCACAGTCCCCGACTACTCAGTAAATTCTCCCCATTGTTTTTGTATTCCTAGCCACCCCTTCCCCAAATCTCCCAGTGCTCCAGACGCCCACAGTCTCCCAGCCCCCCAACTCCTCAGCCCTCTCCGCGCTACTCAGCCTCCCCCGCGACCTACTGTCGGAGTTTAAAGAGAACTCGTTTGTAGTTCACAGAACTAACCAATCTCCTCCACTTGCAAGAACCACTGCTAAACCAATCTCCATTCACCGGGAGTGGGCCCTGGTGTAAATCGCCGCCTCACGGGTCAGGCTGTGAGAGCGGCCGCACGAGATGATCCGCCGATACCCCCGTCAGCGTGTGGTGCCACACAACCTCTCCGCTTCCTTCACAGCCGCGCAGCCTCTACCCGTACAAAAGACCTCCCCCCCCCCCCCCCCGTATAGCCTTAACAGACTGTCGGGGCAAGTGCTGTTAGAAGGGAGTAGCACTTATGAAGGCCGGCACGGCACACGAGTGAGTGGGTGGCCAGCACCACGCCCGGCAGCCTTTGCTCCCCAGTGCTGATGTTAACTCGACATCGCACCAGGTACTGAGTAGACCTAGGGGGGGAAGCCCAGGACCGGTCCAATTAATCGTCGCCCATGGTGGCTGCGAGCGAGCGGCTTTATAGCAAAGCGCTCAAACCGTTGCACTACACCCCTCACCTTACACACACCCTCGACGTAGACCCTCCTACACACATCCTGCCATACGCACACACGTTTTCACCATGCACCTGTAGACGTGCACATGCCGTGGATGCACCCACACGGCCCCCTAAAACAACCACCACCCTGTTGTCTGTGCACCCCCATCAATCGCTCTTGTCTGTAGCCCCTCCATCCTCCCACACCCGCCCACCCTCTGCCCCCCCCCCCCACCAACCGTTCCGCCCTCCGGACGTCACGCGATCATCGCGCACGCGTGACTTTGACCTCTTGACGCGATCTCGCCCACGAGCCGTGACCTCAAGAGCCGGGTTCACATCTGAGCGATCCGCGTAGGTGTGAACGTCCGCGAAGCTGCTTGCCGGGCGACCCCCTTCGGCTCGCCGTGCCCTCCATGCCGCTGCCGGGGCTACTTTCCCGCCCGTCCAGCCGCCCGCCCGCCCGTGCCGTGGACTAGGCAGCCGAGGGTACGTTGGTGGGCACGGCCGCTCGCTCGGGCAAGGTCGCGACCTCGTGCGTGACCTCATATGAGCATGACCTTGACCTCGTTGTCGGTGTCCACGCGGTAGAAGAAGGGGATGCACGTGGACTCGTCGAGGTAGGAGGAGGAGGAGGAGGGCCCGCGCGACTCCTGCAGCTCCTGAAGCAGTTGCATGATCTGCCCGGCCGTGCCGGGGGGCTCGGCGGTCGTGGGGGGCCGAGGGTCGTCGTCTGGGAGGATGAGAAGCGGGGGCGGGGTACAGGGAGGGAGGTTAGAGTCAACGCACCTCACTGGAGCTAGTTTCAGTCGCATGTGCAGTGAGTATGTGTGGTGTGGTGTATAATATTGTGTGTTGTATGTCGTATGTAATGTAATGTGTCGTGCATGGTGTGTATCATGTGATTTATTTTATGCAAAGTGGCGTATAGCGTGTATCATATCATACGTTCCGTACTGCAGTGTACTATATAGCATGCATGGTGTGTTGTGTATGGTACAACAGTGCAGTGTGGCATGTTGTGTGTGCCGTGTGCATCACCTGTGTGTGCTCTCTCCGTGCCAGCATCTGCCGCTCCCTCCCTCGCACTCGTCCCCTCGCTCTCACCTCCTTCACCTCCGTCTGCGGGTAGAGAGGGGGGGGGGAGGTTGTTGCCATGAGTGACGGAAGTGACCAGAGGCTGCGGCAGCTTCTCAGTATCTAGGCGGCCGTGCCTGCTGATGACCGGCTGTAAGGATGCGTGGCTGAAGCTGTGCAGGTCAACGGTGCTCTGGCGCGTGCGGCTGTGGCGAGTACAGCGTGTGGCCGTGTCACCCTGGGTGCCGTTGGGCAGGTGAGGGCCCATTCCCTCCTCCTGCTCCTCCTCGTTGAGACCTCCTCCCGCTGCTGCTGCCGTCACCGCCGTCACCGCCGCTACCCCCCGTGGCGCCGGCCCCTCCAGCCCCCACGCGTTCCTTTCGGCCAGGAGTCTCATCACCAGCTCCTGCAGCTCCCCCAGCTTCACCTGCCGAGTCACAGGGCAAGGGTCAGGGCGTGTGGGCAAGAGTTGGGTGACAGGGGTGATGATGATGAAGATGATTTTGAATATGATAACGAGGATGTGGTACGGAGCAAACACGTGAATATATTATGGTTGGATGTTAGGTTTTGAGTGAATTTCATAGGTTTACATACATTAGGTTCACATGATGAACACGTATGGACGAATCTCATTAATATTTTAACGGCATGACTCGCAATTTGCAAGCATTGTGGAGGTGCAGAGTGAATCTCCCCTTAATCAGATTGTTTCCAGGAGGGGGGATAAGCAACGGCTGAGAGCCGTTGACCCGCACGTTCCATCGCCTCTACGAAATTGTCACCGCAATGGCGCGGCCCCTGGGTCAGAGACGCGATGGGACGGTGGGTCGGGTGGGGCGTGTGGGTCGTAGGTCGGCGTCACCTTCATGTTGTCGCGGTCGAGCGCCAAGCGGTTGATGAACTCGTCCTTGTCGCGGTGGCGCTGGCGCATGACGTCGCGTTGGCTCTGGTACAGCGCGATGTACTCGCCTGCACACGTGCACGCACGCACGGGGTGTGACGCACGCACACGTGGGTACCGCGTGGGTACGGGTACGTGCGCGCACACGCACGTACAGAGTGTGCGACAGATGCGCAAACACACGTACGCACACACAGAGATCCCACATACAGCCTGTCCAGGCTGTTGCGGCAAGTGCTGTTAGCGAGCACCGAAGAAGGACAACACGGCGCACGAGGGGGTGGTGTGGCCAGCACCGCGCCCCGCTGCCTTTATCTCCACAGCGCCGAGTGCTGATGTTCATACATCGCACCGGGTACTCATTTAAGGCTGAGTCGACCTACACACGCGTGCGCACCGATGGTGTCGGTCTCTCCCGACAGCTGCTCGCAGCGGTGCTCCAGCTGCTCCAGCTGATCGCGGAGGTCGGCCTTCTCCCGCATCACGGCCTGGAAGCGAACCTGCGCAGCCACAGCACAGAGGGGGTGCGGGTCACGCTGGCCCCAGATCGGGAGCCGATAGAGCGATCGCGGTGCTGGTGCGGAGTCAACCAGCGCCGCCCACAGGGAACAACCCTGTCACCACGCACCACTCACCACACCCTTTCCCTCGAAGCGCTCCACTCACCGCTCACTCCAGCACCGCAGCCGCCACTCACCTGTAGCTGCTCCATGGCCGCACGCAGAGACTCGTGCTCCTGGGGGGACACGGCCCCCTCCCCGTGGTGGGGGGCGGCCGAGGGGTGGGCGGCGAGGTTGCCCAGACGACGCAGGGCGGCGTAGACGTCCCGAAGTCGAGAGATGAGCTGCGCTCGCTCGCTCTCGCGCTGCTCAACCAGAGCCCGCAGGTGCGAGACCTGGGCGCGCACGCGCAGCGCCACACACGGCATGCATAGGTTACACGTGGTGAACAAAAAGACAAAGCTCTCCCGGATAGCCTTAACAGACTGTTGGGGTAAGTCCTGTTAGCGAGCACCTATGATGGCCGGCACGGCACACGAGGGGGTGGGTGGCCAACACCACGGCCGGCTGCCTTCGTCTCCCCAGTGGCGATGTTTAGACATGCACCAGGTACTCATTTGAGGCCGAGTCGACCTAGGGGAGGCCCAGGACTGTTTCAGAAAATCGTCACTGGTGTTGGCCGTGAGCGGGAATCGAACCCGGGTCGCCAAGTTCGTAGCGCGGTGCGCTAACCGCGACGCTACCGCTCCCCACACACACAGACACACACCCTGCTCACAGCTCCCGACCCACACACACCCCACAGCCCCTCACCGTCTCCTCTGGCTCCTCGGCCCCAGCCTCGTCTGCGGGCGAGTCTGTGGGTGACGGAGCGGGCGAGTCCGTGGGAGACGGAGCGGGCGAGTCTGTGGGAGACGGAGCGGGCGAGTCTGTCGGCGCCTCCAGCAGCGACGCCATGTCCTCCAGCACGCCCTGCAGGGCACCCTCCACGGCCCAGCCCTCCTCGGGGCCCCCCTCTCCCACCCTCCTCTCCCCGCCCTGCAGCACCCCCTCCGCGGCGACCTGCGGCCCGTCGACGGTGACCTGCGACCCCTGGGCCAGAGAGCGCAGCTTGTCGTGCGCGATGTGCAGAGCGGAACGAGCCTCGGCCTCCTGCTCGACACGGGGTCACGGGTACACGGGGTCACGGGTACACGCGGTCACGGGGTCACATAAATGATAACCAGAGATAATGGTAATATTTGTTATAGGTTGTAATGAGAGGGTACCACGCGTATTAGGAGCTCGCACACAGCACTTGGTGGAGCTGCGTCTTTAGTGTATGCGTGTGCATGTATGCTCGCAAAGAGCACTTGACTCGACAGTCTGTTAGAGGCTATGCGGGGGGGTGGGGGGGAAATCTTCGTATTTTGTATGAGAGCAGTCGTCACGGCCACCAACACCAGTGACGAACGTATGAACAACCGGTCCTGGGCCTCCCCCAGATCGACTCAGCCTTAAACGAGTATCTGAAGTTGCTGTTTGCACGCGCGTGTGCGGGCCCCGCACCTGGTGCTGCACACGGTCGAGCAGCGTGCTCTGGGCCAGGCACTGCCTGTGCAGCTCGTCGCGCTCCGCCTGCAGCTGCACCACGGCCGCCCCGTACTGCTGCAGCTGCTGCAGCACCGCGCTCCGTTCCGCCACCAGAGCCTCCGCCTCCGCGCACTTGGCTTGCAGCTGCGACGAAGGGAACGGTCACGCGATGACGCCGACAACACGACAACATCGACGGCGAGCCGCCGTTCGCCACGGCGCGCGTACCCGGCCAGGTGCGCTTTGATAGGCGTGTGAAGTGTGGAAGGCACTCCAGCTGACGTAACCGTCACTTAGTGGTGAATGGCGGGGTGTATTGGTGTGTGTATTTACCGTTTGTCACCGTTTACAGGCCACGCACGTCACACTGTTTTTGGACGGCGTGCTGAGATGCGCAAGTTGCGACGTGTGGCTCCCCGTTGTGTTTTCAGGTTGGAGTTGGCCACACTTCCCAATTATAGGACCATAGAGCTTGGGCGATCGTTGTTGGTGGTGCCGGTTCTGGGAGCCCTTCCTTCCCCCGCTTATCTGCGGTTTTCCGAGCGAAAATCTGGGCACGGCGTCACATATCCTACGGCGGGCGCTTCGATCTGCGATTCTTTGGATCAATGACAACGCTTCGTACAAATATAAACTATTGTTGCGTGGCATGAGCAGTGCAACGGCGGCAGCGGTGCAACGGTGGCAGCGGTGGTGGGAGGTCCACCTGCTCCTTGACTTCGTGGGAGTTCTCCTGCAGAGAGCCCATATGGCGAGCGAGCTCCTTCTTCACGTGCTGCTCCGACTGCAGCGCGCTGCCCAGCTCCATGTTCTCGTTGCTCTGTGGAACACGCGGGGGTGGCACGGTGGGACACGGGGGACAGCACAGCCATCAGGGGACAGCAACATGGGGACACGGTGAGGGGCATGGTAGGACACGGGAGGACACAGACGGATATGGGGACACACAGGGACAAGAGGACACAGTAGGGCCATGGGCGACATCAGAGACACGGAATACACGGGAAAGCTTAAGATACAGATACATGGGGAAATGGGACGTAAGGGTACACGTGGGATACGAGGGGAAGGTAGGTGATAAAGGGATGACACAAGACACGGGTAGACAGGGAGACATGGGGCACGCAGGAGGAGACAAAGGGGGAAGTGAAAACACGGGGAGTGGGACAACGAGCACGGGGGGAGACACGGAGACGCGCGGATAGCGGCACACAGGTACGCGCGGACAGCAGGACGCGGAGAGACACGGCGCTCACCAGCTTGACGAAGCCGTTCTGCATCTCGGCGAGCTGCTCCTTGAGCTGGCGGTTCTGCGCCAGCGCGCGGGAGATGGTGGCCTTGTCGGCCTGCGCCGTCTCCAGCAGCCGCTGCCGGTCGCTCGCCTCGCAGCCCAGGTCCCCCAGCCGCGACTCGAGCGCCAGCAGCCGCGACTCCGCCTCGCGGTTGAGCTCGCTCAGATGCTCGTTGTCGCGCACCTGGGCGGACGACGGGGTAAAGGGAGCGAGAGCGCGGGGAGCGGAGGCGCAGCGGTTAGCACGACGCGCTACGAACCCGCCGTGCCAAGTTCCACTCTTCCCGCTTACGGCCAGTACCGGTCCCAGGACTCCCCGAGGTCGATTCATCCTTAAACGACTTCCTGGAGCGGTGTGTAAACAGCAGAACTGGGGATACAAAGGCGACCGGGCGTGGTGTTGTTAACCCACTCCCTCGTGTGCCGTGCCGGCCTACATAGGTGCTACCCCTTAAGAGCACTTGCCCTAACAGTTTAATGCTATATGGGGGATCTTTGTTTTTGCACCAGCGTGTGTGTGTGTGTGCGCGCAGGAGAAATGACCACCTGTTTCAACTCACTTAGCTCTTCACACGCGCGCAGCTGAGTAGACAGTGGGCAAGTAGTTAGTGTGTGCGCACGTGCCTGTGCGAATGTGTGCCTTGTTGTGCACGTGTCTGTGCGTGCGCGTATACGTGCATGCCTGTGTGCGCGTGTTTACGTGTGCGCCTGCGTGTGCACGTGCACATGCGTGCCTGTGTGTGTTTATGCACGTGCCTGTGTATGCATGCATGCATGCCTGTGGATGCGTGCGTGTGCGTGCGTGTGCGTGCGTGTGCGTGCCTGCGCATGGTACTGGGCGAGGAGCTTGTCTTTCTCCCTGTGCGCCCTCTCCAGCTCCGCCGCCAGGCCGTGCTCACGCTCCGAGGGCCCCTCCTGCTCCGACGCGGCGACGGCGGCGCTCGACTCTCGCGCCGCCTGCTCGCACAAAACCACTGGTGGGGGGGGAGGGGGGGGCGGGCGGGCACCGGCGGTCACTCAGCGGCTGCTGTGTGACACGTGTGCCGTATTTTCCCACATATAGTTCCGCATACGCATATAACCCGCACGCGCATATACCCCGCAAAAATAGCGTTTTGTGTAAAACAAATTTCAGATAGCCCGCACCTCCATATACCCCGCATGCATTCATATCTTTAACGTCGTTACCGCAGCCTAATTCCATCATATTAATACGAAGTTTACATTTGTAATACATTCCACTATCAATTGTTAACGTTAAAATCATAACGTGCACAGAGAAAACAAACTAACCGGAAACTAGTGAACTTTAAACAGTAAATAAGTAACAAAAGTAAATATCCAATAAGTAACACACAACTGGTAGATAAGTACAGTTTTAGCACTGGTAGATTGCGCACTGCGCATATAATAGCGGTACTACGGTGACGCCGTTGCCTCGCGCCCAACCCCCCCACCACTCTCTCCCCCCAGCTGCCCCACCCCCCATCCCCCCCCACCCCCCAACCCCCACCTCTCTCTCCCCCCAGCTGCCCCACCCCCCAACCCCCAACTCTCTCTTAGGCCTCGGCAAGGTAAGGTAATTTACCTTTTTTACCGGGTAAAAAGGTAAAGGTGTCGACATGCCAAGGGGTAAGGTAAAGGGTAGGGTAAAGGTAGCTCGGAATAATTACCCGGTAGGGTAAAGGTAGCGTGAAGTATTACCCGGTAAATACGGTACCTTGTTTACTGCTAAAAGCTCCGTGGCGCAGTCCGTGGCCTCCATTTAATAAGTAATATTTAAAAAAACTTTTTAAAAAACACGCTTTTATGAAATGTACAAGTAATGGCAGAACTCCCCGACTCCAGGAAGTGGCCCCGAAGCTTGCCACGTCAGGGACCATGGCCAATTACAGCCAACGTCAGTTGACAGTGGACAATTAGACCCAAGCCGAAATATAACATAAAAAATAATGTTTAAAAATATTTTTATTTTATTTTTAATTATAGAACATAGTATTGTCATCAGTATGACATAAGTATACCAAGTTTGCAGTCGATACCACATTGGGAAGTGGGTTAAAATTGAGTTACAATATTTGAGGATACAACGACGACAACAAGCATGTAAAATCGGAATAATCGAGAGTATTCTATATGAATAAAGCACTCTACCTAGCATTTACCTGTTATAAACCTTTTTCATGTGTAGTACCCCAGTAATTACGCTGTAATCAGGTAATAAAAGGTAGGGTAAAGGAAGGTTCGTTGCTTTTAACCTTTTACCTTACCTGCTGAAGGGTAAAAGGTAGGGTAGAGTGATTCTATTGTGGTAAGGTAAAAGGTAGGGTAAATGTAGGCTCGTTGTTTTTACCTTGCCGAGGCCTAACTCTCACTCCCCCTAGCTGCCCCACCCCCCAACCCCCACCTCTCTCTCCCCAGCTCTCCCGTCGCCGGTAAACAGTGCGCACACTTCAAACATTGTCGTTTAATTGTACAAACAATTCATTTAAAACGTGATAACGTGCAATTTTAGTGTGAGTGGTTTATTCAGCAGTGCTTTAGTCAAAGGCAAGTGTTACATAGTGGATAGTCCTACCAAGAAAAAATGTAAACGAGTTATGACGTGTCACACGTGTAAAATATTTTTGGGATAGCCCGCACCTCCATATACCCCTCAGGGTCTTGTTTTGTTTGTAAAGAGTGGTATACCCCGTGGGTTATATGCGGAAAAATACGGTATATGTGTCTGTGTGTGCTGTGTTAACGTGGGGAGCGGTAGTGTCGCGGTTAGCGCGTTGCGCTACGAACCTGGTCACTCCGGTTCAATTCCCGCTCATGGCCAACACCGCTGACGATTACCTGAACCGGTCCTGGGCCTCCCCTAGGTCGACTCAGACTAAAATGAGGACCTGGTGCGGTGTGTAAACATCGCCACTGAGGAGACAAAGCCGGTCGGGCGTGGTGCTGGCCACCCACCCCTTTGTGTGCCGTGCCGGCCTTCGTAGGTGCTCGCTAACAGCACTTGCCCCAACAGGCTGTTTAGGCTATATGGGGGAGCTTTGTCTTTGCTGCGTTAACGTGCTGTGTATGTGTACCTACTGTATGTAGGTAACACAGCGCGTGCTGTGTCATACCGTACGTGCCGTGCGCGCTGTGTTATAATGTGTGTACTTGGTGTGGACTGGGTGCGTGCCGCAAACGCTGTGCTCACGCTTCTGCTGCTCCAGCTCGTGCAGCGACCGCTCCATTTCTCTGATCCGCACCACCTGCTCATCCTTCTCACGAGACAGCAGCTCCACCTAGCAGCAGCACACACAGAGCAAACCATGGCACACACAGCACACCATGTCAGACAGCACACCATGACACACACAGCACACCATGACACACACAGCACACCATGTCAGACACAGCACACCATGACACACACAGCACACACACAGCACACCATGACACACACAGCACACACACAGCACACCATGACACACACAGCACACCGTGTCACACACAGCACACACACAGCACACTATGACACACAGAGCACACCCGTGTCACACACAGCACACACACACAGCACACACACAGCACACCATGACACACACAGCACACCGTGTCACACACAGTACACCATGGCACACACAGCACGCCATGTTAGAGAGCACAGCACACACACAGCATACCATGCGCGACACAGCACATACAGCACACCATGCTCGATACAGCACAGGAAGCACAGTGTTAGAAAACACACACACAGAACACACCATGTCAGACACAGCTCACACACAGAACACCATGGCAGACAATGTCAGACACAGCACGCACGGCACACACACACACAGCACTCTGCGCCCGACACAGCACACGCGCGTGTGAGCGGTGCGGCTGCACCTGCTGTGCCGAGTGCTGAGCCGTCTCCTGCCAGAGGCGCCCCTGCTCCTCCATCTGCTGCAGGTGCTGCTGCCGCTCCAGCATCAGCTGCTGCACCGACTCCGACATCTGCACCGGGAAAACGCACAGCACCCACATCACAGTCACACAAAGACAACCCCCACGTAGCCCTGAACAGACTGTTCGCGCAAGTGCCGTTAGTGAGCACCGATGAAGGCCGGCACGGCGTACAACGGGGTGGGAGGCCAGCACCACGCAAGGCTGCCTTTGTTTCCCCAGTGTTGATGGTTACACACCCCACCAGGTACTCATTTGAGGCCGAGTCGACCTTGGGTAGGTCCAGGACCTGTTCAAATAATCGTCACTGGTGTTGGCGAGCGGGAATCGAACTCGGGTCGCCGGGTTCGTACAGCAGCGCTACAATACTGCTAATGATACACACACACACGCATGCAGACACACGCACACAGACACACATGGAAACACACAGACACACACGGACACACACACACAGATGCACACGCACACACACAGACACACACGGACACACACACACATGCACACGCACGCACACAGGCACACACGGACACACACGCACGCAAGCACATACACAGACAAACACATAGGCACTCAAACACGCATGGACACACACGGACGCACGCGGACACAGCCACCGCAGCAGTGTCCGTACCGCGTGCAGCTGCTGCTGGAGCTGTTCTCTTTCCTCCGAGAGCTGCTGCAGCTGCTGGTTGAGATGGGGCATCCCGGCCTGACTCGACAGCTGCAAGCGCACACGTACGGAGGAATGCGCACGCAGGCACGCTCGGATTTGTAAACGAAGAGGAAAAATCGGGCAGCACGCGTGGATTCCTTATCGCTCTTCCACCACGGGTTTTGCCCTCCCAGGCATTCCACGGTGACGTCGCGCAGCGCGTGACGAAGCGTCGGGGCAAGGCCCGCGGTCCGTAATCTGGGCAAAGTGACGTCGGCTCGCCGGAAGACAGCAGCACAGAAGTGTAGACTCGGCCTGTTTCCCTCGGCATAGGATCGAGTGTTTCCCCCTCGCCCGCGTGGGGTTTCTCCGGGTGCCATGGTTTCCTCCCGCACGTCAACACTCATGATCAATTGGCCGATACCGCCTCGATATACAGAGGACCGCAGAGCTCGGGCAATTGCTGGTAGCACCGCTGCTGCTACCTTCCCGCTCCTCGTCTGTAGTTCCTCCTCCTGGCAGCTCTGAGTCGTCCCCTCTCTCTCTCTCTACGAGAGCGATGAGTGGATACCGCGCGGCTCACCGTTTCAAGCTAAGATTGATTATTTTTACTATAATGCGTGCCTGCCGCATGCGTGTGGCGTGCGTGTGGCGAGCGTGGGGCAAGTGTGGGGTTAGTGTGTCGGTTAGTGCGCGGCGAGTGTGGGGTTAGTGTGCGGTGGGCACGCCGCGTGCACGCGCACGGAGACCACGCGTGCACGCGGTGTGGCGGCGCCGCCGCCGCTCACCTGCTGCACCATGATGTCGGCCATGTGCAGCTTGCCCTTGAGCTCCTCCGTGAACTCACGCAGCCCCAGCACCTCGGCGGCGCGCGACGCCAGCTGGCCCGCCTGCTCCGACGTCTGCTGAGTCAGCTCGTCCCGCACGCGCCTACTCGCAGACGCACGCACGCACGCGCAGATCCCCCGTGTAGCCTCCAACAGAGTGCAGGGGCAGAGTGCTATTAGTGAGTGGCACCTACAAAGGCCGGCAGGGCGCACGAGGGGCATGGTGTGACCGGCACAGTGAACATAGGAGAATGAGATTCTCAGCTGTTGACTTTCACACCCGAACAAATCGAGAGGAGTGAGGGATCCCAGCAATCCGGGAGTTCACTTTCCCACAGGCATCGTGATGGCACCCCCAACGCACACGTACACTGCGTCGGCATCGATGCCGGCTTCACTCACATCAGCTGGTCTCGCTCCTCCGCCACGGCCGCTCTCTCCGCCTGCAGCTCCTTGGCGAGCTGCGAACACAGACACGGCATTAACGTGACTCGGAGACACGGGGAGACGGGAACACGGCTTGTCGCGTGGTGTGTCGCGTGGCGTGCTCTGCGCGTCACCTTCTCGGCCTGCTTGTGCTGGGAGGAGACGGTGGAGAGGGCGCGCTCCAGCTCCGACACACGCTGGCGCCCGGCATTGAGACGCGCGCTCAGATCCTCCACCTCGCCTGCACACAGGGACACGGAGACACGGGGACACGGAGACACGGAGACTTGGAGACATGAGAACATGGAGACATGGGGCGTGGGCACGCAGAGACACGAGGTACACGAGGGCATAGACACGAGACAGAGGGAGACATATAGGATTGAGAGACACGAGATTGCGGTTGTTGTGGTTGTGGTGCTGACCGGCTCTCTGCTGCAGGGATTTATCCGCGAGGCTCAGTGTGTTCTGCAGCTCCGACTTCTCCGACACCAGGATCCCGATCGTCTGAACGTGCACCTGGGTGGCCCAGACCACGGCACGCCATGTCGCACGCGCAAATTAAAAACGTGTAATTTACTTCATTAGCCAGGAGAGCCACACTGAGTCGTATGACCCTTGTTCAGGAGGGTGCTGCTGCTGCTGCTACGTTGGGCGTTTGTCTGCGAGAAGTTTCCGGCCAATTAACGATGAGCTGTGTTAATTATACCACGTGGGAGGAAACTGCGGCACCCGGAGAATAGCCACGCCTTGCGTGAGGTGGCAGTGCTTTAGCCCCGTACGGGTGGAATAAACGGATGGAGATTAGTCCACTTGCCGTGCTGCCCTCCCCTGGCGAGCCCAGGGTATGGCACCTCCTCACCCCATCTGTGCGTGATCCACCAACCCTCCCTGCTGCCTCCACAGCGCTGGCTCACAGGTCACCGGTGCCCGGCTAACAGCACGGGAGAGCACGCGGGGCACCCTGACCCAAACCCACCCACGACCCTGACCCCTGATCTCTGACCTGCAGTTGTTCCAAAGCTGACCCTTCACTCTGAAGCCGCTTCTCCTGATCAGCGCGGACCTGAGACATGCGACGACACGCGACATGTAATCTGTGAGACGTGCATCACACGTTAAGGACGACATGCGACACGTATTGCGGGGTAAACGCAATGCACTCCACGTGACGCGTTAAGGGTAACATGTTCGGTGACGCTAGACGTTACGCACGACTTTCAACATGCAACATCTCACGTTATACACCCCATATACATACGCACACGTGTAGCACACACACACACATCACACATACACGCGCAATACACACACCACACCCGCACCACACATACACGCGCAACACACACCAGACACACACCACACACACATGCACACACGCACCACACACACACGACAAGAACAGAGTAAGGCTCTGCCACTACCTTCAGGAGCTCTGTCTCCAGGGCATCGTTCTGCTGCTTCTGTGGGACACACAGGGCAGAGGGGGTCAGTCCCGCAGGGGTGAGTGGTGAGGGTGGTGAGGGTGGTGGGAGTGGTGAGTTTGGTGTGTCAATGTGCCGAGTGTGGCATGTGAGTGTGGTCAGTGTGTTGAGTGTGCTAAGTGAGTATGAGCGTGGTGTGGTTCGTCAATGTGGCGAGTGGGTGTGGTGAGTGCGGTGCAGTACGGCGTCGTGCAGGTCTGCGAGGAGTCTCTTGTGATCGAGCGACGCAGCGTCCAGAGCCTGAGTCAGCTCCTGGTTCCTCGTCTGTGCGTCCACACACACACACACAAAGATCAGCCGTATAGCCTTAACAGACTGTTGGGGCAAGTGCTGTCAGCGAGTAGCACCTATGAAGGCCGGCATGGCACACGAGGGGGTGGATGGCCAGCACCACGCCCACAACACGTGTACACACATGCGTATGAAGACAAATATCCTCCGTCTGTTGTGGCAAGTGCTATTAGCGAGCGCCTATGAATGCCGGCATGGTACATGAAGGGGGGTGGGGTGGCCATCACCACGCACGACTGTCTTTGTCTATCCAGTGGCGATGTTTACACATCGCACCAGGTACTCATTTGAGGCTGAGCCGACACGCACATTTACACACAAGCACACCATGCATGGATCCCTTGTGCGGTCACACATCCTGTTGTGGCAAGTTAGCGCACTGCTCTGTGAACCCGGTGACCCAGTTTCTATTCAAGTTCACGGCTAACATCAGTGGCCTCCCTGAGGTCGGCTCAAGTCATTAATGAGCAGCTGATGCTGTGTGTAAAAATCAGCACTGGGGAAACAAGGCCAGCCGAGGCGTGGTGCTGGCCACCCACCCCCTCGTGTGCCGTGCCGGCCTTCATAGCTGCTTGCTAGCAACACTTTCCCCCTCAGTCTGTTAAGGCTACACGGGGATCTTTTGTCTGTGCATCTCACCTCTAGTTCTCTGGTGTCTGCCAAGTGGCTGCCGCTCTCCCCGTTGCGGTAGTTTGACTGGGACACGGTTCACACAGACTTCGTTAGAACACAAACACATGCAATACACAATTACTACAAGACAAAGTTCCCCCCCTGTAGCCTTAAACTGTTGGGGCAAGTGCCATTAGTGAGCACACACACGTGGTCACACACACACAAAGACCCTCCGTATAGCCTTAGCAGACTGTTGCGGCAAGTGCTGTTAGCCAGCACCTATGAAGGCCGGCACGGCACACGAGGGGGTGAGTGGCCAGCACCACGCCCGACCGCCTTTGTCTCCCTAGTGGCGATATTTACACACTGCACCAGGTACTCATTTGAGGCTGAGTCGACCTAGGGGAGGCCTAGGACCGGTTCAAATAATCGTCACTGGTGTTGGCCATGAGCAGGAATCGAACTCAGGTCGCCGGGTTCATAGCGCAGCGCGCTAACCACTTCACTTCCGCTCCACACGCACACGCTTGCACACAAAGATAAAGATCCCCCGTATAGCCTTAACAGACTGTAGGGGCAAGTGCTGTTAGCGAGCACCTATGAAGGCCGGATCGGTACACGAGGGGGTGGGTGGCCAGCACCACGCCCGACCGCCTTTGTCTCCCTAGTGGCAATGTTTACACACCGCACCAGGTACTCATTTGAGGCCGAGTCGAGCTAGGGGAGGCCCGGGACCGGTTCAGATAATCGTCACTGGTGTTGGCCGTGAGCGGGAATCGAACCCGAGTCGCCAGGTTCATTGCGCAGCGCGCTAACAGCTACACTATCGCACACACACGCTTGCACACATGCACGCACTCACTCACCTCGGACATGAGGCCGTTGATCTGCACAGAGATCTGGCGCAAGCGTTCCGTGGACGAGACGTCCCTGTGACGACATGGGCAGCAGAGTGAGAACCGCAGCCAACGCGTCACCACACTCCCACCACACCACCACCACAACATTACTACCACACCACCACTACCGTACTGCCACGACCACACCGCCACCACCGCCACCACCACACCCCATTACCAAGCAGTATCACGCAGTACTACAACACCCTTCCACATCGTCATGACTCCACCACCACACAATCACCAGCACCACCACGTAGCATGATGCGGTACTACATCACCACCACCATCACCACGACTCCACACCATCACCAGACATGTGTGGCTTTAGCTGGATTCTTTGACTTGCGTGCATCTGTGTGTATTGCTGTATATCTGCCTCCGTCTGTGTCTGCTGGAGTATTGAGTTGTACTAAACATTTTTCTTTGTCATTTAGTGTCTGCTTAAGTGTGTGCGTCGAGGTGTCCGTGTTGTTTGGGGAGGCAAAGGTGGCCAGGGTGTGGCCTCGTGTGCCGTACCAGGCTTCATAGGTGCTCGCTAACAGCACTTGCTCCAAAAGTCTGTTCAAGGTAAACAGGGGATCTTTGTCTTGTATTCTGGTAGTGGCAGTGCAGTGGTAAGCGCACTGCGCTACAAATCTGGTGACAAAAATTCGATTCCCGCTCACACGGGCAACACTGGTGACATATTTGATTATCTGAATCGGTGCTGTGCCTTCCCTATGTCGACTCAGCCTTAAATGAGCACCTGGTGCAGAGTGTAAACATCACCAGTGGGAACACAGAGGCGGCCAGGCATGGTGCTGTCCAACCACCCCCTTCCGTGTGCCATGCCGGCCTTCATGGAGGTGCAACTCGCTAACAGCACCTGTCCCAAAAGCCTGCTGAAGGCCATGGGGGGGGTCATTGTCTATGTGTGTCTGCATCTCTGTCCGTGTCGACATGAGAGAGTGTGAATGAGTGCGCTTGTGCCTCTGCTATTACCGCACTCCCTCCTGCTGCTCCTCCTCCCCCCCATCCATCACCTCCGCCACCTGCAGCACAAACCCCGTTACTCAGAATCCTTGCCACCAGCCAAGGCGCTGGGCCACATCCAGGAGAGACGGAACACAAGGACACTCTGTGTGTGTGTGTGGATTGCTGTGTGCGTGTGTGGTTCTCTGTGTGTGCTGATCACTGTGTATTTGTGTGTGGTTCGCTGTGTGTGTGGTTAGCTTTGTGTGTGTTGCTCGCTGTGTGTGTGGTTAGCTTTGTGTGTGTTGCTCGCTGTGTGCTTCACTATGTGTGTAGTTCGCTGTGTATTTGTGTGTGGTTCGCTGTGTGTGCTGATCACCGTGTGTGTGTGTGTTTCACCGTGTGTGTAGATCGCTGAGTATGTGTGTGCTTCGTTGTGTATGAGGATCGCTGTGTGGTTCGCTGTGTGTGTGTGCTTCGCGATGTGTATGTGGATTGCTGTGTGCATGTGTGCTGATCGCTGTGTGCATGTGTGCTGATCACTGTGTGTGTGTGTGGTTCACTGTGTGTGTGTGTGTGGTTCACTGTGTGTGTGTGGTTCACTGTGTGTGTGTGGTTCACTGTGTGTGTGTGGTTCACTGTGTGTGTGTGGTTCACTGTGTGTGTGGTTCACTGTGTATGTGTGTAGTTCACTGTGTGTGTGTAGTTCACTGTGTGTGTATGGTTCACTGTGTGTGGTTCACTGTGTGTGTGTGGTTCACTGTGTGTGTGTGTGGTTCACTGTGTGTGTGTGTAGTTCGCTGTGTATGCGGATCGCTGTGTGGGTCGCTGTGTGTGCAGATTTCTGTGTGTGTGTGCAAATCGCTGTGTGTGTGTGTGGTTCGCTGTGTGTAGATATTTCTGTGTGTGTGTGGTTCGCTGTGTGTGCAAATCGCTGTGTGTGTGCTGAGCGGTAGTGCAGTGGCTAGTGCACCACGCTATGAATCAGGTGACCCGAGATCCGTTCACGGCCAACATGAGTGACAGTTATCTGAACCAGTCTTGGGCCTCCCCCTAGGTCGACTCACACTTAAGTTATTGCTGGGTGTGGTGGACAAACATGAGCACCGGGAAGACAAAGGTGGCCAAGCTTGGTGCTAGATACCCACCCCCTCGTGTGCCATGCTCGCCTAAATAGGTGCTCGCTGATAGAACTGGCCCTAGCAGTCTGTTAAGGCTATACAGGCGATCCTTTGTCTTTATCTCTGTGGGTCGCTGTGTGAGTCGGTCGCGTTACACAGACAAGTCATGTGCTGCAGCCACACATCACATGATGCAAGCACTGGTCACGTGTTAGGAGCACAAGCCATCTGAGCACGCTTAGGTCATGCTTCACAGGCGCGGGGCCGCGTGATGCATGCACGGGTCACGCGTGCGACAGACCACGTCATCGACCCAAGGGTTTATATGAAGCATGCACGGGTCACATGACGCATGCAAGGGCGGTTCATGCACCTCCGTGAGCGTGGGGGGGGGCGACCCCCCCCACCGCCCCCGCCGCCGTCTCCTCGTCGGCCTCTCCGGCGCTCGCGGGGAGTCGCTCGTCCTCCGACTGCGCCCAGCACCCGGCACGGGGAAGGGGGGGGGGGGTTAACACATGGGGGTCAGGGGGTCACGTGCGACGGCGAGGGCGAGGGGCGACGTGTCTGGCGACTCCGGGAGCGATGTTAGCAGCTGGCAGAGCGGGGGTCAGGCGATGATGGCGGGCGGCAGGGGCAACGCGAGGGGTAACAGCAGCCCTCTGGCGTAACACGGCAGTAATGTCAGGCGGGGGGTGATGTCATGGTAATAAGAGGATAATGCCACGGTATTAACGATTTGGTAATGAGAGGGTAACATTCAGGATAACGCCAGGGTAACAACAAACAGGTGAAACGCTCGCGTAATGTCAGGGTAATGACTGGGTAACGTCTGGGTTAACGGCTGACAGTGGACGGTAACGTCAGGGTAACGTGACAGTAATATTATGGTAACACAAGGGTATCTTCAGGATAATGCCAGGGTAACGGATAATAATTTAATAAGTGCACAGAATCACAGATAAGAAAGCAGCCAGGTGGTGAGATGGCTCCAACAATTGCCCAAGCTCTGGGGTCCTCTATATACGAAGGTGTTATCGGAAAATTAACGAGTGTTTACATGTGGGAGGAAACCCGAGCACCCGCCGGGAGAAAACCCACGGCTGCGAGGGGGAAACACTCTATCCCCACGCGGATGGCGATTAGTCCACACTTGCTGCAGCGCCTTCTCCTGGCACGCGAGGCTTACGGCTCCTCCTCGACGCCCACGGGGGAATGGAGTTTCACAACGTCTGTGTGATCTACCAACCAACGCTGCTGCTGCTGCTGCTGCCTTCACAGCAGCGCTGGGCGCCAGGCGTGCACCACCACCAGTGGGTTGACAGGAGCAACGCTAAGCTAACGCGAGGTGAAAGCGAGGGTAAGTTGAGGGTGATGCGAGGGCGACGCCTGGCGGGTGACCTGCTCACGGCTGTCCCGCTCATCCCGGGGGTCACCGCCGGCATCCTCGCTGTCTCGGCCTCGCCGCTTCTTCTTGGCGCTGCCGCCATCTCCTCCGCCGGGGACCGCCTTCTGTTGGTACTCCTTCAGCTGGGGGGGATACAGAGAGGGACGAGGACAAGTGGAGGACGTGGGGACATGTTGAGACTGGACACATACGGAGACAAGTTGCTGACGGGAGTGGGGAGGGGGTGTAGCGAGACGTGCTGACAGATTCAGACGAAGAGATCTCGACACGGGTGGGGAGATAAAGGTGAGGTCAGAGACGTGGGAGGGGGGGGGCGGCTACGGGACATGAATGCAAGTGGAGAGAACGAAGGCAAAAGCAGAGAGACGTTAAGATCGGTGAGAAGAGAGGAGCAGTGGGGCAGCTCGAGAGAGGTGAAGACCGAGAGACATTTCAGTGGAGACATGAAGACAGCGAGACACGAAGATGGGATTTGGGGGTAGGAGGAGGGCGCTGAGGGGTAGAGTGGGACCGGCGTACAGGGCACACAAAGTCGAAAACGAAAAGACGACGCGGGGAAATAGACTTGGAGGTGGTGGTGGTAGGGGGGGGAATCAGAGGGCCTGTGAAGAGACGGGCGGACAAGGGAAGACGCGCCTCTGTCAAAGTGAAGACAGAGCGAGACGTATGAAGACGGGTGGAGGAAGGGAGGCCGTGGGAGTGGGGGGCATGGGGCCCTTTGCAGATAGTGAAGGCAGACGCGTGGAGACGCGCGAAGACACATGGGGACAAGCGAAGACACATGGGGACAAGCGAAGACACATGGGGACAAGTGAAGACAGAGAGACTTTTAAGACAGGTGGGGGTCTCAGTCGAGAGTGACATGTTAAGATAGGTGAAGACAAACAAGTGGAGACGCGCGAGGAGACGCGGAGACAAGCGACGAGACGCTTTAGACGGCCAAATCGACCGCTCAGTCGCTCGCGTACGTCCGGGTTGAACCCCGCAAGCCGGCGCCTTACGACGGCGAGGGGGTACCCATTCCCCTCCCTCCCTCCCTCTCCCGCAGCGCCACCGCCGCCACCGCCGCCGCTACGTGCCCCCCCCCCACTCGCCCCGCGCGCCCCGTGAACCCCCAGCCTGCATGAGCCCCGTGCGCCGCTGGCCCGTCGTCACCTTCTTCTTGGCCGCGGCGAGTCGCGCCTGCCTGCTGCCCCCCTCCGCCATGACGCGCGACCACGTCCTCGGGTTCCGGCGTGCACCGCGGCGCCGCGTCAGCGCGGCCGTGAGCGCCAATCTAGCAATGCGAGAGCGCTCCAATAGTGATCGTCAATCTAGCAATGCGAGAGAGCTCCAATAGTGATCGTCACTCAAGCAATGCGAGCGCGCTCCGATAGTGAGCGCCAATCTAGCAATGCGAGAGCGCTCCAATAGTGATCGTCAATCTAGTAATGCGAGAGCGCTCCAATAGTGATAGTCACTCAAGCAATGCGAGGGCGTTCCAATAGTGAGCGCCAATCTAGCAATGCGAGAGCGCTCCAATCGTGATCGTCAATCTAGCAATGCGAGAGTGCTCCAATCGTGATCGTCAATATAGAAATGCGACAGCGCTCGAGTGTGATCGTCACTCAAGCAATGCGAGGGCGCAATCTAGCAATGCGAGAGCGCTCGAGTGTGATTGTCGATCAAGCAATGCGAGAGCGCTCCAATCGTCATCGTCACTCAAGCAATGCGAGAGCGCTCGAGAGTGATCGTCACTCAAGGAATGCGAGAGCGCTCGAGTGTGATCGTCACTCAAGCAATGCGAGAGCGCTCGAGTGTGATCGTCACTCAAGCAATGCGATAGCGCTCGAGTGTGATCGTCACTCAAGCAATGCGAGGGCGCTCGAATATGATCGTCACTCAAGCAATGCGAGAGCGCTCGAGTGTGATCGTCGCTCAAGCAATGCGAGAGCGCTCGAATGTGATCGTCACTCAAGCAATGCGAGAGCGCTCGAGTGTGATCGTCACTCAAGTAATGCGAGAGCGCTCGAGTGTGATCGTCACTCAAGCAATGCGAGAGCGCTCGAGTGTGATCGTCAGTCAAGCAGTGCGAGAGCGCTCGAGTGTGATCGTCAGTCAAGCAATGCGAGAGCGCTCGAGTGTGATCGTCACTCAAGCAATGCGAGAGCGCTCGAGTGTGATCGTCTATCAAGCGATGCGAGTGCGCTTACAGCGAGAACGTCAAGAGAGCAATTCGAGCGCGCTACTGAAGTGCAATCCCAAATCTAGCCAAGCGAGAGCGCTCGCTAACACAGGATCCCCAAGGAACGTCGTAATCGCCAACATAGCAATGCGAGAGCGCAATCTGAAACGAAACGTAATCGTAATCGGAAAGCAAGACAGTGGAAAGCGTGCACGGTAAAGGGATCCGATGAGAAACTGAAGCGTAATCGGCAACCTGGGCAATAGGAGAGCGCTCACACGCGAAACCGAACAAAGTGAATCGTAATCGTGCATCTATCAGTCTGAGAGCGCTCCCAGAAGTGAATGCTCGGTCGGGGAAAACCTTGGGACGGTCGTGAATCGAGCAATGCGAGGGCGCCACTCCGAGGTGGAAACCCAAGAAGCCGGGACACCCCCCCACCACCACCACTCCATCCTCCCCCCCCACCACTACCCCACCACCACCCCATCCTCCCCCCCACCACCACCCCATCCTCCCCCCCACCACCACCACCCCATCCTCCCCCCCACCACCACCACCACCACCCCATCCTCCCCCACGTGTGAGGGGTCACGCTCGGTTCGCCGTGCCCTGCGCCCACGGGATGAGGAGGCTCGGGCTGAGTGGGAGGGGGCTACCCCCCCTCTCCGTCTCACCCGCCCGACTCACCCCCCGACTCGCCTCCTACTCGCTTGGCCTCCTCCCCGCTTCGCTCGCGAGGCGGGAGTGCAGTTCACGTGCGGAGCGTGGCGCGGCGTGCAGGCTGGTGAGTGGCGTCTGGGCCTGGGGAACATCTCCGCTGCCACCCACACTGCCCCCCCCCCACCACCATTATTTCCATATCCCACCCCTGTGCCCCCCCATGCCCCCCATACCCCCTCCTCTTGACCCCCATGGCCCCCTCGTGCCCAGCTCCATAGGTACTGCATGTCTCTCTGCCCCTACAGACACTGGCTGTGGGTAACCTCGGCCCAACTTCATCTCGTGCCCCCCCCCTTTTACCCCCCCTTTTACCCCCCCTTTTACCCCCCCTTTTACCCCCCCCCCTTTTACCCCCCCCCCTTTTACCCCCCCCCCTTTTACCCCCCCCCCCTTTTACCCCCCCCCCCTTTTACCCCCCCTTTTACCCCCCCCTTTTACCCCCCCCCTCCACCTCCTCCGCCCCCACCACCGCTCGTGCAGGTCCTGGGCCTGGGGAACCCCGGGATGCCGGGGACCCGCCACAGCGTGGGGGCCGAGGCCGTGCGGCGTCTCGCCGAGCGGCTGGGCGCAGGCTCCGCGTGGCGAGGGGACCGCGGGGTCGCGGGGAGCCTGGCCGAGGTGGGGCCCGCGTGGGCCGGGGGGCCCCGCCTCGTGTTGCTCGCCTCCAGCCACCCCATGAACATCAACGGGCTCAGCGCCGCGCTCGCCGGTGCGGTGTGGAGTGGGGGGGGGGGGGTGTGGGGGGGTGTGTGGGGTGTGGAGTGGGGGGGTAGTGTGGAGTGGGGGTGTGTGGGGTGTGGAGTGGGGGGGTAGTGTGGGGTGAGGTGTGGAGTGGGGGTAGTGTGGGGGTAGTGTGGGGTGAGGTGTGAAGTGGTGGTGTACCCAGATGAGTACTTGGTGCGGTGTGTAGTAAACGTCGCCACTGGGGAGACAAAGGAGGCCGGGCTTGGTGCTAGCCACCCACCCTGCCATATGCCGTGCCAGCCCATAAAAGATGCTGCTTGCAATAACAATAACTTGCCCCAAAGGTCTATTGAGGCTATACGGACGGGGGGTTCTTTGTCCTTGTGCACAGCCAGGAAGTTCTCGGTGCGCGCCCAGGAGGTCATCCTCCTGCACGACGATGTGGACAAGCCCCTGGGTCACGTGGCTCTCAAGCACGGGGGCAGTGCCCGGTGAGTCCACCCCAGCTGTGTGGCCACGTGCCGCTCTGACCACCCCACCGGCGTGCTCCCTTTGTTGTTGGAGGTGCAGAAGCAGGGGGCTCGTGGAGGCTCACCACGTGTGTGTGTGCGTGCGCGTGCGTGCGCGTCTGCACCTTGTCTCGAACGGGGAGCGGTGGCGCTGCGGTTAGCGCGCTGCGCCGCGAGCCGGGCAACCCGAGTTCAACGCCGGTGACGAGTATCTGAACCAGACCTGGGCCTCCCTTAAGCTCGACTCGGTCTTAACTGAGTACCTGATGCAAATAAACATCAGCACTGGGGAGACAAAGGCGGCCGGGCATGGCGTGCCATGTTGGCCTTCATATATGCTCACAGAAATGCCCCAAAAGTATTTGAAGGCTACATGGGGAATCTTTGTATTTGTGGCCAGGGGACACAATGGAGTCAAGTCCTGCATTCACTGCCTGCGGTCTGACGTGAGTACCTCCCCTCCAGCCACCTCTGCTGTGACACCGCGCTCGGTGATGTGGGTGTGGTGCATGTGCAAGTGTGATTTTGGTGTGTTGATATGGATGGTGTGTGTGTGAGATGTCAGTGTGTTGATGTGGATGGTGTGTGTGTGAGATGTCAGTGTGTTGATGTGGATGGTGTGTGTGTGAGATGTCAGTGTGTTGATGTGGATGGTGTGTGTGTGAGATGTCAGTGTGTTGATGGTGTGTGTGTGAGATGTCAGTGTGTTGATGTGGATGGTGTGTGTGTGTGTGAGATGTCAGAGTGTTGATGGTGTGTGTGTGAGATGTCAGTGTGTTGATGTGGATGGTGTGTGTGAGATGTCAGTGTGTTGATGTGGATGGTGTGTGTGTGAGATGTCAGTGTGTTGATGTGGATGGTGTGTGTGTGTGAGATGTCAGTGTGTTGATGTGGATGGTGTGTGTGTGAGATGTCAGTGTGTTGATGTGGATGGTGTGTGTGAGATGTCAGTGTGTTGATGTGGATGGTGTGTGTGTGAGATGTAAGTGTGTTGATGTGGATGGTGTGTGTGTGAGATGTCACTGTGTTGATGTGGATGGTGTGTGTGTGAGATGTCAGTGTGTTGATGTGGATGGTGTGAGTTGTCAGTGTGTTGATGTGGATGGTGTGTGTGTGAGATGTCACTGTGTTGATGTGGATGGTGTGTGTGTGAGATGTCAGTGTGTTGATGTGGATGGTGTGTGTGTGAGATGTCAGTGTGTTGATGTGGATGGTGTGTGAGATGTCAGTGTGTTGATGTGGATGGTGTGTGTGTGAGATGTCAGTGTGTTGATGTGGATGGTGTGTGTGTGAGATGTCAGTGTGTTGATGTGGATGGTGTGTGTGTGAGATGTCAGTGTGTTGATGTGGATGGTGTGTGTGAGATGTCAGTGTGTTGATGTGGATGGTGTGTGTGTGAGATGTGTGTTGATGTGCATGGTGTGTGTGTGTGTGAGATGTCAGTGTGTTGATGTGGATGGTGTGTGTGTGAGATGTCAGTGTGTTGATGTGGATGGTGTGTGTGAGATGTCAGTGTGTTGATGTGGATGGTGTGTGTGTGAGATGTAAGTGTGTTGATGTGGATGGTGTGTGTGTGAGATGTCACTGTGTTGATGTGGATGGTGTGTGTGTGAGATGTCAGTGTGTTGATGTGGATGGTGTGAGTTGTCAGTGTGTTGATGTGGATGGTGTGTGTGTGAGATGTCACTGTGTTGATGTGGATGGTGTGTGTGTGAGATGTCAGTGTGTTGATGTGGATGGTGTGTGTGTGAGATGTCAGTGTGTTGATGTGGATGGTGTGTGAGATGTCAGTGTGTTGATGTGGATGGTGTGTGTGTGAGATGTCAGTGTGTTGATGTGGATGGTGTGTGTGTGAGATGTCAGTGTGTTGATGTGGATGGTGTGTGTGTGTGAGATGTCAGTGTGTTGATGTGGATGGTGTGTGTGAGATGTCAGTGTGTTGATGTGGATGGTGTGTGTGTGAGATGTGTGTTGATGTGCATGGTGTGTGTGTGTGTGTGAGATGTCAGTGTGTTGATGTGGATGGTGTGTGTGTGAGATGTCAGTGTGTTGATGTGGATGGTGTGTGTGTGAGATGTCAGTGTGTTGATGTGGATGGTGTGTGTGTGAGATGTCAGTGTGTTGATGTGGATGGTGTGTGTGAGATGTCAGTGTGTTGATGTGGATGGTGTGTGTGTGAGATGTGTGTTGATGTGGATGGTGTGAGTTGTCAGTGTGTTGATGTTGATGGTGTGTGTGTGAGATGTCAGTGTGTTGATGTGGATGGTGTGTGTGTGAGATGTCACTGTGTTGATGTGGATGGTGTGTGCGTGTAGCAAGCTTGAGTGATGCACGTATTGGGATGCGGGTGTTGACAGTCCCATTCTCAACCTGCCCATAGCCCACGTTCACCCCGTGTTGTTGTTGCTGCTGCTGTATCTCTGCTGTGCCACACACCCAGGCCATGGTCCGCTTGCGGATCGGCGTTGGCCGAGGCGACGTGGCGCGGGGCTCGGCGGCGCTGGTGGCCCACGTGCTGGCGCCGTTCTCAGCCGAGGAAGAGCCGCAGATCCAACGAGCGCTAGAGCGTGGCATCGACCTCCTGCTGGCGCACATGGGTCACACGGGGGGTCACACGGGGGGTCACACGGGGGGTCACACGGGCGAGGAGGCGCCCAGATGATGGCCCCCACTGTTCCTTCCTCACTCACCCTTCACTACCATGGGTGGAGCGACGGCGCAACCGTTAGCACACTCCGCTACTTACCTGGCGATCCGAGTTCGATTCCTGGCCACGGCTAACATTCAATCCGGTCCAGGGCCTCCCCAGGGTTGCCTCAGCCTTAAATGAGTAACTGCTGCTGTGTAAACATTGGTTGTGTTGCTGGCCACTCCACCCTCTCGTGTTGTGCCGGCCTTCATAGCTGCTCACGAACTGCACTTACCCTAACAGCCCCATGTCGGCTCCATGAGGAATCTTTGCATGGCTTGTTTACCATGCGAACATCGCTCGTGTTTTTCTAGAATCCATGAAGTAATAAAAAGAGTTCTGGAAGAGGTAGTGTGGGGTGCAGTCCTGACGTGAACGCGCGAGACAGGGACACCAGCACACACCGGGAGGAACGTCTCGTAGCAATGCTTTATTGGAAGATGCGGTATAAAACAGGAATGATGTTCACAGTTGCACGCGATATGAAATGTACAGCAGCGTTCGCAAAACACAAAACATGTCATGCGAAAAAACGTCACACCAAACGCGACCAACACGTCACATGCCAACGTCAACGCAACGTCGCACTCGTCAACGATTGCACCACCACAGCACCCACCACCATTGCTGGCCACATCACTCGTGCTCCAACCAACCGGGCGCCAATTTTCACTGAGGCATACTGCTCCATGAACCCCTCCACAATGGGTCTCTGGTGTTAACCCCTTTCACGTGGATTTCTTCACCATGGGGCCCTTCACAATGGGCCCTGCCACTGAACCATTCCAGTGTTGGCCCATCCATCATTGGCCCATCCACCGTGAAAATTAAAATTCTGCCATGGGCCCCTCTGCCATGGGCCCCCGCTCCTCCTCCCCTCAGGCACTGGCCCACGCGGACGCCCCCAACCCCAGCGCTGCCCCCCCGGCACCGTCTCCGCTGAGAAGTTGCCGGTGGCGCACGTCCCATGCCACCTCCTCGCGGTCCGGGTGCCACCGTCGCGCCAGGATCCGCTCCATGTTCAGAGACCACATGGTGTGCGACGGCATCACCTGCTTGTGCACCTGCAGCAACAGCAGTGGAACCATCATCAGCACGAGGCATCTGTGTCGATATCAGCGTTGGCTATAAACGGTGTGAAAGAAGTTCAATAGACAGTAGCAGCAGCTCGAGTGGTGTCATCATTAGTATTATTCTAACATCAGCATCATCTTGAGTGAGGGTATGATCTGCTTGTGCACCTTTCCGCAAGAGCATCAGCAACAATCACCATTAGTAGGTTAAGTCAATTTATTACCACCTTTAAATTATAATTGACTACTTTTTGTAAGGCCGATTACTCGGGTTCTTTTAAATACGGTGGCTACCACCACACCCCACTCCTACCGCACCCCCAAAGCAGAACACGGCTGATGGTGATGGAGATGTCACCAAACCCTGCCTGTTACCTTCAGTCCGGCGGCACATACGGGAACGATCGAGTAATCATAATCGGGTTTTTCCCCCTTTTTCTGGCAACAAAACTGAAACCTTTTTACAAGGATTCTGTCTGCATGAACCACAATACTTGCAGTCAAATGCAAACAAAAAACACACCGATTGTCCTTGAAACTGATTGGTCTACACCAAGGGACGGCTTTCTTTTGAGCCTCGACCCAATTGGTGCTCGACCAAAGGACGCCAAAAGGCGTACAGCTCAAAGATAATGCACTATCAAAGTAATGAGGGCTCGGGGTGAGCATCTACATCATTAGACCTCCTTTGCCAGTACCAAAATATAATAGGGTTTTCCCCTTTTTTATGGCAACAAAACTGAAACCTTTTTACAAGGATTCATATCTGCATTAGCCACAATACTTACAGTCAAATGCAAACAAAAAACACACTGATAATATATTCATTGATCGAGTAATTAACAACTAAAGTAATGGGACATTCCAGGACTAGTGCGGAGTTCGGGGTTGTGTCAGTCACCGTGAGCGCTTGCTGCAGATCCACGAGGCTGATGGGAGGGAGCGAGGGCACGACCTCCGACCCCGAGCAGGCGAGCAGCAGGGCAGCACGCTCCTCCGCCTCCTCGCCCGGGCGGCACAAACTCTCACTGCGCCGGACCAGCACCGTCGCAGAGTCACACGTCACTGACGCCGGGCGACAGACCACAAGACTGCACCAACACCGCACCAACCAGCCATACTGAACAGCACAACAACCATTCCATACCACACCACATCACATCAACCACACAAACAGCACACCACAGGGGTGAACCATGACAAGACCACACCACATCAACACCGTAAAAAAACTGCACGAACACCAAACCACGAGGCTATCCGAGAACCAGACCAACCAACATCGCACCAACCAGCAAAGCCTCGTGGTGGGACCGTACGGCATGGTGGGTGTCGCGTGGTAAGAGTGGTGGCGAGTTTCGTGGTGGGTTTTGTGGTTAGCGGTGGTGAGCAATGGTTAAAATTGGGCTGATGAGATTCGTACCTGTCAGTGTTGTTGTTGCTGCGGTGCGCGACGCAGCTGTTGCGTAGGTACGGGTGCAGGGGAGCAGTGGTGCCGTACGCGTACCGAAACCGCCCGTCCTTCACCCGGTGAGGACGCCTACTCACCAGCATCGCCGTCACGACCGCCTTCAGGTGGTTCTACAACCGCCCGCACACAACAGCCGCTAAAACAATGCTCTCCCCACTCACTACAACCGCTTTTAATACAACAGTCACTCATAGTGTTGTTGGTGATGGTGTTTAAGGTGGTGGTGAGGGATACGGAGTGGATGGTGGCAGTGGTGAGAATAAGGATGGTGATGTTGGCGAAGCGAGTGGTGGTGGCAATAATGTGAGTGGCGGTGATGATGGTTATGTTGGTAGTGATGGTGACGGTGGTAACGGTGATCACAATGATGTCAGATGAGCAGGTGTGGTGGTCGTGGTGGCGCCGTTGGTAGCGGTGGTGTCGGTGATGACGACGGTGGTGGTGCCACTGCCGCTCGCCTGCAGCGCATGTTGCAGACACAGCACCGTCTCCTCGGAGACCGAGTCCAACCCGGCCTCCCAGGCCACCAGCATGGCACGCCCCATCATCTCGCCCAGCGCCGGCAGCAGCAGCGACTGCACGCAGAGCGCAGGGGCGGTGGGGCCGGCTCGCTCCCCGTCCACGCCGTCGCCCGCGCCCACAACACCGTCGGGGCCGCACGCGCGGCTTCCCACCCAGCTGGCGCCGGCCAGCGGATCCTGCTCCTGGAAGCGGTGCTGTGACCACACACACACACAGATCCTCCATATAGCTATTGAACAGACTCTTGGGGCAAGTAGCGAGTAGCACCTATGGAGGCTGGGATGGCTCACGAGGGGGTGGGTGGCCAACACCATGCCCGGTCGCCTTTGTCTCCCCAGTAGCGATGTTTTTGCACACCGCACCAGGTACTCATTTCAGGCGGAGTTGACCTAGGGGAGACCCAGGATCGGTTCAGATAATCGTCACCGATGTTGGCCGTGAGCGGGAAATTGAACTCGGGATGCCGGGTTTGTAGCGCAGCGCGCTAACCGCTACACCACCACTCCCATACACAAACATACACACACTCACTACACAGCTGTTACTGTCCTCACCTCAAACTTTCCCCGGAGCGAGGGCAGCTTCTTCTTGCGGCTTGGCTTCCCAGGCCGGCCCGGACCCTCCTTGAGGCCTGGGGGTAGCAGGGGCAGCATGGGTCTCAACACAAAACTTCACACACGCGCACGGGGGCAGCAGGAGACTCGACACAGAGATAGAGGGGCAAACGGGAATCAATACACGGGGCAGCACGCGGGCAGCAGCAAAAACTTTGAATGGCAGCACTCACCGGAAGCCGTCACCATGATCTGACACTTGGTGATAATGGCGAGAAGGAAGTCATTGTGGAGGTGAACTGTAACACACATCAATACCGATCATGACTCGGACGAACATCACGAATATTACTCAACATCAGTGCCTTCACTCAGCATCAACCCAGAATCACTCTGCACCAGCCCCATCGCTCCCATCCCCACGCTCACCCATGTCTTGGGTGAGGAGTCTCCGCGCCTCCGAGTCAAACTCCTCTTTGCTGATCTTGTGCTTAAACCACAGCTTCATGTTTGCCCAGTACCTGCAACAGACCCCAGTCAGCACTCACAGTTTCACGCATATACTTCTCACGGGACGACAGATCGCACGACACAGAGACACGGAGACAAATATACACGGGGACACAGAGACACGGGGACAGGTGAGCTGTGGTTCCCCTCAATGAGATCCCGACTCCATCTCCCCACGGCCTAGAGCTGTCGAGAAACAGCTGCCCCCCCCTCCCCCCCGTCTCAGGGTATTCCCACTCCTTGCTGCCCTCGCTGTCTCAGTTCCCCCTCTACTACAATCACTGCTTTGTGCTCTCTCTCTCTCTGCTGCCCTCTCCACCTACACAAGCTGACCACACAGCTGCCTCGCTCTCGTGGGTTCCCCCTGCCGCCCTCACTGACATTTCCTCTGCAGTACCCTGCTGCGCTCAGTGTCTCATGTTCCTCTCACTCTCACTCACGCTCCCCCCACGAGTCTCTCACTGAGTGGGACTCTCCCCTCCGACCCCCCACGAGACTCTCACTGAGTGGGACTCTCCCCCTCCCACCCCCACGAGTCTCTCACTGAGACTCTCACTGAGTGGGACTCTCCCCTCCCACGCCCACGAGTCTCTCAATGAGTGAGACTCTCCCTCCCACCCCCACGAGTCTCTCACTGAGTGAGACTCTTCCCTCCCACCCCCACGAGTCTCTCACTGCTTGAGGCTCTCTCCGAGCGCCTCCGCGAGGTTCTTTTTGGCCGCCTCGAGCTCTCCACCACCCGACGCCGCCATCGCGCTGCAGTGTCAGACAACGCAGTGGAGGGGGACACGACGTCACATCCGGGATGCGGCGACCAATCAGAAGCGACTCGCCCGCGCGCTTACGGGTATGTCGTAAAGTAATAACACCGTATGTCGTAAAGTATCAGACACGGGCTGTCGTAAAGCGAGGGAGAGAGGGAGAAATTTCTCTAAATGTAAAGTTAAGAAATTAGTTCTCACCTATTGTCGCTGCTGCGTTGGTAGTGGGGCACAACCAGCAACACAACACGTTCCCCGTGCCAATAATAACGCTGTTGTGGCCTTAGAAGCAAACGTATATAGTAAACAACGTTTCAAGCGATGACCCTTGTGCATGAGCACATAACTGGAGGCCAGAGACAGTGTTAACCCAGGCAGTGTAGCTGACAAAGGCGATGTAACATGTTACAGGAAGTAGTAGTCGTTTGAAATGCCATTTAGTCGATTGTAAACTGCCGTAAATCTAAAACGTCGTAAATCTCAAGTGTCGTAAATCACAGACCGCTGCCGTAAAGTGTTGTTACCGTAAATCGTTGTTGCCGTAAATCGTAACACGTGTCGCAAACCACAACAATCCGTCCAGGAAAAGGGTGTCGTGAAGAGAAGTCTCCGCCGCCGATGTTGTGGTCACGTGATCGGGACGAGACCAAGTGTGCGCCGGGGGGGGTAGGGAAGCACGCGGCGCTCGCTGGGGGGGTGTGGGTGGGTCACCCGCGAGTGGACGAGTCCAAGGGACGGCGTCTCCCCCCCCACCGCCCACCAACACACATGAGGCCCCAACCACCCCCACGTGTGCCTCCAATAACCCAGACGGCGCGCGTACAGCCCGCAAATGTTCACTGTCGTGGAGGTTTTTTTGTGGTTAGATCGCGTAAATATATAAATGTGTCGTTCAAGCCGCCACCTACCCGACACAGACAATCGGTAAGGTTTGTCACGTTAAACAAAACGCGCCAAATGGTCACTAGTACAGCACACCGTTGTGTTGGGAAGAACAAAGCCACAACATTTACAATCTTGAATACGACGTTTCGCCAGTAATTACAACTAGCTTCACCAGGCGACAGCCATCAGTCTGTGGCCTGATGAAGCTAGTTGTGTGCTGTACTAGTAACGAATTGGCACGTTCTGTTTACATGACAAACCTTACATATTGGCTGTGTCGGGTGGTGGCGGGTTTAACGACACATGTATATATTCATGCGATCTAACCCAAAAACCTCTATTATGGATGATATTGGTCGCGAAAGCCGACGTGTTAAACATGTTTACTGCCTCGCCTGGTGTGCAGGAGGTCGTGGGTTCCACCCCCACCCTGATCTCGGATTTTCAGATTTGTCACGTGGTTTGCGTCTTAAAAGCTACCTGTGTAGCAAATTTCAGCTTTCTAACTGGTCGGGCTGTACCCTGTTGGTTTTTGGAGGCATACCAATTACAGTCTTTATTGATATAGTTGTGATGGGTTTATTTGTGCGTTTGCACCACTGCCAATGCAGTTTCGTCAACTTCTTTACATGTTGGTGCAAGGCACCCGCTCTGTCTCATGTTTCTGTAAATTGTAATTGTGCTACGAGGAATTTATATACAGTACATTTATTCGTGTTCGAGCAATTTTTCTACTCCCGAGTATTTTTTTTTGCGCAGCTTTCTATTTGCTTCACTGTTGTACTTTTCATATTGGTGACGCTTTTCCAAATGCTGCTCTCTTGGGTTACCACCTGGTTATAAAAATCTTAAATCTGACCGCATCTCAAGACGGTGTACAGAAAAATCAGGACCACGTTCAGACACAACTGTCACCTTCACGAACAGCACACACCACACAGACAGTACCCCCTGACATCTCTATACTTGTCTCAACTCACTGGTGAATCCGCTCACTCCTCCACCCATCTGTCCACTGTTGGTCACCCTCTCCACTCATCTCTCCACTTGTCAAACTCTCCACTCCTCCCACTCATCTGACCGCCGGTTAAGACCCTCCGCTCACTTCACCTCGTCTGTCCACTGGTGGTCACCCTCTCCACTCATCTCTCCACTTGTTAAACTCTCCACTCCTCCCACTCATCTGACCGCCGGTAAGACCCTCCGCTCACTCCTCCACCTCGTCTGTCCACTGTTCGATTTCTCCACGTGACCCATCTCTCCGAGCTCACCGCTGGCAGCGAACCTCATTGACATGAAAACTTTTATTCGTGCGACGCGAACTCGCGGCGCGAATACTGACTGACTGCGTCTGTACAAACATAGAAACCGGCGGGCACTGGAAGAAAGGGACCACAGGAAGAGCGGGGGGGGGGGGGGTCACGGAGACACCGCGGTTGACACGACACGACACCACGTCCACGATCACCACCACGTATTGCACCACGGAGCGGCAGAGGCTCCTCCACAGTCATAACCGCGATAATAATATTAATATTCACAACAACAAGAACGACAACGATAAGTACATCAGCAGCATCATCAACAACAACGACGACGTTTGTAACAAACGCGACCCCTGGGCTCGGTAATCGCCCCGGGTTCAATCACCGCGACTCTTACGTCCTTGGGTAGAGGTCACAGGGCCGGGGCAGTAGGTCACGGTAGGGTCAGGCCGGCATCGTGGGGTAAGGACAACGTTATGGGGTCTAGGAAAGGTCATGGTGCGAGGACAGGGAGGGGTCACGGGGTCTTGAGAAGTCATCGGGTCTGAGAAGATTACGGCAGGGTAAGCACCCCTCGTCACGTGATATTACGTGAAAAGGACAGGGGGGTCAGGCCAGAATCAAGGGCATCAGGGCAGGGTCACTTCGGAGACGCGAGTAACACTGCTCTCTGCGGTGCGACCAGCACGAGTGGTGGGGGAGGTCAGAGGTCACAAGAGACACAACCGGCACCACCCCCCCCCTCTTCCCCCCCAAAGCACAGCGACGTCTCACCGGGTCAGACTCTGGGTCCTCATTCCCAGCGAGGCCACGCCACAGCCTGGCACACGCGGCCCAGGTTTACATAGCCTGGTACGCGTAGCTCAGTCCAAACAGCCCAGTCTACACAGCCCAATACGGATTATCGGTAGTCCGGTCCACACATAGCCCAGTAAACATAGTCCAATCGATGCAATCCGGTCCAAATAGCCCAGTATACGTATATCCCACGCTGAATTGCATCACTGGCTTAGCCTGGTACAAAGCAGCCTGGCGCAACACTGCTAAGAATCCCAGCTATCACAAAACGGCGCTCCTGCGGGACCCTGGCTCCTGCAGACTGAGCTCACCCAGTGAGTGCAGCTGCGGCTGCAGCAGTGAGCGGCGGCGAGTTCTGGGGTGGTGATGGAAGGTAGGAAGAGCTCATTTTGCAGAGGGCAGTCCCCCCCCTATGAAAATTGGTTGGAACTGGTGGCTCGTTATTATTGGCCAAGGGCGGAATTATTTGCGCCCCGTTCGCTGCCCTCGACTCTCCGTGGGAGCGGTTCGAATGGGGCAATGAGAGGCTGGAATGCGCGTCTTGGTGGGGCGGATCAACCGGGTTCCCCGTGTGTCGATTCTGTGTGAATCGAGTCGATGCGACCTGCCAAAACTAAACCACGAGCAGACTGCTCGAATTACTCACTACTGAGTTGGCGTTTCTAAAAATGGAGAGCCTAAAGAGCTTTTTTTCGAAAGCTTTTTATTTTACTTGGGGCATTGGCCCCCAATGCCCCATAGAGACCGGCCGCCACTGCACTGCTGCAGGTGCAAGTTCACCAGCTGTATCACCACCTGCATCACCACCTGCAACTTCAACAGCTGTAACTTAAGTTGCTTCACCAGCTGCAAGTTGACCAGCTGTATCACCAGCTGCAAGTTAACAAGCTGTATCACCAGCTGCAAGTTGACAAGCTGTATCACCAGCTGCAAGTTGACCAATGCTCTATCACCAGCTGGAACTTCACCAGCTGCAACTTCAGCTGTTTGGCTAGCCGCATCACCACCACCGGCAGCAGGGGTGGCAGGGAGCGAGTGCCGTGCCGCCACCCCCATGCGTTGGGAGCGCGGCGCCGCTCTGTAAACTCCGCGCCTTGCCGATCGCTCCGCCGCGACTGCGCCGGCCCAAAAGGCGACTCTCACGGCCAAGAGGCTCTCCCCATTGGCACGCGCAAGCCGATGGTGGTGGCACACACACACACGCTCACGCGCGCACGCTCGCACACATACGCGTGCCACCTACAGCAACACGGCGCCTTCTGTGCGTTTTTAGGCTGTACCGCCGCATGCCGTTTGGTGTGACGACCGGTGCGATGCACGGTGCGATGCACGACATTTCACTACACGTGATGGGGGCTTGTTCAGGAGCTCAAGCGAAACGCCGGTTATCTTCAGGAAGAAATATCTAGCCCAGCATGGTTCGTGTATATTTACCCAGCAAGGCATCGCTGAGTCTCAAGACTCTCTTTCAAGATGGTCCTGCTGCTGCTCTGTGATCCAAATTGGGGCGCTGCGGTGGAGAGGAGATGTTATCTCCCGTGCCTGCTACGCAGGAGGCCGTGGGTTCGATCCCAGACCCTCGCGATGCCTGTTGTATATTTGGAGTCCGCGTGTTCTCTCTCTCCCCGTGCTGGTCACGTGGATTGTTCTCCGGGTTCCTCCGGTTTTGCACTCGTCCAAATTTAGAATCAATACGCGCTTAGATGATTCGGCTGATGCTATAAATTCCCATGTGTGGTGACGATATTAGACACTGTGATGAGCTACCACGTGTGGCCAGGTCGCCTCTGAAAAGAGCTCATAGGTCAATGGGCTTTAACTGGTAAATAACTTTGTTTAGTTTAATTGAGTGAACAGCGGTGTAATTTTTCAAATATGGAACATGTGGACCATAACGCCGGCCCACATCGCCTACTACGACTTTATGGATAACTGCACAGGATCTTTGACGAAGAAGTTCGCGACACGTGTAGCGAAACGTCGGACATCGCGCTGAACGACGCACAGTATGACCCGGACACGCGTCGGGAGAGTCGCACGGCGGCAGCACAAACCGCACAAACCCAAACCCCACGCTACAGTATCAGCAGCCGGAACGACAGCCACAACCGCACAGCCACCGCCCAACCACCAAGGTAGATCGCAGCGTCTGGCAGTGCCAGAGAGCTCCAGTGGCTTGCCCTGGCGAGATGACATTTTCGTGCCTTTGGCTCCGTCGCATTGACTGTTAAGGAAAGGGCTTGGGCCTGGGCGGGACATGTCGAAACGGCCAGAGGGCGGGACATGTCGTCACAGCCAGAGGGCACGACTGGCGGTGGGGCGAGACTACGAGAGGACCTCCCGCGGAGATGGAGCGACGAGCTCAGCCCGTGTGCAGGAGCTGGAAGGATTGCTGCTGCGTTGTGGGTCCTTGAGAGATGGCGACGGCTTATGTAAAGCGTTTATCCAGCAGCAGCTAGATCGCGTCCGATGGCCACTAATGATGATGAGTTTGGCTCAATGAGCCTTGGGGTCCTTTGTTTTGCAGTCCGAGCGGAGGTGGACCCAGCGCTAGCACTCACGAGCACGGTGCGTGAGCCTGGAGTCTTAACGGTTGCGGTTGCTATGAGGGGAGGCAGTTGCTGATGGTTAGAGAGAAAGATGATGATCAGGAATGGTGGTAATAGGTGGGGACAGCATTTCTGGGAGGGGGTGGTAGTGTCTGGGAGAGGGCGATAGTGTCTGGGAGGGGGCGATAGTGTCTGGGAGGGGGCGGTAGTGTCTGAGAGGGGGCGGTAGTGTCTGGGAGGGGGTGGTAGTGTCTGGGAGGGGGCAGTAGTGTCTGAGAGGGGGTGGCAGTGTCTGGGAGGGGGCGGTAGTGTCTGGGAGGGGGCGGTAGTGTCTGGGAGGGGTGGTAGTGTCTTGAGAGGGTCGGCAGTGTCTGGGAGGGGGTGGTAGTGTCTGGGAGGGGGCGGTAGTGTCTGGGAGGGCGTGGTAGTGTCTGAGAGGGGGGCGGTAGTGTCTGGGAGGGGGTGGTAGTGTCTGAGAGGGGGCGGTAGTGGCTTGAGAGGGGGCGGTAGTGTCTTGAGAGGGGGCGGCAGTGTCTGGGAGGGGGCAGTAGTGTCTGAGAGGGGGGCGGTAATGTCTGGGAGGGGGCGGTAGTGTCTTGAGAGGGGGCGGTAGTGTCTGGGAGGGGGCGGTAGTGTCTGGGAGGAGGCAGTAGTGTCTGGGAGGGGGTGGCAGTGTCTGAGAGGGGGTGGTAGTGTCTGAGAGGGGGTGGTAGTGTCTGAGAGGGGGTGGTAGTGTCTGAGAGGGGGCGGTAGTGTCTGGGAGGGGTGGTAGTGTCTGAGGGGGGGGGTGGTAGTGTCTGGGAGGGGGTGGTAGTGTCTGAGGGGGGGGGTTGGTAGTGTCTTGAGAGGGGGTGGTAGTGTCTGGGAAGGGGCGGTAGTGTCTGGGAGGGGGCGGTAGTGTCAATGGGGGTGTGGGGTCACTGGTGGTGGTTGGCTGGCCGGCTGGGTGGCTGGCAGGCGGGAGGTGCTCTCACAGGGAGATCTTGGCGAGCTTGTCCGCGAGCAGGGCGCGCGTGCGCATGCGAGGCAGCGTGGCGTGGAGGTAGCCCACCTTGCGCTCGCTGCGCGCCGACGCCGCGCCCTTCCTGCGCAGGATGAAGTTGTAGTTGGCGGTCGTGTTCATCGCGTAGAACACGTTGGCGTTGTCCGGGATCACAAACTCTGCGCACCGCACGTACGCACGTGTGCATAAAACAAAGATATATATATCCCCCCGTGTAGCCTTAACAGGCTGTTGGGGCAAGTGCTGTTAGCGAGCATCTATTAAGGCCGGTATGGCACACGAGGGGGTGGGTGGCCAGGGCCACGCTCGGCCACCTTTGTCTCCCTAGTGGCGATGTTTACTACACACTGCACCAGGTACTCATTTGAGACGGAGTCGTCATAAGGGAGGTCTAGGACTGTTACAGATAATCGTCACCGGTGTTGGCTGCTCCGTAACCTCCTGCCAGCGGGCGTTCGACACTTCACGTGGCCTCAACGTGCACATAGCCTGGCAGAAGTGTCGTGGTGACGTCGTGCATATGTGCATGAGTGTGTGTGAGTGTGTGCGTTTGTGCGAGTGTGTGCGTGAGTGCGTGTGTAATTGTGGTGGCTGGGTCATGTAGCCCGCATGCCCAGCCACCGCATGCCGAAACAGCTTTTGTTCGGCCGGATCAAGGGGGCTAAACGGGCGCGGCACGGGCTAGAGAAGAGATGGAGTGATGTGGTACAGGAGGACGTGGAGCTGAGTGGACTTGCCGATGACTGGTACCAGCGGTGTCAAGATCGGCCTCTGTGGAGGAGGCTCGTGAAGGACGCTACTGAGCAGTTAGAGGCAGTCGCCCTCCAACAACAACGGAAGGCGGAGGAGCGACGCTCACAACAACGAGCGGAGCGCCGGGTGGCTAAAGCATAGCAGGTTGGCACAGTAGGGGGCACAGGTGGTGCATCAGCCAGTCATCTCAGTCACTCGACCCGTGGCACCTGGGTCTGCCCCGTGACCTCCTGCCAGCGGGCGTTCGACACTTCACGTGGCCTCAAGGTGCACATGGCCTGGCACAAGCGTCGTGGTGACATCACCGCCACTTAGTGGCGAATGGCGGTTGTTGTTGTGTGAGTGTACGTGAACCGCCTACCCTTGTCCTCTCCCACGACCTGCACCAGCTGGAAGGCTTCCGTGCGCTCCTCCTCCAGGTTGTGTTTGATCATCGCCTTCCGCACCACGGCCGGCGTCTTATCGGCACTCGTCAGCTGCACGTACGGACGTACGCATGCACACACACACACGATGAGCGTTATCACAAACATACCCACACCCTCCTGCCCTGTGGATGATGAGTGATATATGAGCCAGTCTGAGGCATCCCCTAAGCTGACTCGGTGCGCCGGTTTGAAACATTCAGGCTGGCCTGCCTAAGATCCATCCTGGGTGTAACCAGAATGGATTGTGTGAGGAGCTCACAGAACCTTGATTGATCTGGACACGGTCCCACCAGTGCGCTTCGGCAGGCGAGGCTGCTTTGGCCGGATAGAGAGGGCTAAACGGATGCGGCACGGGCTAGAGAACTGATGTGTTACAGGAGGATGTGGAGCTGAGTGGACTTGTCGAAGACTGTCAAGATCGGCCTCTGTGGAGGAGGACGCTTGTGAAGGACGCTGCTGGGCAGTTGGAGGCAGTCGCCTAACAGCAGAAAGCGGAGGGCTGCTAAAACGCGGCGAGTTGGCAGAGTGGGGAGCATGGGTGGTGCATCTTCCAGTCATCCCAGTCAGTCAACCCATGGCACCTGGTCTGTCCCGTGACCTCCTACCAGCTGCGAGCCTTCCACACTTCACGTGACGGCCTCAAGATGCACCTAGCCTGGCACAAGCGGCTGTCTGCTGCTGCTGCCGCTGTGAGTGCGCCGAGGCGCGCGTGTGTGTGTGTGTGGGGTGGCGTGTCACCAGGATACTCTTGTAGAGGTTGCCATTGCCACGGTCGAGGCTGACGCGGATCACGCACGCGCCGTCCTGCTGCTGGTTGTACAGCGGCAGCGAGAGGCTGCTGTAGCCCACCGCGCCCGACGACGACCGCCTGTGACTCCTGGCCGTCAGCGCCGCCGCCGCCGACAGCGACGCCGCCGTCGGCGCCGTCTCCCCGCGGCCGCGGCGGTGCGGCGGCGGCGGGGGCGGCGGCCGCGACGGCGGCGGCGGCACCGCCGTCGGTGGGGGAAGTGCCGGGCGGCCGGGCGTCCCCGGCCGGCGGGAGGCCGGCGCGGGCGAGGGTTCGGTGGAGACGGTCGAGGAGCCCGAGGAGACCCCGGACGTCGTGTCTAGAGACTGGATCGAGGCACAGGACGTGCAGCCCGTGAGCTGTCGTGTCACATGGCGGGGTTGCCCCGCGGGGGTCGCACGTGCGGGGTCACGCCGTGGGGTCGCACGGCGTCAGCTCACGTCGTCGTGTCGCGCGGTCACGCGGCGAGTGAAGGGGCGTCTGTGTGCGTGAGCGCGTGCGAGCACAGCGTCGGCGGGCGAGGCCGTGTTGGCTGGGTCACGTAGCCCGCGCCGGGCGCCGCAGCGCGGGCACGGCAGTGGCCCTCACCTGCCCGGCGGCGTGCTTGGCGTGCGCGTCGGGCGAGCCCGCCGCCAGGCCCAGGTAGATCTCCTCCATGTCGGAGCCCGACGAGCCAGAGGAGAGCACGCTCACCGAGTCGGCGCTCTCGCCGCCCACGCTGCCCGAGTGAGCCAGCCGCCGGTGCTCGGCCGCTCCGCCGACGCAGGGCCCGCCGCCGACGGGGCCCGCGGCAACGGCGGCGCCGGTGCGGGACGCCACCACCCCTCCAGCCAGCCCCTCCGCTCCAAACACGCTGCGGGGAGAGGCCCCGCCGGGGGACGACATTGACAAAGACCCCCCCCCGTGTAGCCCGGACAGACCGTGAGCGAGTATCGCCTACGAGCGCCGGCGTGGCACACGAGGGAAGCGTGTGGCCAGCACCACGCCCGTGCCGCCTTTGCCTCCCGAGTGGTGGTGATGTTTGCACACCAGGTGCTCATTTGAGGCCGAGTTGACTTGGGGGATGCCCAGGACGGTTCGGATAATCCTCACCGGCGCTGGTGGCTGTGAGGAGTGGGAATTATTTTCGTGAGTCTCTAGCGAGGTCGTAGTGCACACAACGACACATTGTAGTTGTCACGGTGCGCTGTGGCTGAGTGAGAGAGTGGCTAGGCTTGCACTGCTGTGTTGTTGTCGTTGTTGGCGGTGTGGTGCTGCTGTGTTGTTTGTTGCTGTTGGCGGTGGTGGTGCTGCTGCTGCTGTGCCACTTGCCCGCTGATTCTCTTGCCCACGCGCCGGCGCGTGGTCTTGGGGGACGAGGTCGATTCTCCCGGCGGCTCCAGTTCGCACGACAGCGCGTAACTGGGAACACGCGCACCGTACACGCCACGTGGGACACGGTACACAACGTGGGACACGGTGCACACGTGGGACACGGTACACAACCTGGGACACGGTACACCACGTGGGACAGGGTCCGCTCACCCCTCTCCGCTCGTCCGTTGCTCACCTCTGCTCCTCGGACAGCGAGTGCAGACGGTGGAACCAGGCGAGGAAGCGCTGCTCTGCCTTGATGCTGTAGTTGTTGCAGGCCGACTGCAGCAGCTTGATCTGAGCCATGATCTCAAACTCCTGCCACAGTGCAAGCGCGGCGCACGAAGCACGCGCAGCACACACAGCGCACTCGCTTACACACACAGCACACTCACTCACATAGCATTCACACACAGCACACTCACATAGCATTCACACACAGCACACTCACATAGCATTCACACACAGCACACTCACACACATAGCATTCACACACAGCACACTCACATAGCATTCACACACATCACTCACATACACATAGCATTCACTCACAGCACACTCACAGCACACTCGCTTACACACACAGCATTCACACACAGCACACTCACATAGCATTCACACACAGCACACTCACACACATAGCATTCACACACAGCACACTCACACACATAGCATTCACACACAGCACACTCACATAAACACATAGCATTCACTCACAGCACACTCGCTTACACACACAGCATTCACACACAGCACACTCACACACACAGCATTCACACACAGCACACTCACACACACAGCATTCACACACAGCACACTCACACACACATAGCATTCACACACAGCACACTCGCTTACACACACAGCATTCACACACAGCGCACTCGCTTACACACACAGCATTTACTCACAGCACACTTACACACACAGCATTCACACACAGCACACTCACATAGCATTCACACACAGCACACTCACACACACAGCATTCACACACAGCACACTCACACACATAGCATTCACTCACAGCACACTCACATAAACACATAGCATTCACACACAGCACACTCACACACATAGCATTCACACACAGCACACTCACACACACAGCATTCACACACAGCACACACACAGCATTCACACACAGCGCACTCACACACATAGCATTCACACACAGCACACTCACACACACAGCATTCACACACAGCACACTCACACACATAGCATTCACTCACAGCACACTCACACATAGCATTCACTCACAGCACACTCACACACATAACATTCACACACAGCACACTCACACACATAGCATTCACACACAGCACACTCACACACACAGCATTCACACACAGCACACTCACACACATAGCATTCACACACAGCACACTCACACACATAGCATTCACACACAGCACACTCACACATAGCATTCACACACAGCACACTCACATAAACACATAGCATTCACTCACAGCACACTCGCTTACACACACAGCATTCACACACAGCACACTCACACACACAGCATTCACACACAGCACACTCACACACACAGCATTCACACACAGCACACTCACACACACATAGCATTCACACACAGCACACTCGCTTACACACACAGCATTCACACACAGCGCACTCGCTTACACACACAGCATTTACTCACAGCACACTTACACACACAGCATTCACACACAGCACACTCACATAGCATTAACACACAGCACACTCACACACACAGCATTCACACACAGCACACTCACACACATAGCATTCACTCACAGCACACTCACATAAACACATAGCATTCACACACAGCACACTCACACACATAGCATTCACACACAGCACACTCACACACACAGCATTCACACACAGCACACTCACACACACAGCATTCACACACAGCGCACTCACACACATAGCATTCACACACAGCACACTCACACACACAGCATTCACACACAGCACACTCACACACATAGCATTCACTCACAGCACACTCACACATAGCATTCACTCACAGCACACTCACACACATAACATTCACACACAGCACACTCACACACATAGCATTCACACACAGCACACTCACACACACAGCATTCACACACAGCACACTCACACACACAGCATTCACACACAGCACACTCACACACATAGCATTCACACACAGCACACTCACACACACAGCATTCACACACAGCACACTCACACACATAGCATTCACACACAGCACACTCACACACACAGCATTCACACACAGCACACTCACACACATAGCATTCACACACAGCACACTCACACACATAGCATTCACACACAGCACACTCACACACACAGCATTCACTCACAGCACACTCACACACATAGCATTCACACAGCACACTCACACACACAGCATTCACACAGCACACTCACACACACAGCATTCACTCACAGCACACTCACACACATAGCATTCACTCACAGCACACTCACACACATAGCATTCACTCACAGCACACTCACACACATAGCATTCACTCACAGCACACTCACACACATAACATTCACACACAGCACACTCACACACATAGCATTCACACACAGCACACTCACACACATAGCATTCACACACAGCACACTCACACACATAGCATTCACACACAGCACACTCACACAAACACATAGCATTCACACACAGCACACTCACACACATAGCATTCACACACAGCACACTCACACACATAGCATTCACACACAGCACACTCACACACATAGCATTCACACACAGCACACTCACACACATAGCATTCACACACAGCACACTCACACACACAGCATTCACTCACAGCACACTCACACACATAGCATTCACACAGCACGCTCACACACACAGCATTCACACACAGCACACTCACACACACAGCATTCACTCACAGCACACTCACACACATAGCATTCACTCACAGCACACTCACACACATAGCATTCACTCACAGCACACTCACACACATAGCATTCACTCACAGCACACTCACACATAGCATTCACTCACAGCACACTCACACACATAGCATTCACACACAGCACACTCACACACATAGCATTCACTCACAGCACACTCACACACATAGCATTCACACACAGCACACTCGCTTACACACACAGCATTCACACACAGCACACTCACACACATAACATTCACACACAGCACACTCACACACATAGCATTCACACACAGCACACTCACACACATAGCATTCACTCACAGCACACTCACACACATAGCATTCACACACAGCACACTCACACACATAGCATTCACACACAGCACACTCACACACATACCATTCACACACAGCACACTCACATAAACACATAGCATTCACTCACAGCACACTCACACATAGCATTCACTCACAGCACACTCGCACATAGCATTCACTCACAGCACACTCGCACACATAGCATTCACACACAGCACACTCACACACATAGCATTCACACACAGCACACTCACACACATAGCATTCACACACAGCACACTCACACACATAGCATTCACACACAGCACACTTACACATAGTATTCACACACAGCACACTCGCACATAGCATTCACACACAGCACACTCACACACATAGCATTCACTCACAGCACACTCACACACATAGCATTCACTCACAGCACACTCACACACAGCATTCACGCACAGCACACTCACACACATAGCATTCACTCACAGCACACTCGCACACATAGCATTCACTCACAGCACACTCACACACATAGCATTCACGCACAGCACACTCGCACACATAGCATTCATTCACAGCACACTCGCACACATAGCATTCACTCACAGCACACTCACACATAGCATTCACTCACAGCACACTCACATACATAGCATTCACACACAGCACACTCGCACACATAGCATTCATACACAGCACACTCACACACATAGCATTCACTCACAGCACACTCACACACATAGCATTCACCCACAGCACACTCACACATAGCATTCACACACATCATTCACATACACACATAGCATTCACTCACAGCACACTCACAGCACACTCACGTACACACATAGCATTCACTCACAGCACACTCACATACATAGCATTCACTCCCAGCACACTCGCACACATAGCATTCACTCACAGCACACTCACACATAGCATTCACTCACAGCACACTCACACACATAGCATTCACACACAGCACACTCGCACATAGCATTCACTGACAGCACACACGCATAGCATTCACACACAGCACACTCGCACACATAGCATTCACTCACAGCACACTCACACATAGCATTCACACACATCACTCACATACACACATAGCATTCACTCACAGCACACTCACAGCACACTCACGTACACACATAGAATTCACACACAGCACACTCACATACATAGCATTCACACACAGCACACTCACATACATAGCATTCACACAGCATACTCACACACATAGAATTCACACAGCACACTCACACACATAGCATTCACACAGCACGCTCACAGCACACTCACATACACACATAGCATTCACACACAGCACACTCACATACATAGCATTCATACAGCACACTCACATACACACATAGCATTCACACACAGCACACTCACATACATAGCATTCACACAGCACACTCGCACACATAGCATTCACACAGTACACTCACACACATAGCATTCACAAACAACACACTCACACACACATAGCATTCACACACAGCACACTCACAGCACACACACAGCACACTGACAGCACACACACGTGATAACGATCTCAGTTGTGCCTCTTCAGACGGGAACTCACCCTGCGTCTCTTCTCAAAGTTGATGAGACCCCCCTGCACACGCACACACAGGCAAAGATTCCCCGTGTAACCCTTCCGGGCGGTTGGGGCGAGTGCTGTTAGCAAGCACCTATTAAGGCCGGCTTTATTCGGCTGTGGCTAAGATACGTGTTAAAGTCCATAATATAGTCTTTCTTGGGGGGTTACATCGCGTAAGTATAAATATGACGTTAAACCCGCCACCACCCGACACAGCCAATTCGTAAAGTTTGTCCCGTAAACAAAACGTGGCCAATTCGTTACTAGTACAGCAACACCGGTGTGTTGGAGAGCAAATCCACAACATTTACAATCTGAGTACGTGTTAAAAGTTTGTACGTGGGCTTTGGGCTATGCACTAGAGGTATGGACAAGGTGTATGGGCTATGTGCATGGGGTAAGTGCTAGAGCTATGGGCTAGGCGTATGGCTGATGGTGCATAGGCTCAGTACACGGTGCATGGGCTGGGAGCGTGGGCACCTCGAGGCGATCGGGCAGGGCGGTGTCCAGCATGGTGAGGTCGGTGAGGAACGTGCCCAGGTACGGCACCGTGCCCTGCATGACGCCCTGCACAGAGGGGACACGGCAGCGGCACGCGGTGAGCGCGAGCGTGGGGGGGGGGGGAGATGCCCCCCCTCTCATCCGCCCAACCCTCCCCAACCCCCACATCCCCCCAACCCCCCCCTTCCCCCCACCCCTCCCCCACCGCCCAGTTACCGTGTCCTTCTGGATCTGCAGGCGCTTGAGCGCCCTCTTCTGGCTCTCCTTCAGACTGCTCTCCAACGTCGCGAACTTCGAGGTCGCCTCCTGCCACGCGGAGTCACGCGCGCGGCGTCGTGTGTACGTGGGTGTACCTGGGTGTACGTGGGTGTACCTGAGTGTACGTGGGTGTACCTGAGTGTACATGGGTGTACGTGGGTGTACCTGGGTGTACGTGGGTGTACGTGGGTGTACCTGAGTGTACGTGGGTGTACCTGGGTGTACGTGGGTGTACCTGAGTGTACGTGGGTGTACCTGAGTGTACCTGGGTGTACGTGGGTGTACCTGGGTGTACCTGAGTGTACGTGGGTGTACCTGGGTGTACGTGGGTGTACCTGAGTGTACGTGGGTGTACCTGAGTGTACCTGGGTGTACGTGGGTGTACCTGAGTGTACGTGGGTGTACCTGAGTGTACCTGGGTGTACGTGGGTGTACCTGAGTGTACGTGGGTGTACCTGAGTGTACCTGAGTGTACGTGGGTGTACCTGAGTGTACGTGGGTGAACCTGAGTGTACGTGGGTGTACCTGGGTGTACGTGGGTGTACGTGGGTGTACCTGAGTGTACGTGGGTGTACCTGAGTGTACCTGAGTGTACGTGGGTGTACCTGAGTGTACGTGGGTGTACCTGGGTGTACGTGGGTGTACCTGGATGTACGTGGGTGTACCTGAGTGTACGTGGGTGTACCTGAGTGTACGTGGGTGTACCTGAGTGTACGTGGGTGTACCTGTGCCCGGTGCGGTGTGTGGTAAACATCGCCACTGGGGAGACAAAGGTGGTCGGGCGTGGTGCTGGCCACCCACCACCCCCTTTGTACGCTAACAGCACTTGCCCCAACAGTCTGTTACAGGCTATAGGGGGGATCTTTGTCTGTGTGTGCCTTCCCTCACCTTCATGAGCAGCTCGCGGCTCGTGAGATGATTGTTCTCACCGGAGAAGATGTCCGACAGCTCCTGGTAAAGGGAGGTGGTGTCCCTGTGACGCACAAAGATCAAAGGCGCACACACACACGCGCACACACGCACGCACACACACACGCGCACACACACGCGCACACGCACACGGCTCGCACACGCAGCGCAGCTATCGTGCATACGTGTGTGTAGGTGCGTGTACGTGTGTGTGAGTGCGTGTGTGCATATGTGAGTGCGTGTGTGTGCATGCGTGTGTGTACGTCCGTGTGAATCTGAGACCAGGAAAGGCAGCGGGCAGAGATGATCTCCCAAGCGAAATGCTGAGGGAGGGTGGCGTTTGTGCACAGACTGCCCTATATGACATCATAACAACAGTCTGGACCACTGGACGGGTTCCGCAGGATTGGAAGGATGCCCTAGTGGTCCCCCTCTTTAAGAAGGGGGACCGCACAGACTGTAACAGCTACAGGGGCATCTCACTCCTCAGTGTGCCGGGAAAGGTCCTGGCAAGGATTATTCAACATCGCCTTGCCAGGCACGCTGAGGAGAGGCTTGCGGAGCCCCAATGCGGTTTCAGGAAAGGGCGGTCCTGCACAGATGCCATATTTTCTGTCCGTCTGCTACAGCAGAGGTGTGGGGAATTCCAGCAAGACCTACATCTCTGCTTTATTGACCTGGTCAAGGCCTATGATACCATCAGTAGACCTGGACTCTGGGTTGTTCTTCGTGCTTTTTGAGTCCCTGACTCTCTGCTCACGATCATTAAGGACCTTCATGATGGTGAGCGGGCCCGGGTAAAACTACGTGGCCGGGAGTCAGAAACATTCCCTATATACCTTGGGGTGCGACAGGAATGTCCTCTGGCTCCCACATTATTTAACATCTATTTTGACCACGTAGTTCGTGAAGCCTTCACTAACTGTACCGGAGGAGTTTCCATTTGGTACAGATATAATGGGAGGCTGATCGATGCCCGGGTGTGGTCAAGGGATGGCTCCCTATTGGTCAACCACGTTATGTATGGCGATGATTTGGTAATTGCTGCTCATTCAGAGGAGGAGTTGGAAACGCTGCTGCTGAAACTGGAGCGTGCCACTGAGAGGTGGGGCCTTACCATCAGCCCCACCAAAACTAAGCACCTGCCTGGGTATTTTGTACCATCGGACACTCCACCCCCACAACTCCCAATCGGTGATGGGGCAGTTGTGGAGAGAGTGGAGAGTTTCCCATACCTGGGCAGTGTGCTCATGACCGGCTCTGGTTTAACAGCAGAGGTCTCACTCCGAATCAGTCGAGCGGCAATATCTTTCCATCGGTTGTGTAACGCTGTGTGGAAGCTACCTGGTCTGTCGCTCTGCACGAAGCTTCAGGTTTTCTCGGCCACGGTTATTCCCTCCCTTATCTACGCTTGTGAAACGTGGACCCCCCTAATGGAACATCTTCGCCAACATTTAGGCTGGCCTGCCTACGATCAATCCTGGGTTTAACCAGCCTGATTTGTGTGAAGAGCTCACAAATCCTTGAAAGATCTGGGCAAAGTCCCATCGGTGAGCTCCTCCAGTAGGCAAGGCTGCGTTGGCTGGGCCATGTAGCCCGCATGCCCAGCCACCGCATGCCTAAACAGCTTTTGTTCCGCCGGATAGAGGGGGCTCAATGGGCGCAGCATGGGCTAGAGAAAAGATGGGGTGATGTGGTACAGGAGGACGTGGAGCTGAGTGGACTTGCCAATGACTGGTGCCAGCGGTGTCAAGATCGGCCTCAGTGGTGGAAGCTCGTGAAGGACGCTACTGGGCAGTTGGAGGCAGTGGCCCTCCAACAACAACGGAAGGCGGAGGAGCGACGCTCACAACAACGAGCAGAGCACCGGGTGGCGAAAGCACAGCAGGTTGGCACAGTAGGGGGCACAGGTGGTGCATCAGCCAGTCATCTCAGTCGACCCGTGGCACCTGGGTCTGTCCCGTGACTGCCTGCCAACGGGCTTTCGACACTTCACGTGGCCTCAAGGTGCACATAGCCTGGCACAAGCGTCGTGATGACATCACCGCCACTTCGTGGCGAATAGCGGTTGTTGTTGTGAATGCGTGTGTGTGCATGCGTGTGTGTGTTTACGTGCGTGTACGTGTATGAGTGCTTGTGTGCATAGGGGCTGTCCATAAATGACGTCACGCGTTTTTGGGCGATTTTTGACCCCCCCCCCCTTCAACACATGGCGTCACAAAAAGTCACAAAGCTCTGACCCACCCCCCAAAAATAAAAGATGCTTCAAATCGCTTTAAACTATTGTCATTGTAGTGCGTATTTAATGTGGCGCTGCACTCTGATGTTGTAGGAAAAAACATTTTTACTCGTAGGAACCTCCTGGTTACACCAGCCCACAGGGGATTATTGTGGCCGTCCGTCCGTCGTGCATCCAAAAATGGGAAGGGTGGGGCTGGGTGGAGAGGGGAGGGTGGGGAGGGAGGGGCTGGGTGGGGAGGGAGGGGCTGGGTGGGGAGGGTGGGGCTGGGTGGGGCTGGGTGGGGAGGAGCTGGTCACCCCGTGGTGCCCTTAAAAAACTCAACGTTTAACCTACTCACGCCGGCTTGTGCCCGCCCTCACAGTCGGGCATATTTGCGGAATACACCACGTGGTGCGGCCGTTGACCATGGCCATTGACCGAGCAACCCAACGTTCCTACCAGCTCCCTCCGCAGGAATGTGTTTTAAAAGTCTATTTAATCGAAATTTAGACCGTGTTGTCTATATTTATTTAAAGTTGCGCATTTTGATGTGACGTCACATTTCTCAAACCCCCATTCGTCACACATCGTCACTAATGTCTGACGTCATTTATGAACAGCCCCTTAGCGCGCTGCGCTTAGAACCCAGTGACCCGGGTTCGATTCCCGCTCACGGCCAACACCAGTGACGATTATCTGGACCGGTCTATAATCTCTCCTAGGTCGACTCGGCCTCAAATTAGTACCTGGTGCGATGTGTAAACATCGCCACGAGGGAGAGACAAAGGCGACCGGGCGTGGTTGCTGGCCACCCACCCCCTCGTGTGCCGTGCCGGCCTTCATAGGTGCTCGCTAACAGCACTTGCCCCTACAGTTTGTTAAAGGCTACACGGGGAATCTTTGTTGTCTTTGTACTTCTGTGCGCGTGCGTGTGTGCGTGCGCGTGCGTGCCTGGGTACGGTGGCCCACGTGCGCTTGAGTCGGTAGATGGCGTTGCTCTGCAGCGCGGAGAGAACCGCTCGGAGCGACGAGAAATTCTTGTGGATCCGGCACTCCTGCAGACGCACGGAGACACACACATGGTTACCCACGTGGGTACCCACGTGGGTACCCCGCGACCCCCTCTGCTACAGCCCCCCCCCCCCCAGCTACAACTCCCCCCCCCCCCACCTGGGCGACGTCGATCCACTTCTGCACGAGGCGCGCGCGCTGCGCGGGTTTGGCGAGCGCCGGGTCGAGCACGGTGACGGTGACGGCGTTGGCCACGGCGTTGAACTGCGCGATGGTGGCGCGCACCGTGCCGGCGAGGCGCGCGTTCTCTTTGCGGTCGCGCCGCGACCACACGCAGCCGAGGCAGTGGTGGGGCACCACGCGCTTGAACAGCTCCTGCGCGCGCGCACGCACGGAGGCGCGAGGGTTTACCCCGCCGACGACGTCGCCGCCACTCCTCCGCTACCGAGCGGATAGCCTTGACGGGATATTTGGAGGGCAGGTGCCCTGCGCGATCGTGCAGCGGCACCAGCGGCGGAGGGGGGTGAGGTGGCCACGCCCGGCCGCCTTTGTCTCTCCCTCCCCGCCGCCGCCGGAACACACGGGCGGACACACGCAGACGGACACAGAGTAGGGGCGGACGCGTAGATACACGGACACAGAGTCGGATGGGACACAGACACACGGAGATGCACGGAAACACACACGGACACACAGACACATGGACACACACGGACACACAGGCACACACGGACACACACACAGACACACGGACACACACACAGACCACACGGACACAAACACACAGCCGAACACACACAGACACACGGACACAAACAGATACACGGACACGCGGGCGGACACACATAGTAGGGGTGGACACACAAACACACGGACCAACACACACAGACACACTGCCACACACACACAGACGCATATAGTAGGGGTGGACACACAAACACACGGACACACAGACACACTGCCACACACACAAACGGACCAACACACACAGACACACTGCCACACACACACAGACGCATATAGTAGGGGTGGACACACAAACACACGGACCAAAACACACAGACACTGCCACACACAAACAGATGCATATAGTAGGGGTGGTCACACAAACACACGGACACACAGACACACTGCCACACACACACAGACACACGGACCAACACACACAGACACACTGCCACACACATACAGACGCATATAGTAGGGGTGGTCACACAAACACACGGACACACAGACACACTGCCACACACACAGACACACGGACCAACACACACAACAACAACAGCCACTAAGTGGCGGTGACGTCACCACGATGCTTGTGCCAGGCTATGTGCACCCTGAGGCCACGTGAAGTGTCGAACGCCCGCTGGCAGGAGGTCACGGGGCAGACCCAGGTGCCACGGGTCGACTGACTGAGATGACTGGCTGATGCACCACCTGTGCCCCCTACTGTGCCAACCCGCTGTGCTTCAGCCACCCGGCGCTCCGCTCGTTGTTGTGAACGTCGTTCCTCCGTCCTCCGTTGTTGTTGGAGGGCGACTACCTCCAACGGCCCAGTAGCGTCCTTCACGAGCCTCCTCCGCAGAGGCCGATCTTGACACCGCTGGTACCAGTCATCAGCAAGTCCACTCAGCTCCACGTCCTCCTGTACCACATCACTCCATCTCTTCTCTAGCCCGTGCCGCGCCCGTTTAGCACCCTCGATCCGGCCGAACAAAAGCTGTTTCGGCATGCGGTGGCTGGGCATGCGGGCTACATGACCCAGCCATCGCAGCCTTGCCCGCCGGAGGAGCTCACCGATGGGACCTTGCCCAGATCTTTCAAGGATTTGTGAGCTCCTCACACAATCCAGTCTGGTTAAACCCAGGATGGATCGTAGGCAGGCCAGCCTTAATGTGTCTAACCGGCGAAGATGTTCCATTAGGGGGGTCCACGTTTCGCAAGCGTAGAGAAGGGAGGAACTGACCGTGGCCGAGAAGACCTGAAGCTTAGTGCGGAGCGACAGACCAGGTAGCTTCCACACACCGTTACGCAACCGATGAAAAGATATTGCCGCTCGACTGATTCAGAGTGAGACCTCTGCTGTTAAACTGGAGCCGGTCATAAGCACACTGCCCAGGTATGGGAAACTCTCCACTCTTTCCACAACTGCCCCATCACCGATTGGGAGTTGTGGGGGTGGAGTGTCCGATGGTACAAATCACCCAGGCAGGTGCTTAGTTTTGGTGGGGCTGATGGTAAGGCCCCACCTCTTAGTGGCACACTCCAGTCTCAGCAGCAGCGTCTCCAACTCCTCGTCTGAATGAGCAGCTATTACCAAATCATTGGCATACATAATGTGGTTGAGCAATAGGGAGCCATCCCTTGACCGCACCCGGGCATCGATCAGCCTCCCATTATATCTGTACCATATGGAGATTCTCCCGGTACAGCTATTGAAGCCTTCACGAACTACGTGGTCAAAATAGATGGTAAATAATGTGGGAGCCAGAGGACATCCCTGTCGCACCCCAAGGTGTACAGGGAATGGCTCTGACTCCCGGCCACATAGTTTTACCCGGGCCCGCTCACCATCATGAAGGTCCTTAATGATCGTGAGCAAAGGGTCAGGTACTCCAAAAGCACGAAGAACAACCCAGAGCCCAGGCCTACTGATGGTATCATAGGCCTTGACCAGGTCAATAAAGCAGAGATGTAGGTCTTGTTGGAATTCCCTACACCTCTGCTGTAGCAGACGGACAGAAAATATGGCATTTGTGCAGGACCGCCCTTTCCTGAAACCGCATTGGGGCTCTGCAAGCCTCTCCTCAGCGTGCCTGGCAAGGCGATGTTGAATAATCCTTGCCAGGATCTTTCCCGGCACACTGAGGAGTGAGATGCCCCTGTAGTTGTTACAGTCTGTGCTGGTCCCCCTTCTTAAAAAGGGGGACCACCACAGACACACTGCCACACACACAAAGACGCATATAGTAGGGGTGGTCACACAAACACACGGACACACAGACACACTGCCACACACACAGACACACGGACCAACACACACAGACACACTGCCACACACACACAGACGCATATAGTAGGGGTGGTCACACAAACCACACGGACACACAGACACTGCCACACACACAAACACACGGACCAACACACACAGACACACTGCCACACACACACAGACGCATATAGTAGGGGTAGACACACAAACACACGGACACACAGACACACTGCCACACACACAGACACACGGACCAACACACACACACACACACAGACACACTGCCACACACACAAACACACGGACCAACACACACAGACACACTGCCACACACACACAGACGCATAAAGTAGGGGTGGACACACAAACACACGGACACACAGACACACTGCCACAGACACAGACACACGGATCAACACACACACACAGACACACTGCCACACACACACAGACACACGGACCAACACACACACACAGACACACTGCCACACACACACAGACACACGGACCAACACACAGACACACACACAGACACACGGACCAACACACACACACACAGACACACTGCCACAGACACAGACACACGGACCAACACACACACAGACACACTGCCACACACACAAACACACGGACCAACACACACAGACACACTGCCACACACACACAGACGCATAAAGTAGGGGTGGACACACAAACACACGGACACACAGACACACTGCCACAGACACAGACACACGGATCAACACACACACACAGACACACTGCCACACACACACAGACACACGGACCAACACACACACACAGACACACTGCCACACACACACAGACACACGGACCAACACACAGACACACACACAGACACACGGACCAACACACACACACAGACACACTGCCACACACACACAGACACACGGACCAACACACACAGACACACTGCCACACACGGACCGACACAGTGTCTGGGTGCGAGGGGTTGCGTGGAGGTGTGCCCCGCACCGCGTCCATGAGCGTGAGCTGCGCTGCGATGAGGTCGGAGGGGAAGGAGAGGAAGTCACCGCGGCCCTCGCGCTCCGGGTGCCAGGTGTGCACCAGCCCTGCGCGCACACAGGCAAGGGTGCCCCCCCTCATGTAGCCTCTACCCACGCTGCCGTGGCAAGTTGCTGTCGGCGAGTGCCCATTGAGGCCGGCGCGGCACACGAGGAGCCTTTGGGGTCGTCCATAAATGACGTCACGCGATTTTGGACGATTTTTGACCCCTCCCCCCCTTCGTCACACGGCGTCACAAAAAGTCAGACCCCCCCCCCCCTCAAATATGACGTCACAAAGCTCTGCACCCCCCCCAAAAATATATATATAACATGCTTCAAATCGCTTTAAACTATTGTCATTGTAGTGGGTATTTAATGTGGCGCTGCACTCTGATGTTGTAGGAGAAAACATTTATTTAAAAAAGTCTATTTAATTAAGTAGAACGTGTTGTCTATATTTATTAAAAGTTGCGCATTTTGATGTGACGTCACATTTCTCAACCCCCCCCGCTCCTCGTCACACATCGTCACAAATATCTGACCGCCCCCCCCCCCCCAGGTGCGTGACGTCATTTACTCATTTACGGGTGAGTACACACAGGGTGAGCACACACAGGGTGAGTACACACAGGGTGAGTACACACACGGTGAGTACGCAGGGTGAGTACGCAGGGTGAGTACACACAGGGTGAGTACACACAGGGTGAGTACACACAGGGTGAGTACGCAGGGTGAGTACGCAGGGTGAGTACACACAGGGTGAGTACACACACAGTGAGTACACACAGGGTGAGTACGCAGGGTGAGTACACACAGGGTGAGTACACACACAGTGAGTACACACAGGGTGAGTACGCAGGGTGAGTACACACAGGGTGAGTGCACACAGGGTGAGTACACACAGGGTGAGTACACACAGGGTGAGTACACACATGGTGAGTACACACAGGGTGAGTACACACAGGGTGAGTACACAGGGTGAGTACACACACGGTGAGTACGCAGGGTGAGTACGCAGGGTGAGTACACACAGGGTGAGTACACACACAGTGAGTACACACAGGGTGAGTACACACACGGTGAGTACACACAGTGTGAGTACACACAGTGTGAGTACACACACAGGGTGAGTACACACACGGTGAGTACGCAGGGTGAGTACACACACGGTGAGTACACACAGGGTGAGTACACACACGGTGAGTACACACAGGGTGAGTACACACACGGTGAGTACACACACGGTGAGTACACACAGTGAGTACACACAGGGTGAGTACGCAGGGTGAGTACACACAGGGTGAGTACACGCACTGTGAGTACACGCATGGTGAGTACACACACAGTGAGTACACACAGGGTGAGTACACACACAGTGAGTACACACAGGGTGAGTACACACAGGGTGAGTACACACAATGAGTACACGCAGGGTTGAGTACACACGGTGAGTACACACAGGGTGAGTACACACAGGGTGAGTACACAGGGTGAGTACACACACGGTGAGTACACGCAGGGTGAGTACACACGGTGAGTACACACAGTGTGTACACACAGGGTGAGTACACACGGTGAGTACACAGGGTGAGTACACGCACTGTGAGTACACGCAGGCTGAGTACACACGGTGAGTACACGCACTGTGCCCGTCGGCGGCCTCCCCGCGGTGCTGCTTGAAGTGCCGCATGAGGTTGCGCGCCCTCCGCTCCAGGTCGGAGCCGGGGAAAGTCCTCGCCAGGTACTCCAGCAGCCGGCGCAGCCCGCCAAACTCGGGGCCCTGCTCGCGGAAGTCCTCCGAGTACTGGTCCAGCCACGCGCCCAGGATGGACGCGATGGAGCTGGCACGGCACGGGCGGGCGGTGGACGGGCAACTCGGCGGTCAGACACGCTCATCATCAGCAGCGTCACCATCGTCAGCAGCGTCACCATTACTATAATCAGCATCACCATCGTCAGTATCATCATCTTCGCTATAATCAGCATCACCATGATCAGCACCACCATCATCAGCATCACCATCATCACAACCATAAGCATCACCATCACCACCATCAGCATCACCACCATCATCAGCATCATCACCACCATCACCACCATCACCAGCATCACCACCATCATCATCAGCGTCATCACAATCACAGTGAGCCACGGTCAAGGCCTCCGCGGTCCGTCGCCGTCTCTCACGGCCCCGCCACAACGGCAGCGGAGAGCTCCGACGCGCGACGCGCCGCTCCGACCTTGGCCTCGACCCCCGGCCTCCGTGCCCTGCCCACGGCTGCTGCCCGTGTTTGACCGTCACGACGACGCCTCCGACTCTCGTGTACGCGCCCTCTCGTCCGCCCGAGTCCCACCCGAGTCCCACCCGAGTCCCACCCGAGTCCCCCTGCCGAGCGCTCACCTGCGCAGCACCGCCTTGTCTTCCGCCGTTAAGCCGCGCAGCGAGCTCTCCGCCGCCTCGCCCTCCAGGTTGCCGTACCTGCACGGCACCGCGCAGCACATCAGCACGCACGCAGCACCGCGCGGTGTCAGCGCCGCGCAGGAACTGCACAGCACCACACGATCAGCATCACACGGCGCCGTACAGCGGTGTGTTCTCAAATGAGTACCTGGTGCAGTGTGTGAACATCAGCATTGGGGAGACAAAGGCGACCGGGCGTGATGCTGTTGGCCACCCACCCCCTCGTGCGCCGTGCGCCGGCCTTCGTAGGTGCCACTCGCCAACAGGGCTTGCGCCGACCGGTCTGTTAAAAGCTTCCACGTGTTGGGGGTTTGGGGGGGGCAGGGGTTCTTAGTCTCTGTGCCAGCCGGTGCCGCACCGCCGGCGCCCCTCACCTGTCGAGCAGCAGGTCGAGCACCTGCGTGGGCGTGGCGAAGGAGCGGTAGGTGGCGAGGAAGACGGTGGCGTAGGTGGAGTCGTTCTCGCGGAACGCCACCAGGAGGTTGCGCACGAGTCGCTCGAGCGTGCCGGCCTTCAGCGTGCGCGTGCGCACCGTCTCCACGGTGGGCGGCGGGGGCGGCGGGGGCGGCGGCGGCGGCGGGGGCGGCGCCGCGCCGGTGGTGCCGCCGGTGCCACCGGAGCCCGGTGGGCACGCGCCATTCTCCACCTGCGGTGCCAACGCGTTCGGCGGCGGCGGAGTCATTGTCTGGAGAGCGTGGTGTGCGGTGTGTGCGTGTGGCGTATGGTGCGGTCTGGTGAGTGATAATCGGATGTGGTGAGTGCGGTGAGTGTGGTATGTGTGGCGTGGTGAGTTCGGTAAGTGTGATATGTGTGGTGTGTGTAGTGAGTACGGTATGGTGTGCGTGGAGCGGTGTGTGTGCTGTGGTGGGTGAGTGTGGTGAGTGCCCTCACCCCGAGCCAGCGAGCTCCCTTGTGCGTGGCGAGTGGCTGCACCTGCACCTTACGCAGGGAGACGCTGTACAGGGCTCCCTCCTCCACCTCCTCACCCCAGTCCTGCACCATGCTGGGCTGCGACACGCAAAGACAAAGATCCCCCGTGTAGCGTTAACATACTGTTGGGGCAAGTGCTGTTAGCGAGTAGCACCTATGAAGGCCGGCACGGCGCACCAGGGGGTGGGTGGCCAGCACCACACCCGACCGCCTTTGTCTTCCCAGTGGCGATGATTTTACGCATCGCGCCAGGTACTCATTCAAAGCTGAGTCGACCTAGGTGAGGCCCAGAACCAGTTCAGAAAATCGTCACTGGTGTTGGTGGTGGCCGTGAGCGAGAATCGAACGCGGATCGCCGGGTTCGTAGCATAGCGTGCTAACCGTTGCGCCACCGCTCCCCCCAAACTAAATTCAGCACGAGTCACTAACAGTCAGAGATGTATAGTGAACCCCCCACAGGGAAAGCGGGGGGGGGGGGGCGGCGGGATGGTCCTGAAATTCCAAGCTCTTTAAATAGGAGCCCCCTACATGAGTAATTATGGAGATTCAACCCATTTTCTCTGGGTAACTATCAATACAATACCAATCACTGGTTGGGGGCTGGGGGGACACATCTAGAAAACACGTGGGTCAGTTGTTTAAGATGTGTTTCTCTGTGCATGGCGTATAACATATACCTGTGTGTGTAATGCAAGGCCGTAGCCATGGAGTCAACATTGAGGGAGACCAAATCTTCCAGGGGGTCTGGGGGTCCCCCCCCCAGAAAAAAAACTAAATTTGAAAACTAATTTCCTGCCATTTCCTGCCGAAAAAAAAAATTCACTAACACATAGGACTTACTTTTTTTTTTACAATAATGTCTAATAGTGTATTGTATTACATTGCTCTGTTTTTTTATTTTTAAACTTTTCTTGTTTAATTATATGTAATGGCAGAGATTAGGGATTAATAAAGTACAACCATAACCACAATAATATAAACAGAAATCTATTTTATAGCAATATATTGGGGGGGACATTTTGAGCATATTTGAATATTGGTGTAATGTATATAACGCGTGTGTATAGTACCGGATCGGCAGTGGAGCGGTTAGCGCGCTGCGCTACGAACCCGGTGACCCGAGTTCGAATCCCGCTCACGACCAACATCGGTGGCGATTACCTGAACCGGCCCAGGACCTCCCCAAGGTCGACTCGGCCTCGAATGAGTACCTGGTGCTGTGTGTAAATATCGCCACGAGGGAGACAAAGGCGGCCGGGCGTGGTGATTGCCACCCACCCCCTCGTGCGCCGTGTCGGCCTTTATTGGTGCTCCTCGCCATACCGGACGCTTTTCGCTAACAACACTTGCCCCAAAAAATGTGTTACGGCTATACGGGGGACCTTCATCTTTGGTGCAACATGTATGGTATAACACTTAACTTGGTGTGTGTGTGTATAGGATAACGGTGTCTGTATGGTATACTGTGTGTATGGCGTACTGTGCCATCTCTGCGTGTAACACTATACGGGAGCTATTTCAAGCGGTGAATCTGTCCTCTGGCCCCGTGTAAACATTCACGCACGCACAGCAGTGGCCAACAGCCTCCGCTAGTGGCACACAGCCTACCGATCAGCTCTCCACTCACGGGGCACGCCGTACAGCCCCGCGCGTGCGCCAGCACGTGCCACCAACACACGAGGCCTTTACAGGCGTTTGGGGTAAGTGGGAGTGGGTGTCTCCCTCGTGGCGATGTTTACACACCGCACCAGATAAACTCATGTTAGGCTGAGTCGACTTAGGGGAGGCTCAGGACCAGTTCAGATAATCGTCACTGGCCGTGAGCAGGAATCGAACTGAGGTCGCCAGATCCGTAGCACAGCAGCAGGCGCATGCTATACACGTGAGTTTGATTTCCTTCATTCTCATTACAAGTGATGAAGAATCGATCCAGAAATCTCGCAGAGCAGTGTGACCCCTTCGCGTTCGAGAGCGGCCCGCGGAAGCAGGTGTCACAGAGCTACCGCTGAGATCCCTTCTTCAAGTGACTTCTGGTCCACACACGCGAGAGCCATGTTCGTCGCACGACGGTCAAACGGATATTTCTGCATTTCCAGAACTGGAATAGATGCCCAATGTGGAGGTCTGTTACTTTAGCTCAGATAGAGTTCGTACCGTTGTTCTGTTCCTCCTCCTCCGGTGAAGGAGTGCAGATCACGGTGGATTCTCTATATGGTCCATAGTGTGGGCTGACTGATGGTGATGTTGAACGACGTTTGCAATCACGGACAAACATAGTTTGCGTGACGCCCCGACGCGGCAGGCCTGGTGCAGACACGGGGCGCGCACGAAACGAAGTAGCGGCTCTCGTCCGGCCTACGGGCCGCAGGTCACCCCCCCCCCCCACCCCATCCCCTGCCGTAGGTATTTGATTTCGTTATTTCAATAGCAGAGTGCGAAACGCGATCTCTACCGGAGCTCTACCAGACACGTGGTCCAACACGCGCCGTGTCACGCCGTGTCACCCATCGACGACCTTACACCTGCCGGAAGGTGACAGGGGCAGCGCTGCCACCCGTCCCGTAGGGTTTGTCCACGCAAGATCGTCCTCTCTTGTTGGACGAGGCCGGCCGCTCTCCTGGGAGATCTGTCAGTCCACCGGAGGAAGCGCCACGTGGAAGCAGGGACCTCGTGGCGCGCGTGTCTGGGATGAACACGGCCGGGCGGAGCGGAGCTTCGCCTCGAGCGGTGGGACAAAGATCGGCGCTCCGCTCCACCTGGTCGTGCCACCACCTGTCCTGGTTTTCCCCAGGACCGTCTTCGCTGAGAGATCCCCTAATCTCCGGGTGAGAAGAGGCACCGGATTTGTGCCCCACCCCCACATCCCTGCCCCCCTCAACTCCTGTATTTAAAAGCAGAGGTTGGGGGGTGCGTCTCATACCCCTGTGTGTGCGCGTGTGTGCATCTATCTGCCGGCCCTCATACCTACTCACGAACAGCACTTACCCCGAAAGCCTGTCAAGGTTATAAGGGGGGATCTTTGTCAGTGAAACTGAAATTAATATTCTGATACAGGGCACAAGGTTTTTTTTGGTGTTTTTTCTTACTTTCTGGAGCATCTTATAATTCGGAGAAAACGGAAGTTGCCGTGCCAGGGAAATCTGTCCGTCGTGCCGGGACATTAAAGTCCCGGTGTGTGTCCGTTGCATGACAATAGCAATGACAACAATGCACTGCTGAAGATAAATGAATTCCCATGTAGCTCTCCCCTCTTGTGCTGCTTCCTTCTTGCCATGATACTTTCCGGATTTATGCCACTCAAGAGGTGGCAACCCTATAACAGGGTAGCCCAAAAGTCAGTACACAGGGTGGTTATATGTATTTTATTAGATCAGAGGGTTATTTCCTTTTTTATTTAACACATGTTCAGACTGACTTCCATAATTAACATTAATGCAGGCACGATTTATATTTTCAAATAAATGTAGGACTCCATTTTAAAGGTTGCAGGTGTAATTTTTGAACAGTTATCAATTATGTTTCGTCTCAATGCAGTAAATGTTCTTTAAATCTTTAATTGCCATCTACATATTGCGGGTGACATAACTTTTGAGATTGCCCTCGTACAGAGACAAAGCTCCCCTGTGTAACCCACGCAGGTTGTTGGGTCAAGTGCTGTTGAGCGAGCGCCTATGAAGGCTGGCATGTCGCACGAGAGGGTTGGTGTGGCAAGGACTCTACCCGTCCACCTTTGTCTCCCCAAGCGCTGATGTTCACACACTGCACCAGGTTCTCATTCAAGGCTGAGTCAACCTAGGGGAGTCCCAGGACAAGGTCAGATATTCGACGCTGGTGCTGGGGAAAGCGGGAATTGAATCTTGGCCACACTTGGCTTGCAACGTTAGTTCGCTAACCACTGCACTCACTCTCACGCGGACCCATGGTACGTACGTAGGCAGACATACACTCACTACTCTCACTATCACGATGACGCCCATATGGACATTCGAACAGTTGGGGCTGAGGGCTATTAAGGTCGCCTTTATTATGGTTGCCTTTATAACCCAGGTACATGATTGATTTAAACAAAAATTGATCTCCACTTAGAATGGTGCTGCTTTCATCTCTCTCAAACACACGGCCCCATCACCAGGGTACACAACCCATACAACACAACCCACACTCACCAGGGTACACAACCCATACAACACAACCCACACTCACCAGGGTACACAACCCATACAACACAACCCACACTCACCAGGGTACACAACCCATACAACACAACCCACACTCACCAGGGTACACAACCCATACAACACAACCCACACTCACCAGGGTACACAACCCATACAACACAACCCACACTCACCAGGGTACACAACCCATACAACACAACCCACACTCACCAGGGTACACAACCCATACAACACAACCCACACTCACCAGGGTACACAACCCATACAACACAACCCACACTCACCAGGGTACACAACCCATACAACACAACCCACACTCACCAGGGTACACAACCCATACAACACAACCCACACTCACCAGGGTACACAACCAACACTCCCTGGGCTCTGTGTTTACCAGCTCCTCATGCAAATCAGTGGAAGAGAACACGCCAAGAGCAGTCACACCCACACAGACGCTGCCATCACGCACACCCCACCATCATCATCACACTCATCGAATTCAATCATCACGCACCATTACTAAGTACCACCATCTTCCCACTATACCATGTTCGTCACACTAAAATTCACACACACTCACGCACCACCATCACACACACACTACGATCACACACACTTCCGTCATCATCACGCGACTATTAACGCACACCACAAAGACAAAGCTAGCTAGCTTTTACAGACTGTTGGGACAAGTGCTGTTAGCGAGCACCTATGAAGGACGACAGGGCACACGAGGAAGTGGGTAACCAGCCCCACGCTCGGCCCCCTTTGTCTCGCCAATGCTGATGTTTACACACCGCAGCAGGTACTCATTTAAGGCTGAGTCGACCTCGGGGAGGCTCAGGAACGGTTCGAACTCGGGTGGCTGGGCTCGGAGTGCAATGCGCGAACCACGGCGTGATGGCTCCCATAGAAGAACACACCGCCCCTGCACCCACACCGTCACCAACGCACAAACACACCCCCTCACGCAGCTCCCCTTACAAACACACCTACCACCCATCACACACCTACCACCCATCACACACACACACCTCCCACCGGTCACGCACACACACACCTGCCACCCATCACACACCTACCACCTGTCACGCACACACACACACCTCCCATCCATCACACACAAAGATCCCATCGTATAGCCTTAACGGACTGTAGGGCCAAGTGCTGCTAGCGAGCACTTATGAACGAGGCGATGGGAGGCCAACACCACGCCCGGCCGCCTTTGTCTCATTTTAGACCGAGTCGACCTAGAGGAGGCCCAGGACCGGTTTAGATAATCGTCACTGATGTTGGCCGTGTAGCGGTTAGCTGTGCTAACCGCTACACGGCCGCTCCCCACACACCTCCCACCCATCACACACACCACTCCCACCCTTCACACACACACACACCTCCCACCCATCACACACACACACACCTCCCATCACACACCTCCCACCCATCACACACACACACACCTCCCACCCATCACACACACACCTCCCACCCATCACACACACACACCTCCCACCCATCACACACATACACACACCTCCCATCACATACCTCCCACCCATCACACACACACCTCCCACCCTTCACACACACACACCTCCCACCCATCACACACATACACACACCTCCCATCACATACCTCCCACCCATCACACACACACCTCCCACCCATCACACACACACACACACCTCCCACCCATCACACACACACACACACCTCCCACCCATCACACACACACACACACCTCCCACCCATCACACACACACACACCTCCCACCCATCACACACACCTCCCATCACACACCTCCCACCCATCACACACATCTCCCACCCATCACACACACACACACACCTCCCACCTATCACACACACACCTCCCACCTATCACACACACACCTCCCATCACAAACCTCCCACCCATCACACACACACACACCTCCCACCCATCACACACACACCTCTCACCCATCACACACACCTCCCATCACACACACCTCTCACCCATCACACACACACATCCCCTACCCGTCACACACCTCCCACCCATTTCACACACACACACACACCTCCCACCCATCACACACACACCTCCCACCCATCACACACACACCTCTCACCCATCACACACACACACCTCTCACCCATCACACACACACACCTCTCACCCATCACACACACACACACACACCTCTCACCCATCACACACACACACCTCTCACCCATCACACACACACACACCTCTCACCCATCACACACACCTCCCACCCATCACACACACACCTCTCACCCATCACACACACACACCTCTCACCCATCACACACACACACACACCCTACCCGTCACACACCTCCCACCCATTTCACACACACACCTCCCATCACACACACACCTCTCACCCATCACACACACACCTCCCACCCATCACACACACACCTCTCACCCATCACACACACACACCTCTCACCCATCACACACACACACACCTCTCACCCATCACACACACACACCTCCCACCCATCACACACACACCTCTCACCCATCACACACACACCTCTCACCCATCACACACACACACCTCCCACCCATCACACACACACACCTCCCACCCATCACACACACACCTCCCACCCATCACACACACACACCTCTCACCCATCACACACACATACCTCCCACCCATCACACACACACACCTCCCACCCATCACACACACAACCCCATCTCCCAGTACAATCCGTACTGACGGCCACACAAAACACGAGGCTTGTCGAGGTGAGCGGGGGGGTTGAGGGAGGGCACGGGAACCCCAAACGCCGGGGCTCTGTCCGCTAGCCCCGGTACCCCCCTGTACCACCGGTACTAGTACCTGGTAGTCGGAGATCATGTCGGCCGCGTCTCCCCCTCGCCGCTCGCTCCTTGTCAGAGAGGAGGAGGAGGAACGCGACAGCCATGGAGCAGCAGAATGAGGCGACGGCTGCTGCCACTGGGAGCCAGCAGCAGCATCTCGCCTCGCGTCTCCCTGTCCCCCTGTCTTCCCACCTGTCTCCCTGTGTCTCACCGGCTGTCCTTCCTCATCCCGTAACCCACTGTCCCCTCCTGCTGTCTCTTCTCTTGCTGCCTCTTCTCTTTCTCCTCCTCCGCCTCCTCGCCCCGTCTCTCGCTCTCTCCCCCGGTCTCCCCTCCCGTCTCTGTCTCCTCCCTCACCCCCCGCTTGCTTCTCCCTCCCTCCCTCCTTCGCTTCTGCTTTCTCCTCTTTCCCCCTCCCTGTCACCTCCTTCTCTCTCCCTGCTCCGAGCTCCAGTCCCACAGATCCATGTCGCGGCGACCCACGCTGCAATCTCAACACATTCACACCCCATTTCTCCTCCCTCTCTATATATTCACTCTCTCTCTACACTCTCCCCCCCATCTCCCCTTTCTCTACACCCGCTCTCTCTCCTTTCACTCCCCTCTCTCCATCCCCCTCCTCATGTTCTCCTCCCTAATCTTTCCTCTCTCAATTCCTCCTCTTTCTCCGCTCTCCATCTGCCAACTCTCTCAACTTCCTCGATCTCCTCTCTCTCTCTCTTCATCGAATTGTTCCCATCTCTCTCACCTCTCCCACCTCTCTCTCCTCTCACTATCTCCCCTATCTCTATCTTCCCCCTTCTCTGTTCCCTCTGCCCATCTCTCTGCTCTATCCATTTCCCACCTCCCCTATCTCCCATCTCTCTCCATTTCCCCCATCTCCACGCTCTCCTTTTTCCAATCAGAAGAATCTATGGTTCTGCTTTTAGAACTTCGATTAATCTATTATTCCATGATGGGGAGCGGGGGGGGGGCTGTCTATGACACCCCATTGTCTCAATGTGACACTCCATTGTCTCAAAGTGACACTCCATTGTCTCAATGTGACACCCCATTGTCTCAATGTGACACTCCATTGTCTCAATGTGACACGCCATTGTCTCAATGTGACACCCCATTGTCTCAATGTGACACTCCATTGTCTCAATGTGACACTCCATTGTCTCAATGTGACACCCCATTGTCTCAATGTGACACCCCATTGTCTCAATGTGGCACCCCATTGTCTCAATGTGACACCCCATTGTCTCAATGTGACACTCCATTGTCTCAATGTGACACTCCATTGTCTCAATGTGACACCCCATTGTCTCAATGCGACACCCCATTGTCTCAATGTGACACTCCATTGTCTCAATGTGACACTCCATTATCTCAATGTGACATCCCATTGTCTCAATGTGATACTCCATTGTCTCATTGTGACACTCCATTGCCTCAATATTTACAGTGGCAGGGGTTTATGTTTTTACGTCTCTGGAAGAGTTCGCCTTTGTGTTGGAGTTCGGGTCAAGCTTAGCCCGAGGCTTCAATGTGAGAGCCGCCATCCACGGCCGTGATTGCTGTAGGAATGCGGGCATCACGTCTCCTGTTGGCTTGACGGGAAGGCCGCCTCGCCTCCCGATCCATGTCTATGTTGAGAAGTAGTGAGTGACGTCATGTCACGCTCGCCTCCGGTACGGTGACGGGATGTCCCCCTGGGGTATTTAAGGGGGGACCCGTGACGTAAGGGGGGGGGGGGGGGGGTCGTCGTGGAAGTCCGAGAAAGGTGAATGCTGAGAGTGGGACCCAGGGTAGGGGAATCTAACACGGGACTAAAAGTAGCTCTGTTCGGTGTGGATCATCCCTCGGCCAGTCAGGGAGAAGAGCCCGGATAGTTAGGGGGTGTGTTTGGGATTCCCAGTACCCTTACCTGGAGAGGGGTGGGGGGGGGAGAATAGAATAACCAGGAGTGTAGGCAGGAGCAGTAACAGTTTAGGCGTAAAGCCTCCAAATAAATCCTTGGCGTCAGCCCTTCTGAAGATCTGTGTCTCCGCGTCATACTTTGCACCACAACAAATACGAACAGCGGCCAAGGCGGTAAAAGCCTGCGCCAAATTCTCCCCCGAGCTCTGCGAGCCTCTGTCAGTGGTTCTCAACCTTTGTTTTGGGCTACTGTAGCCAACCTTGTTGAATGTTACAACCGAGTAAACCCCTTGCCTGACCCAATATGGTTTTGAGAGGGAAAAAAAGTATTAATAATGAACATCAATATATATTTATACTCTTTGGTTCTTTCGGTGAAGTCACAAAATCAAATAAATCAATTTTATTTTATTTCATACCTATAAATCAATTTAATTTTATACCTATAAATCAATTTGATTGTATTTTATACCCACGTGACTTTATCGAAATAAGCAAAGAGCATGGATTCCTGCAGTCACGAAAGCTTCAAATCAAGATCAATGTATATTTGTTTTACCAATGATCAATTGTGTGAGGTAACAAGCTTGCTAGTAACTGCAAGCGAATACATACAACAATTAAACGAACGAATATGCATGGGTCACGTAATTTATTTGCGCTCTCGTACACCACATTGTGTACGATCAATGAGTTTAGAAAGGTATTTGATATCCCTATAGGTGACCATTTAAATTTAACCCTAGTAATTTTGTTGGCAAATTCGCACACCATTATTCACCAATGACTCTCACGGATGATATAATTTCACACGTTTATAAATCGCCTCACGTACCCCCCTGGAACATTGCCACGTTACCTCCATTTGAGAACCACTCCTCTTTACAATATTCCGACGTTATCGGCGCAATTTAACGAGCGCTTGTATGTTTGGCAGGAAACCGGACCACCCGGATAATACGAAAAAAAACACGCGTGCGAGGGGGAAACCCTCTATCCCATACAGGCGAATTGAAATTCTCTCCCGTTGGTAGAACTCCAGCCACAAGCCTGCCAGAATAATTGCCAAATGGTCCGATGCTTCTGTGTAAGCAGACAAGGTGGCCCGCTTTTGCCAAGATACATTAAAAAAAACCTCGGCACTTTCCTCAAGAACACCGTGGCCTTAAAGGGGGGAAAAAGTATATGACAGTCGACGTTTCGGGCAACGGGCCGTCTGCATGTGCTATATGTCTATTTGCTTGATTTCGACAAAAATTTTTTACTCAAGGCGACATTGGTTGGAGATGTTATACAGATAATCGTTTTATTGAAATATAAAGTGAGACATTAAGTGAAGAAGACGACACCTTGATCAAACTCCACCAGCCGCTGACGGGCACCCACACACACACACGTACGGCCTCCCCCCACGCCACACCGTGCGTGGCGTGGGGGATTTGCTAGTGACCATACTTCACCTCGCGGGTCAATGCGGGTTTGTTTGACAGCTGGGGGAGCGTGGAGAGAGGAACGACACCAAACAATGGCAAGGAATTTCATTCAGACTGCGTGACCCTCTTCCGGAAGAATTCTTCTGGTCGTTCGTTAACTCTGCTCGAATACATCTTCCGGAATAGATCTTCCGGAAGACGACTTCTGTTTTATCGTTAACTCTACTCGAACATTTATTCTGGAAGTTTTCTTCCGGAAGATGTCTTCTTGGGCGTTCATTCACGCACCTCGAATACATCTTCCGGAAGATGTCTTCCGGCTGTTCATTTGGGCATGGCAGGCGTCTTCTGGAAGACTCTTCCGAGCGTTTTCTTCAAACTGCCGGTAGCGGCCCACGGCGCCAGGAGTGGAGTTCGAGGTAGGGACAGTGTCTCCGTGTGTCTCCGTGAGTCTCCGTGTCTATATCGTTAATCTTGTTGGGTCTCTCCGGGTCTCTCTTGTGTTGTGCCTCGCCCGGGATCTCAGATCGCGTCTCCCAGTCTCTCCTCGTCTGTCTTCCCCGTGTGTCTCCTCGTCTCCCCGCGTGTCTCCTCGTCTCCCCCGCGTGTCTCATCGTCTCCCCGTGTGTCTCCTCGTCTCCCCGTGTGTCTCCTCGTCTCCCTCGTGTGTCTTCTCGTCTCCCCGTGTGTCTCCTCGTCTCCCCGTGTGTCTCCTCGTCTCCCCCGCGTGTCTCATCGTCTCCCCGTGTGTCTCCTCGTCTCCCCCGTGTGTCTCCTCGTCTCCCCGTGTGTCTCCTCGTCTCCCCGTGTGTCTCCTCGTCTCCCCGTGTGTCTCCATACCTCTCCCACCACCCCCGTGTGTGTGTGTGGTGGCCCGAGAAGGCGGGAGCCATGGCCACCTCGGGTCTGGAGAAGCTTGGAGTGGCTGGCGGGGAGGACCTCAGGGAGACTCTCACCAACTGCACGGACCCGCTCAAGGCCATCGAACAGTTCCAGGTCCCAGCCCCACGCTACCGCCCAACTCTCTGCTCCAGCATCAGCATCGGAGAGCGAACGGCATCAAAACACAGTTCAAATAGAACACGAATAAAAATAGTTTTGGCTCATGGGTGTCACGGTTAACAGAATGCCCCCCCCCCCCCACTTCAGAGGCAAACTTACCTCCCAGACTTGGCTCTCACCCACAGGGCTCACTAATTATCTTCCAGACTAATGTTTTTCCTGCCCCTCTCGCCTGCCTCCCCCCGCATGCGAGCAGCTGGAGAACGGCGTGCTCCTGCCCTCGCTGCAGTCGGCGCTGCCCTTCCTGGACCTGCACGCGATCCCGCGCCTCGACTTCCACCAGTCGGTGTTCGACGAGCTGCGTGACAAACTCCTCGAAAGGGTGGCGGTCATTGCCACCGAGGGCCCGCCACTCAGCCGGTGTGTGCGCGCGCGCGTAGAACGCGCGTGGATCGCGCGTGTGTACACGTCGAGTGTGTCTGAACACGTGGAATTTTTGCTTGTGTCTCTCGGTGTGTCTTTGTTTCCATGTTTGTGCCCCTTACCTCTTTTTCCACTGCACAACCGTGCCAGGCCTGTGCCGAACCAGCCCGGCACTGCTCAGGCAGCGCCAGGTTCATTTTCCACCACAGAAGCCGAGCCGCGCCGCTGATGTCGCACGCAATGAACGCGTTGTTCGCCACGCCCCTGCTTGACCTCGAGCATCCTTCGAATATCTTGTGAGGTCTGGTTCTGGCTCGGCTCGGCAAACAGCCGGTGGAAAAACCACCCGTACCGTGAGGGCCCCCCGCGCCGGCTCGCGTGTGCGCAGTCGGAAGAGGAGTACGTCTGTCTGACTTTGCGTCGCTCTACGTATGCCCCGGGCAGGAACACGAAGCTGGAGGAGCTTCTGGAGAAGAGCTTTGCCCTCGTGCGCATGCCGTCTGTGCAGCCCGTCGTCATGTGCCTGCTCAAACACATTCCCAAGGTGAGTGACCTCCCCATGCTCCCGTGGCGGCACTGCCATCGCACGCATATGTGGCGTCCCGGTCGCGCGTGTACAGCCACCGCCGTCGCTTGATGTCGTCACCAGGGAGCAACCCCCTCACCCCGGCAGCTGTCCCTGTAATGCACAAACAAGGCTTATCGCGGCACAGGCCAGCGAGTCATCGTGGAGAGTGGTTGTATAGTGGTTCATGCAGTGCACTATAAGCCCAGCACCCTGAGTTTGATACCCGGCCGAGGCTACCATCCTGAGTCTCCTCTAAGTCAACTCAAGCTTAAAGGAGCACCTGGTGCGGAGCGTAAATCAGCGCTGGGGGGATTCTCCCAAAGGCGGCCGGGCGTGATATTGGCCACACTACCTCTTCATTTGTGCTCCGTGCCGGCCTTCATAGACGCTCGCCCGCAGCACTTGGCCCGACAGCCTGTGCGGCCTGCATGGAACAATCTCGCGGCGACCGTATGCAGCGCCGCTGTGAACGCCGCCACCGCGCCGCCTCCGCTCGTGCCGCGCAGGTCCCCGAGCGCTACCTGAAGCAGGTGACGAGCGACCCGGCGCTGTACGCGGCTTGCGCCACTGAGGTGAAGCGGCAGATCTGGCAGGAGAACCAGGCGCTGTTCGGGGACGAGGCATCCCCGCTGTTCAAGCAGTACCTGGCGGAGAGAGAGACGGCCCTGTTGGGCCCCGAGCTGTCGGCCGTGCACACCTTCTACAGCTCCTCCCCGAAGGCGCGCCGCCACGGGCAGGTGAGTGAAGCCAACGAAGCAGCTGGGTGGGTGAGCGAGCGGCCGGGTGGGTGGGTGGGGGAGCGAGCAGGCAGGCGAGTTCGCGGGCTGTGGCGGGCGCTTTGGGGGGTGCCCAGCTGTACACCGTAACAAATGTAAACGTGCAGACCTGAAGCTGTTACCCTTCCGTAGCGTGTCTGGCATCTTCTTCCACTCTGGCCAGATGTCTTGGAAGAAGTGGTCGTACCCACACTTTACCCCACCACACGCGATCTGCCCCATCTTTATACTGCTGGGTGGACATAGGTGGTCGGCAGGGTGGGGTGGAGGGATTTAATAAACTTGCAGCATCGTTTACGCTGCCTGCATGGGGAGATGGAATTGAACCGGCGACCTCTGAATTGCAAATCCGGTGTGCGCACCACAACACCACTGTGGCAGCGTCCGCTTGGCTCGACTCAAGTGACACCTGGGACTTGCCGTCCCGTGCCTCTGACCTGCTGCGCAAATGGATTTTGCGCTCGTTCTAAATCGGGCTTAATCGTCATCGTCATTATCGACACGGCTTTCAACTTGACACCTAGCTGTGCCTGGCAGGTGGTACAGAAGCTGACGGGCATGATCGGGCGCAACGTGAAGCTGTACGACATGGTGCTGCAGTTCCTGCGTACGCTTTTCCTGCGCACGCGCAACCCGCATTACTGCACGCTCCGCGCGGAGCTGCTCATGGCCTTGCACGACCTGGAGGCCACCGACATCTGCTCTGTCGACCCCTGCCACAAGGTGACCCGCGGAGAGTGTCGCGCTGGTCTCAACGGAACTCGCGGCGGTTCTCGCGCAAGAGGAACCTCGTAGCGCCCGCGACGAGCGAGCGTCTTAACGGTCCCTCTCTCTGCCCACACGCGCATGCGCGCAGTTCACGTGGTGCCTGGACGCGTGCATCCGCGAGCGTTTCGTGGACGTAAAGCGGGCGCGGGAGCTGCAGGGATTCCTGGACGGCATCAAGCGGGGCCAGGAGCAGGTGCTGGGGTGAGCTACTTGGAGTGGTGGAGATGGGAAAATTTCAATCACATGTTATAAATTACTGGAGGAAATGTAATTAGATAATTGTCACCCGAGCGTGGTGCAAGCCACGCCGCTCCTTCGTGTGCCATGCTGGCCTTCGTAGGTGCTACTCGCTAACAGCACTTGCCCCAGCAGTTTGTGTAGGCTACACATGGGATCTTTGTGTTTGTCCTGTCCAGGGACCTCTCCATGATCCTGTGTGATCCGTTCGCTATCAACACTCTGGCCATGAGCACCATGAAGACCCTGCAGGAGCTCGTGAGCCATGAGAGCTTGCCCAGGGTGAGCCTCGCGGCACCACCACCGCAGTCAAAACTACAGCCACAGTCACAACAACAACCACAGTTACAGCTACAACGACAATCACAGTCACAACTACAATCACAGTCACAACCACAGCCACAGTCACAACTACAACCACAGTCACTACTACAACCACAACTGCAGCTTCAAGCACAACCGCAAAAAACACAGCAAAGACAACCACAGAAACGACGGCAGTCACAGCAACAACCACTCACAACCACAACCACTGTCACGGCTACAACCACAACCGCAGTCACAACCACAGTTACAGCTACAACTACAGCCACAGCTAAACCACAACTACAGCAACAAACACAACCACAATTACAACTATTACCACAGTCATAACTACAACCACTGTCACGGCTACAACTACAACTGCAGTCACAACCACAGTTACAGTTAGAACTACAGTCATAACAACCACTGTCGCAACTACAACCACGGTCACTACTACAACCATGGTCACTACCACAACCGCAGCTACAACCGCAGTCACAGAAAAAACCACAGCAAAAACCACCGCTACAGCGGCAGTCACAGCAACAACAAGTCTTAACCACGGTCACAACCACAGCCACAGCGACAACCACAACTACAACCACAATTACAACTATTACCACAGTCATAACTACAACCACTGTCACGGCTACAACCACAACCGCAGTCACAACCACAGTTACAGTTATAACTACAGTCATAGCAACCACTGTCGCAACTACAACCACGGTCACTACCACAACCGCAGCTACAACCGCAGCTACAACCGCAGTCACAGAAAAAAAACACAGCAACAACCGCGGTTACAACGGCAGTCACAGCAACAACCAGTCGCAACCACGGTCACAACCACAACTACAGCCACAGCTACAACCACAGTCACAACTCAAACCACAGTCACGGCTACAACCACAACCGCAACCACAACTGCAGCCTGGTAGCAGGCAGGTTCAACTCTGACCTCTCTTTGCCTGTGAGACTCTGCTAGTCTCTCTCAAGGCCTCGCCTGGTTGAACAAACTCAACCCGGACAAACACACCTGCGCTGCGGTTGTCCACGCGTGTTTGCAGGACCCTGCGCCCTGAGCGTGGGAACACGACGTGTGTCCGTGTCGCGAACGCACGTCATATGCAGTGTTCACGATGGTTGTTGTGTGTGTTCGCGCCACTGTGTGTATCCTGTTTGTGTGTGTGTACCATGCATGCCGTTGGTACGCGCGTGCCGTTCATGCTGTTTGGGTGTGTGTGTTCACCATGCACACTGTATATTGTTCATGCTGTTTTACATGCGTGCTGTTTGTGTGTTCACCATGCACAACGTATATTGTTCATGCTGTTTTACATGTGTGCTGTTCTTGTGCACGTACTGTCTGTGTGTATTCCATGCATGCTGTTTGTATGTTGTTCATGCTGTTATTGTCTGCGTTATGTTGGTGTTCGCTCCATGCACACTGTGTATGTTGTTCATGCGATTCTTGTGTGCGCAGTGTGTGCCCCATGCATGCTGTGTATATTGTACATGCTGTTTGTGTATACGCTGCTCACGTGTGTCATGCAAGCAGGTTGTATGCTGTTTCGTATGCATGGTGTTCTTTTGTATCTACTATTTGTGTGTGTGTTTCGTGGGTACTGTTTGTGTGCCTGCTGTTTGTGTGTCCCGTCCATGCTATTTGTGTGTCCCGTCCATGCTGTTTGTGTGCATGCTGTTTGTGCTGCGTGTGCCCGTGTGTTGCGTTCTGTGTGCCGCCGACAGGACAGTCCGGACTTGCAGCTGCTCTTGCGGATGCTGGCGCTGGGCCTGGGTGCGTGGGACATGATCGACAGCCAGGCCTTCAGGGAGCCCAAGTTGGTGAGTCTGGTTCCGTGGGAGATGTCTCTCTTCGCAGCAAACTCGTTAACGCCCCGTGGCTCCTTCATCTAATCCAGGGGTCACCAAACTACGGCCCGCGGGCCGGATCCGGCCCGCAACGTCAGTCCATCAGGCCCGCCAACGGTACTTGAATTTGGTTGATAAAACGTATGGAACACGAGACGTTGTGATACAATTTAAATTTAAATATTATGTTTAGAATACTAGGAGATCTTCACGCGTGCGGAGACCTCCTGACTGCTATGTTCCTTAAATGTACTATTTGAAATTTTAAATTATTGTATCTAGATTTTCTTGTTTATTGTAATGTTTGCTTATTTCACGCCATCCCAAGTCCTTCCCCGGCTCGTGGTAGCTCCGCCTACGCTCTGACGTTACCATGGTTTCCATGGCAACACACACAAACACGCATCTTTGTCCGCCCCCAGATTTTCCAGCTGTCAACACAGGTCTGACGCTCCAGAAATATTTATTTATTATGCGGCCCGCACTCGTCATTCTTTTAGTTTTCCGGCCCACTGTGAAAAAAGTTTGGTGACCCCTGATCTAATCGATGATCACACAGGCGTCTTGAGCAATAACAAGAATGATAATGACTTCCGCATGAAAACGCGCCGCCGTCGCCGCCGCACAGTGTCCGCTCGCTCTCGGAGAGAGACGGAGAGTGGACGAGTCGGAGTCACGAGGAGGAGCCACAGACGAGCGGCAAAGGCAGCGGCAGCCAGGCCGTGAGCCGCCGCTACCAACAATTGCCCGAGCTTTACGATTCTCTATATATTAAGGTGTTTATCAGCCAATTAATGAGTAAATTTGGAAGGAAATCGGAGCACCCGGAGTAAACCGGCACGTGCGAGGCTGAGGAATGCGTAGGTTTTTGCGTGATCTCACGGGACATGGCGTTGTAGGGGCTCACTGCGTTTCAGCACCCTTGCTCATGGCTCGCCATGGTTCAACCCTGCAGACATTGACGTCGTTGTTGGTATCAGTAATGTTATTGACCGTTCACAGGCTAGACTTGAGATTTCTGGGTGGGGTAGGGACGGATCGCTAATGGCTAACGGGCTGGATTGCCAAGCATCATGGCTTGTTGAGGGGTTACGATTTAGCGCGTGCATTTTTCGCAGCCACTCGTAACCCAAGCGCGGCCTTGCCAGTCGTCGGGCTGCGCGCTGGCCGAGCGTTTCTTCTCATAGCGTTTGCCGCACGCTGCTGTCGGCGCCTCCCTGTGGAATTGGGTGTGCCGGTATGGTTCTTCCCACGTGAGCGATTCGCGAGCGGTTTGCTCGGACCGCGTTGCTGTAACGAGCCCGCCCGCCCCGCCGTTTCGGCCAACGTCGTGTGTCGCGGTGAGCAGGATGTGGAGGTGGCGACGCGCTTCCTGCCGGCGCTCATGACCCTGCTGGTGGACGACCTGACCTTTGGGGTGGACGCTCGCTTGCCGGCAGAAGGAGGGACCCCCCCGATGTACCCCTCCGGCCTGCCCCCCGCCTTCACCAAGTGAGGACGCCGAGAGCCGAGCAGACGGCCGCCCAAGCTAGACACATCGAGGAACACGAAAATAGTTGGCCGAGGGGGTGGGGGAAAAAAGTTCTCACCTCTGATACCACTCTTGCTGCTGGACGGGAGGTGGGGCTTGGCAACGTCATTAGTTACGTCATACAATCACTGGCCGCGTCATGCTGGGCGTGGCTTGTAGGGGGGTTCACCGCCTTCGGACAGATTCGTATTTAAATTCTCAGGGTTGCACTTTAGCCAAATCCAGTGCAGAGCCAAATTTAATGCGATTGTGTTTTCTTGTGCAATCGTTGGTGATTGGCGGGAGACCATCAACTCGCTTGGCTTGAGAATTTTAATTAAGCACGAGCAGTGGCTGAAATCCTGGATTCACAGGCGGCCCATACCCTGGATTCACAGGCAGCGGCTGCAACCCGGATTCGAACCCGGGTTCTCAGCTGTGCCGGCTCGGCGCTTCTCACCCTCCGACTCACCCGGCCACCTCGATTTTCATTCGCCTTAACCATGCTGCGGTCCTGCGTGCACAGGTGGGTGCAGGAGCACCCGGTAGCTTGTGAGATGGGGCTCTACTACGTACTGCACGTGACGCGGCAGAGGAACAAGAACGCGATCGCGCGCGTGCTCCCCGCACTCGGTGAGTGTGGCGTGACTACTACCGGGATGTTACCACTCGCCCGGGCGGGCAGGCGTACGTCAGACGACGGGGAGAGACCAAGCGGCGGGGGGGAGGGGGGGATGAAAACGTGGCCGGGCAGCAGCGCGTTTGGCCCCTAGTTGCAGAGGTTTTGCGGTTCGAGTCCAGCGGTCGCCCCGGTTAATATCGCGGGGGTCAGAAATGGTGCAGCCCGGCAGTCGCTTGCTCACGCCAATGCTGGAGGAAGGGCGTCGGGGCTTCCAATTTATAATAGGAGCTGTTGAGGGCTCCTTGAGAGGGCGCCTTCACCAAAAATTGGCGCTGGCTGCTTCACGGAGGATGTGGCAGATCCCGTGGCGTTATTCGAAAATGCGCAATGGCGTCACGGTCCAAATTTGACAAATTTTGAGAATGCCTCGCAAGTTGATGAATTCAGTAAAAGCACATAGCCACGTCGTCCTGCTACTGACAGACTCTACCCATCTGTGAAATACAGTCACTTCGTTTTAGCCTTGCACCATAGGAATGTCACATGTTCAATGTGTTGATTGATCGTGGTGCATGGACTGGTGCGATTTACTGGTGAAACACTGGTGCGGTACACATTGTTGAGACACTGATGCGGTACACATTGTTGAGACACTGATGCGGTACACTGGTGAGACACTGGTGCGGTACACATTGTTGAGACACTGATGCTGTACACTGTTGAGACATCGGTGCGGTTTTGTGCGTATGCGCAATCCATAGCGGAATTCCACCGGGACGCCGGCTACAGCGATTGGTTCCTGCACCTCTTCCTGTCTCAGCTGACCCTGCTGGCCGATGAGCTGGGGTCCGAGGGCCTGTGCGGCGCGCTGTTCGACAGCTTCCTGCTCCCCGCGCTCTCCCGGTACGTGCTCATCTACGATCTCCGCGCGCGCGCGCGCGAGAGCAGACGCGTACGTGCGAGCCCAGACGCGTACGTGCGAGCCCAGACGCGTACGTGCGAGCCCAGACGCGTACGTGCGAGCCCACGCGCGTACGTGCGAGCCCAGACGCGTACGTGCGAGCCCAGACGCGTACGTGCGAGCCCAGACGCGTACGTGCGAGCCCAGACGCGTACGTGCGAGCCCAGACGCGTACGTGCGAGCCCACACGAACGCATGTGCCGTGTACACGGGCGCGCGGACGCGACGGGTTGTTGCAGAGGCTCATGCTTCGAAGCCAAGCGGCCGCGCTGGCTATTACTGCGATGTGGCGTTAGCTATTAAAAAATACTTCACTCGTAGTGGACGTTAAAGGTCCCGTGACGTCATTCGCAAGAGTAGGCCGTTGCGTGCCGGAGCCTGGGTCCATATTTGAAACATTACACCCGCAAATTTGCTCGATCGGAATTGTACACACAGCAGCAATCATTGCCCCCTACTGGCAGCAGACCGATGCCTTGCCCCTCCCCAGGTGACTTGCACATGAGACTCGATTCCGGTCTCTCTATTTCTCACCTGATTATACAAAATCATCTTGACACTCGAAACTCACACTGACCTGATGCACGTTGATCCACTAGCGCACACGCACAGCAGCGCTCGCTCACACCTCTGCCTCCCCGTGCGTACGTGCGGCAGAGAGAACGTGCACAGGCACACGCTGCGGCTGGTGCTGCACGTGCATTCGAAGCTGCTGCCTGCGCGGCTCGCCACGCTACGCACCGCCCTGGAGCCCAACAAGCAGGTGACTGCGTGTGTGTGTGTGTGTGACTGAGCGAGTGCGTGTGTGTATGTGTGAAGCAAGTTCGATTCCTGTTCACGGCCACCAATACTAGTGACGAATGTCTAAACTGGTCCTGGGCCTCCCCTAGGTCGACTCAGTTTTAATTAAGTACCTGGTGCTGTGTGAAAAAACATCGGCAATGGGGAGACAAATAGTGGCCGGGCGTGGTGCTGGTCACCCACCTCCTCGTGTGCCATACCGGCCTTCATAAGCGCTCGCCAACAGTACTTGCCCCATCTCTCACAATCCGTGGGGACGGTGAGAGATGGTGGCAGCATTGGGGAGGCCTTCATCCAGCCGTGGATCGAGCACAGCTACTGATGCTCATGTTGCTGATGGTGCCGATGATGATGCTGCTGCTGCTGCTGTTCCGGCAGAGTGGCGATGTTGTGAAGGAGCTTCACACGGCGTTCCTGGCCAAGGGGGACTCGCGTCTGCCCGGCACCGCCGCCGCCGCCGCCACGGCGCCGGTCTCTGCCACTGGCGTGGCACTCACCCCGGGCCTCACGCCCGTGCTGGCGCTCACGCAGCCAGTCGCAATCAGCACCGCCACGACCGCGGCCACTACCGCCGCCACTGCCGCCGCCACTGCCGCCGCCACTTCCGTCGGCACTGCCGCCGGCACTGTCGCTGGCACCGTCGCCGCCACTTCTGCCGGCACCGTCCCCGGCACTGCCGTCGGCACCGTCCCCGGCACTGTCGCCGGCACCGTCCCCGGCACCGTCGCCGGCACCGTCGCCGGCACCGTCGCCGGCGGCGGAGCAAGTGCAGGAGGAGCCGGAGGAGGAGAGTCTCCTCGGGTTAGCGTCGCGGCTACGGTGACGCCACCGCCGTGAGCGAGTTGGGTGGCGATTGTCGGCAGAGAGAATCACACGTGTGTGTGTGTGTGCATGCGTGCGCTTATGTACGCGCATCGCCCAGGGGTGGTGATGGGTGTAATGCACGAAGGTAGCTACGAATGCGATGCCTTACATGCGTTACGCACGCGTTACCTCACGCGTACACGTTGCACACACGTGTTACGCACGTTACACACATACATGCGTGATACACTAGATTAGCGTTACCTACGTACGCGTTACGTTACACACACGCGTGTTATACATGTTACGTTGCACCCGTTTTACAGACGCGTTATACACACACGCACTATATACACGCGCGCGCGCAAGACGTACACGCACCGCTTGAGTACACCGCCATTGGTGCAATGCCCCCTCGTGCTATTGCACCCGCGTTCACCACGGTTTTACTGCCTTTGATTGTGCCGTGCCCGCTGCGTCCGTTCACCCTGGGGTTCAGAACGCCAAGCCCGGTGAAGCCACCCACCCACACGCCCACACTGCGCACGCCGGCCGTGAGTGCCACCTAACGACCCAATGCAACTCTGTGGCAGCTACGGTTATCGTGTCCTCAGGGGTCGTGTTGCCCCTGCAGTAGATCCGTTGTCCGTTATTTCCAGCGTGTAAGGTCATTTATATTTTTCTAATGTCAATATAGAAAGCAATTCCACAACGCGCAATCCAGCGCTGCAGCGGTCACCGTAGGCAACACGTGGGACCGAGCTGGGGCTTGCGTGGAGACGCGCGAGGCAGCGTCGCCGCGGGGTTGTCCTCACTACGCAGTTTCTGGAGCTTCGGGAAAGTGCGAGTTTTTGTTTTTTTTAAAGGTCGTGGTAAAACTCGTCCGTGATAAGCGGGCCGCCGCGATATACCCCCCCCCCTCCCCCGTACGGGGATGCCCCTGCCCGGAGATACCCCTGCCCCGGGTGGATAGAGGCTACGAGCCGAAAGCAGCGGTGAGATTTGGGTCACAATAAAACTCTCGTCATTTCTATCCCCGGCGTCTCTCTGCCTCGCGTCCGGAGTGAACGTGCGAGCCGGGAGCCAGCGAGTGCGGTTTCTGACCCAGTCGGTGGCATATCGTGGTCGGCATGACCAGTAGACTTACACAGAGACCCACATACTCGCGGCAGAGAGCTATACAAAGATCCCTCATATCCTTAACAGACTATTGGGGCAGGTACTGTAAGTGTGCACCTACGAAGACCAAGACGGCACACGAGGGGGCGGATGACCAGCACCACGCCTGGCCGCCTCTGTCTCCCAAGTGGAAATGTTTACACATTGCACCAGGTAATCATTTGAGGCCGAGTGGACCTAGGGGAGGCCCAGGACTGGTTCAGATAATATAATCGGCACTGGCCTTGGTTGGTCGGGTGAAGAGCGGGAGTTAATCTCAGGTCGCCGAGTTTGTAGAGCAGCGCGCTAACCGCTGCATAACTACTTCCCTGGCCCTTTTGCACCGACTGAAGTGCCCCCCCCCCACCCCGCCACGCCACCCATTCAATTTCCCCACTCTTCATAGCCCGGCGCCTGGGCGCCTCGAGACCTGGTGCGAATGCCACGCCTGCTGACGTCACTGATGCCAGCAGCACGGTGTTAGGTGACGACGCCGAGAGACACGTGGGAGCGCGGAGAACAGGAGGGGCACGTGTGCTGTGTGAGATACGAGTCGTGTGGAAGGTGTGTGAGATACGAGTGTGAAGTGTGAGATAGATACGAGTCGTGTGGAAGGTGTGTGAGCTGTCGTTAAGAAAAGCGCAAAACCGCACATTCTATTTTTTTTGCGCACTAAACTATTAAACTTTTTTTTATTTTACCAGATAAGGCCCATCGAACTATATAGCTTTTTTTTTTTTTAGAAGCAACCTGGCCACAAATGATAGCTCAACGAAGTGGCTTATGTGGAAATGTATAGCAGCCAAATACTCTAAACGCATGTTTATAAATGTGGAGGGGAAACCCGGAGGACCCGGAGCAAAATCCACACGACCACGGGGAGAACATGCAAACGCCAAATATTCAGCAGGCGTCGGGGTCGGGATCGAGCCCACGACCTCCTGCATACCAGGCGAGGGAGATAACATCTCGCCACATAACGGCAGCAGCAGCAGCAGCGATATGTTCAAGATTTAGATGCCAATGTGGAGGTCTGCTGCCCACGGCGAGAGGGCTTCAGGAGAGTTCGTGTGGTTTTGCTGCTCCTCCGTTGAAGGAGCGAGCGCAGACGACAGTGGTCAACTGCGACTGTGGTTGTCTTCTTTCATACCTGCCGGGTCGATGTATCCGAGTTAACTCCCCCCGCATCCCCAGCTATCTCGGCCTCCCACTTCAAGCCCCGCCAACTCCCCCCCCCCCCCCCCGGCTCACTTCCCTCTCCTAGCGTCCACGCAGCGCTCCCCCTACCCCACACCCCCCTCCTCTCTCTCCCCCCTTGCCCCCCCCCCTTTATAACCTCTTACCACGGCATCTCTCTCCCACTACAGCAAAAAAAAAACATTTTTCTTGCTGTGATTTTACCACCTGATGATGATTGCTTGTATTGCAATCGAAACGTCGTGATTTATTTTATTTTATACCTACGTGACTTTACCGAAAGAACCAAATAGTATGGATTCCTGCAGTCACGAAAGCTTCAAATCAAGATTGCGACTGTACTGTGGTCCGTAGGCTCCAAATAGATACACTTTGGTTCTTTCGGTAAAGTCACGTAGGTATAAAATAAAGTAAATTAAATCACGACGTTTCGGGCGCAACACAAGCGTCCGTCATCAGGTGGGACAACCACAGCAAGAAACAATTGCAGCAAGAAACAATTGCTGAAGTGGGCAAAAGAGCTGCCGTGACAAGAGGCTTTATAGGTAAGAGAGGGGGGGAGGAGCCAGGGAGGAGAGATAGAGAGGGGGGAGGAGCCAGGGAGGAGAGATAGAGAGGGGGGAGGAGCCAGGTAAGAGAGATAGACAGGGGGGAGGAGCCAGGGAAGAGAGATAGAGAGGGGGGAGGAGCCAGGGAGGAGAGATAGAGAGGGGGGAGGAGCCAGGGAGGAGAGAGAGAGAGGGGGGAGGAGCCAGGGAGGAGAGATAGAGAGGGGGGAGGAGCCAGGGAGGAGAGAGAGAGGGGGGAGGAGCCAGGGAGGAGAGATAGAGGGGGGGGAGGAGCCAGGGAGGAGAGATAGAGAGGGGGGAGGAGCCAGGGAGGAGAGATAGAGAGGGGGGAGGAGCCAGGGAGGAGAGATAGAGAGGGGGGAGGAGCCAGGGAGGAGAGATAGAGAGGGGGGTATGGGGTAGGGGGAGTGGGGCGCTCCTGGAGGGATTAGGGAACGAGCAAGGCAAAAGTGAGTGCGGCTGGGAAATACATATTCAATATATCCACCAGAGGGCGCTATTGTGCCAACCACGCGGACTGGGTGGCATGCAGGCACAGTCCGGTAATTGGTCGATTAATATAGTCACACGCAGGAACAACAAAGCAAGTATTAACCAGGGTTTACCAATTCCCTTCCTTAACTGAGTCGCCGCCGTTTATTCCAGAGAGGCCGGTTAATTTCTGATAAAGTCTTGAGCCTGCTGCAGTCGTCTCCGGCGTATCTTCCCGGCACGCGTGGCCACTCCACTGCTGGACGAGGGCCTCCCCTCGCCGCTGTGGCTTGTGGTGGGAGGGGGGGAGGGGTTATTTTGCCGTACCTCAATCACGCTGAACTGATCGCGTCCGTGCTGGTTTTGGTGACGGGCGGGCAGGGTGCAGGGATTTTTGCACGCAGCGTTGAAATGCGGTGTTTTTTCTGGAAGACTTTGCTGTTTTTTTCCCAGGATTTTTTTCGCGTAGTCACTTTAAGACGTTTCTTGTTCATGTTTTTGTTGCGGTTGCGGTTGCACCCGAGTCAAGAGCCGCATGGCTCACAGGGTTATACCTAATAAATGAAACTTGAATGAAACTGAAGTACTTAGGGGGGAGCGCACTGGCCCTTGTGAATCAGAGGTTTAATTCCCGAGTAAAGCCCTTGCGAGTTAGACATTAAAAGCTCAGCAGGCAGCGCCGCAGCAGCCTCTAGCAACAAAGGGCCCGAGTAACCCCACGGGCTAATTCAGGCCATAGGATCTTGTCGGCACTCCTTTAGGCCCTCCCGTTCCACGTTGAAGTGACAGCTTAAGCGACGGTTCGCTCGGCCATGGGAAACTTTTTTTTTAAATCTTTGAATGACGATTACACAATTCGCGCACTTTGCGACAGCTACAGCTCGGAGGGAACAATAGTTCGACATTCACGAGTGGTCGTGAGTGATGTGTATCCGAATAATTCACCTCGAGTCGAACACATTTTAGTTTTTACATTGATCGTCCCATTCCGGGTAACTCGGTCAGAGGCAGTCTACAGTCGTGAGCATTCATTCACCCGCTCCATTCAGATTACGTACGGAGACGAACCTGCGTTCGATTCCGGCTAAACACCAGTGAAGTCTCATAACTGAACCGGTCCTGACCCCCACCTCTGTATTACACTACAACCCGCGCTGATCAGCGTGGCGAAGTATGGTCAAATTGCCCTTGCTGCCTTGACGGCCAGGGGAGGCGTTCATCCAGCATTGGACTGTTCTAGTACAGCGTTTGGTGCAGGTGCTTTGTCTGAAACGTGCTGTGTTCAGACGTTTCACAACACGTGACAAATCAATAACCGCTGCAAGTGGCAGGGTGAACTTTGATCCCTCCAGTAGCAATAACCTGGCGACGCGCGCAAGGTCGTAGACTCGCACGGAGACCCAAATAGAGACCACAGACTCGCACAGAGAGCCACAGACTCGCACAGAGAGCCACAGACTCGCATCGAGAGCCAGAGACTCGCACAGAGAGCCACATACTCGCACAGAAAGCCACAGACTCGCACAGAGAGCCACAGACTCGCACAGAGAGCCACAGACTCGCACAGAGAGCCACAGCCTCGCACAGAGAGCCACAGCCTCGCATCGAGAGCCACAGACTCGCACAGAGAGCCACAGACTCACACAGAGCCATATACTACCACAGACCCATAGACTCGCACAGAGGGCCACAGACTCGCATCGAGAGCCATATACTCGCATAGAGACCCATAGACTCACACAGAGACCCAAATAGATACCCATGGACTCGCACAGACTCATAACCACGCATAGAGAGCCACATACTCGCATAGAGACCCATAGACTCACACAGAGCCATATACTCGCACAGAGACCCATAGACTCGCACATATACATATACTCGACCAGAGGCTCATAGACTCGCACAGAGAGCCACAGACTCGCACACAGAACCAGACTTGCACACGGACCCATAGACTCGCATAGAGACCCATAGACTAGCGCACTGCGATTAGGAACCCGGTCACCCGAGTTCGAGTCCCGACCAAGGCTAGCGTTAGTCGGAGAGTGACATCGGGACCGCAGTCCTGGTCCTCCCCCCAGCGTGTAAAAAGGATCCATCACCGGGTAGACAAAGGCGCCCGGCGTGGTGCTGAACGCACCAGCCCACATAAGTGGCATCGAGTGTCATTTGTGTATTACCCAGGTGAGAACTCAAGTGGTCTCAGTCACAGGAAAGATCAACATCAGCATAGAAACGGGGTAGAGCGATGCCGCAAATGTAGCACTGTGCATTACTGGCGTTACAGATAGTCTAGCTAGGTGGCCGGTGCACAAGGCAGTGCCCCAATGGACAGTTGAACTTCAGCAGGTTTTTCTTGCTGTGGTTGTCCCACCTGATGACGATTGCTTGTGTTGCGATCTATTATTTTTCTACCTACGTCACTTTACCGAAAGAACCAAAGAGTATGGATTCCTGCAGTCACGAAAGCTTCAAATCAAGATTGAATGATCCCATTGAGGTGGAATTACCCGTTTGGAAAACACACCAATGCGTGTGTCACATCGACTTAATTCCTCCCCAGGCGAATGTGTGTCCGTGTAGGCGGTCGGGGCGTGGTGCTGGCCAACAATCCACCCCCTCGTGTGGCCGTGCGGGCATGATGACTCGCTTGACAGCACTTGTCCCAAAGGTGTGTCAAGGCTATACGGGGCATCTGTGTCGTTGTGTGGAGCGGTGGCGCAGTGGTTGGCGCACTGCGCTGCAAATTCGGCGACCAGGGTTAGATTCGCGGCTATGGCCAACAAGACCACCGGTGATTAACGGAGCCGGTTTTTGGTATCCCCTATGGCCTATGTCGACTCAGCAGAAAGAAGTACACGACCTATAAACAGCGGTGGCAAATATTTCAACCCTTCCGGGGCCTCCTTTTAAGTTCACTCAGCCAAAAATGAGTACTTGACGCGATGTGGTAAACGTCTGGAAGACGAAGGTGGCCGGGAGTGGTGCTGGCCAACCTCGCCCTCGTGTGCCGTGCCGGCTTTCAAAGCTGCTGCTACTCGCTGACAGCACTTGCCCCAATAGTCTGTTAACGGCTATACGGGGATCTTTATCTTTGTGTGTGTGCGTGAATGAATGACACGCCGGGTGGAGTGAGTCACGCAGGGTAGAGTGAGACACGCAGGGTAGAGTGAGACACGCTGGGTAGAGTGAGACACGCTGGGTAGAGTGACACACGCTGGGTAGAGTGAGACACGCTGGGTAGAGTGAGACACGCTGGGTAGAGTGAGACACGCTGGGTAGAGTGACACGCTGAGTAGAGGGAGACACGCTGGGTAGAGTGAGACACGCTGGGTATAGTGAGACACGCTGGGTAGAGTGAGACACGCTGGGTAGAGTGAGACACGCTGGGTAGAGTGAGACACGCTGGGTAGAGTGAGACACGCTGGGTAGAGTGAGACACGCTGGGTATAGTGAGACACGCTGGGTAGAGTGAGACACGCTGGGTAGAGTGAGACACGCTGGGTAGAGTGACACGCTGGGTACAGTGAGACACGCTGGGTAGAGTGAGACACGCTGGGTAGAGTGAGACACGCTGGGTAGAGGGAGACACGCTGGGTAGAGTGAGACACGCTGGGTATAGTGAGACACGCTGGGTAGAGTGAGACACGCTGGGTAGAGTGAGACACGCTGGGTAGAGTGACACGCTGGGTAGAGTGAGACACGCTGGGTAGAGTGAGACACGCTGGGTAGAGTGAGACACGCTGGGTAGAGTGACACGCTGGGTAGAGTGAGACACGCTGGGTAGAGTGACACGCTGGGTAGAGTGAGACACGCTGGGTAGAGTGAGACACGCTGGGTAGAGGGAGACACGTTGGGTAGAGTGAGACACGCTGGGTAGAGTGAGACACGCTGGGTAGAGTGAGACACGCTGTGTAGAGTGAGACACGCTGGGTAGAGTGAGACACGCTGGGTAGAGTGAGACACGCTGGGTATAGTGAGACACGCTGGGTAGAGTGAGACACGCTAGATAGAGTGAGACACGCTGGTTAGAGTGAGACACGCTGGGTATAGTGAGACACGCTGGGTATAGTGAGACACGCTGGGTAGAGTGACACGACACGCTGGGTAGAGTGAGACACGACACGCTGGGTAGAGTGAGACACGCTGGGTAGAGTGAGACACGCTGGGTAGAGTGAGACACGCTGGGTAGAGTGAGACACGCTGGGTAGAGTGAGACACGCTGGGTAGAGTGACACGCTGGGTAGAGTGAGACACGCTGGGTAGAGTGAGACACGCTGGGTAGAGTGACACACGCTGGGTAGAGTGAGACACGCTGGGTAGAGTGACACACGCTGGGTAGAGTGACACACGCTGGGTAGAGTGAGACACGCTGGGTAGAGTGAGACACGCTGGGTAGAGTGAGACACGCTGGGTAGAGTGAGACACGCTGGGTAGAGGGAGACACGCTGGGTAGAGTGAGACACGCTGGGTATAGTGAGACACGCTGGGTAGAGTGAGACACGCTGGGTAGAGTGAGACACGCTGGGTAGAGTGACACGCGGGGTATAGTGAGACACGCTGGGTAGAGTGAGACACGCTGGGTAGAGTGAGACACGCTGGGTAGAGTGACACGCTGGGTAGAGTGAGACACGCTGGGTAGAGTGACACGCTGGGTAGAGTGAGACACGCTGGGTAGAGTGAGACACGCTGGGTAGAGGGAGACACGTTGGGTAGAGTGAGACACGCTGGGTAGAGTGAGACACGCTGGGTAGAGTGAGACACTCTGGGTAGAGTGAGACACGCTGGGTAGAGTGAGACACGCTGGGTAGAGTGAGACACGCTGGGTATAGTGAGACACGCTGGGTAGAGTGAGACACGCTAGATAGAGTGAGACACGCTGGTTAGAGTGAGACACGCTGGGTATAGTGAGACACGCTGGGTATAGTGAGACACGCTGGGTAGAGTGACACGACACGCTGGGTAGAGTGAGACACGACACGCTGGGTAGAGTGAGACACGCTGGGTAGAGTGAGACACGCTGGGTAGAGTGAGACACGCTGGGTAGAGTGAGACACGCTGGGTAGAGTGACACGCTGGGTAGAGTGAGACACGCTGGGTAGAGTGACACACGCTGGGTAGAGTGACACACGCTGGGTAGAGTGAGACACGCTGGGTAGAGTGAGACACGCTGGGTAGAGTGAGACACGCTGGGTAGAGTGAGACACGCTGGGTAGAGTGAGACACGCTGGGTAGAGTGAGACACGCTGGGTGGAGTGAGACACGCTGGGTAGAGTGACACGCTGGGTAGAGTGAGACACGCTGGGTAGAGTGAGACACGCTGGGTGGAGTGAGACACGCTGGGTAGAGTGACACGCTGGGTAGAGTGAGACACGCTGGGTAGAGTGAGACACGCTGGGTAGAGTGAGACACGCTGGGTGGAGTGAGCCACGCTGGGTAGAGTGAGACACGCTGGGTAGAGTGAGACGACACGCTGGGTGGAGTGACACGACACGCTGGGTAGAGTGACACGACACGCTGCTAAGGTTCCATGGAGGGGATTGTGAGTTGGCTGACGTCACCGGCATGGTGCCAACTCCATCTCTTGATTACAGTCGCGTGCGGGTTTGGTGATCATCATCATCACCACCACTCACGGGGGTCATTATCCCCCACACTCAGGGTGGTCATTATGGCGAGCTACAAGCCCAGACAGATAACGGGTCAAGCCCTCACGAGCAAGTGACCTCACCTACAAAACACGGCGTGACCGCATGCGTTGCGGCCACAGCCACCGCGGGCTTCGCGATCCAAGCCAACAAGCAGCCCGTGGGCGGTGCTCACAGCTCCGTCTCCTCGGCGGACGTCCTCCCTCCTCGCTCGGGCGCGTTCCAATTCGTGCAATTTGGCTGCCGTTCCGTCCTCGGCCTCGACCACCCCATCAAGAATCGCCCCTCCAAGTCGAGACCCCCAAGACTGGCTTCACTGCACGATTCGAATGGTGGTGAATGTGGTACGCCCGAAACGTGCATCCCTTTGACGACCATACTTCACCACGCCGGTCACTGCGGCTTGGAAGAGGAGATGGAGCGATGATGATGATGGAATCAGCTGGTAACATCGCAGGATCGTGAGAAGTGGGGCGATTGCCTTGGGAAGCCTTCATACAGCAGTGGATTGACCATGGCTGATGATGGAACTACATTCACGCTCACTGCAGTATAGACTACACTCGCTACAGTAAGTATTGCTTCATAGAGTACGCTTACTACAGGATAGCACTTACTACAATATAGAGTACACTCCCTGCAGGAGTCGACTTTTAACAGTATAGTTTACACTCACTGCAGTTAGACTCACTAGAATAGAAAGCACACTACAAACAAGTGCGGTCCCGTACTGTGAATAAGGGCCATTGCCCGAAACGCCGCCAATTATATATAAACAAATCGGTGTAAGGCCATACAAAAAAACAAAGATCCCCCGTACAGCCTGAACAGACTGTGGGGGCAATTTCTGTTAGCGAGCACCTATGAAGGCCGGCACAGCACACGAGGAGGTGGGTGGCCAACACCACACCCGACCACCTTTGTCTCCCCAGTGGTGATGCTTACACACCACACTAGGTACTCATTTGAGGCCGAGTCGACCTAGCGGAGGCCCAAGGACCACTTCAGATAATCGTCACTGGGTGTTTGCCGTGAGCGGGAATCGAACCCGGGTCGCCGGGTTCATAGCGCAGCGCGCTAACCGCTACACTACCGCTCCCCTCCAAACACACACACAGAGACACACACACAGACACACACACAGCAACACACACACAGACACACACACAGACACACAGAAACACACACAGAAACACACACAGAGACACACAGATACACACACACAGAGACACACACAGACACAGAGACACACACAGAGACACACACAGAGACACACACACACAGACGCACACAGAGAGACACACACAGACACACAGACACACACACAGAGACACACACAGAGACACACACACAGACACACACACAAAGACACACAGAGAGACACACACAGATACACACACACAGAGACACACACACAGAGACACACAGAGACACACACACAGACGCACACAGAGACACACACACAGAGACACACACACACAGACATACACAGAGACACGCAGACACACGCACACACAGAAACAAAACAAAGACACACACACAGAGACACACAGAAAGGCGTTACAGCAGACACCGGCGGAGCGTGTTAAGAGGCTGTCGCGTGCTTGTGCGCCAGGTAGGGGGAGGCTGCTGAGTTTGCTCTGCCCAATAAGAGAGAAGTGGCGTGGCCTCGTGGAGGAGGATGGAGGAGGAGTTACTGTGACTCCCAGGCTGTCGCAGTCAGAGGTTTTGTGTGTGTGTGGAGGTGTGATTGTGTGTGCGGTGGGGGGACCGAGAGTGTAGGAACTTAGCGCTACGGACACAGACGACCCGAGTTCGACTCCCGCTCGCTCACGGCCACCGCGACCACCAGTGACGATTTATCTGAAGCGGTGCCGGCATTCTCCTAGGTCGACTCAGCCCTCAAATGAGTACCCGGCGCGGTGTGTAAACATCGCCACTGCGGATACGAAGACAGCCCGGACGTGCCGCTGGCCACCCCAACCCTTTGTGTGCCGTGCTGGGTTTTTTGTTTTTGTACAGGTGCTCGCCAACAGCACTTGCCACGAAAGTCTGTCAAGGCTATCCGGGGGACCTTTATCGGTTGTGTGTGCGCTGAGCTGGTGGGGGGGGGGGGGTTGCGTCAAGTGGAGGCGGCGGTGGCGGCGGCTGTCGATTTGGAGTTCTCGAAACTTTGATCGTCAACTTCCGAACTCCTGCCACGCGTGGTCTCTCTCTCTCTGCCTCATCATCATCCTGGCCACGGCCCCCGACCTCGACGAGGATTGTGCTACGGAGCACGAAAACTCCTAACTCGGCAGTAACGACTAAGAGGGACTTTGTAGTAACAAGACGAATGTGCGTGTGTGTGCTTAGGGAGGTAGTGCAGTGTGGCTCGAGTTGACGGTGTGAGTGTATTTGTTTTAACAGGGTGGGGGGGTATTTATACTGACGGGAAAACCCGTGTCTTTTTATTTATATATATCGTGTGCTGTGCATATAACCTGGGCCAGAGATTTAAATCAGGGCTCTCAGTTGACACGCATACACACACAGCGCACCATGATCATCATCATCATCGCATAGGTACATATAGCACAGCTCACAGGCAAAGCGCACCCGGGTAGCCTACGTAGTGCTGTCGGGGCAAAGTGCTGTTAGCGAGCACCTATCACAACACACGGGAGACGTCACAACACACGGGAGACGTCACAACACACAGGGGACGTCACACACACACGCTCCCGCGAGAGGCTCTATCCAAGAGTGGGAGACCCATCTCTAAAGAAGACAGCACCAGTCACCATCCTCAACCATGAAGAAGAGGAAATTCAGATTCCAGGTGACATTCGACTTGGACGAGTTGACGTGCGTGCCCTTCGTGAACGGAGTCCTCTTCTGCAAGCTCCGTCTCTCCGACGGAGGCAGTTTCACGGCGCAGTCCAGCAGGTGAGCCGGTGTCTGCGTGTGGTGGTGGTGGTCGGGGGAGTGGTGGTGGTGGTGGTTGTGGTCGGGGAAGTGGTGGTGGTGGTTGTGGTCGGAGAAGTGGTGGTGGTGGTGGTTGTGGTCGGGGGAGTGGTGGTGGTGGTGGTTGTGGTCGGGGGAGTGGTGGTGGTGGTTGTGGTTGGGGGAGTGGTGGTAGTTGTGGTTGGGGGAGCGGTGGCGTAGCTGCGCTACCAACCTGGCGACCCGAGTTCGATCCCCGCTCACGGCCAACGCTGGTGACGATTATCTGAACCGGTCGTGGGCCTCCCCTAGGTCGACTCAGCCTCAAATTAGTGGCTGGTGCAATGTGTAGACATCACCACGAGGGAGACAAAGGCGGCCGGGCGTGGTGTTGGCCACCAACCCCGTCGTGTGCCGTGCCGGCCTTCATAGGTGCTCGCTTACAGCACTTGCCCCAACAGTATGTTAAGGCTACATGGGGAATCTTTGTCTTGTGGAGGGGTGGCGCAGCGGTTAGCGCACTTCGCTACGAACCCGGCTACCCGAGTTCGACTCTTGCGCATGGTCACAAACTTGTCCCGGGCCTCCGTCAAAGTCGACTCGACCTCACGCGGGTGCCTGGGACCTCACGCGGGTGCCTGGGACCTCACGCGGGTCCCTGGGACCTCACGCGGGTCCCTGGGACCTCACGCGGGTGCCTGGGACCTCACGCGGGTGCCTGGGACCTCACGCGGGTCCCTGGGACCTCACGCGGGTGCCTGGGACCTCACGCGGGTGCCTGGGACCTCACGCGGGTGCCTGGGACCTCACGCGGGTCCCTGGGACCTCACGCGGGTGCCTGGGACCTCACGCGGGTGCCTGGGACCTCACGCGGGTGCCTGGGACCTCACGCGGGTGCCTGGGACCTCACGCGGGTGCCTGGGACCTCACGCGGGTGCCTGGGACCTCACGTGGGTGCCTGGGGCGGTGTGTAAACATAACAACCGGCGAGTCAAAGGCGGCCAGGCGTGGTGTTGGCCACCCGTGTCCAGTTCCGGCCTTCATAGTAAGCGGCACCCAGGTATGCATTGCCGCCACCCATCCTAGGGCTGTCCAGGCTGAACTCGGCTTAGCTCACCAGCTGTGTCGAGACAGGGCGCAGTGCTGTGCGAATGTAGAGGGACTGCAAATGGATTTCACGAGGCATTATTATATCCAGCGCTGTATATAATAGGCGACTTTTCGGGCAGTCACCCTTCTGCATAGGACACACTTCATGTATTTATGAAGGAAGGGCCATTGCCCGAAACGTCGCCTATTGTATGTTTTTTTCTACATCGAGCTTGCAACTGTGATTCGCAACTGTGATTCGCAACTACGATTTAATAATCGTGCATGGGCAATCGTCTAATTTGCAACTGCGATTTTTTTTTAAAACTGTCGCTGTTATTTTTTGTTGTTCTCCAAAACAATTGGATGAGTTTGTTGTGCCGTGGAGTTCACGCGCGAGCGAGTTAACAACATGTGGTCGAGGTCACGAATTGAGTGTTTCATGGGTCGACCCGTGTCATTTCCTCTCAACATTTCCACCGTCGAGGCCCCCCCCCCCCCCCCCCAGCTTTGGGCTGGAGAGTCACGCACCAGATATTGGGTTCATCCACCGCCTCGTATCGCGTGCCCCCATCTAACCCCTTACCCGTGTCGCTTCTCTTATCGCTGTCTCTCCACCGTGCGCACGGGTTCAGTTGACTCATGCGAATGTGGGATTCGCAAGGCTGATGTTATCGGCCCATCCATTTCGATGTCACAACCGTGACAATCATGAAACATCACACAAACTCATCACCACCACCACCAGTGCTGCCAACAACATCTCAACTTCATCCCTTTGATGATGCGCGAGAGTCTGCTGAGCATGTCCCGTGACTTTCGGGAAACACGCCACGACCCGCAACCCCCTCGTGTTTCCCACGGTACAACTCTCCGCATCGATCCCTGCCGGTCGTGGTCCGCTAAAACAGGTGACGTTTCGGGCAAGGGGCCTTCGTCAAAGTACCCAATTATAGAGGCCAGGGCGACGGTGTTACAAGAGTTGGATACTTCACTTTACACCACGGGGTCTCATACAATTTACGGGTTTCCTTTCGATTTAAAGCTTTCGTGACTGCAGGGATTCATCTTCTCGGTTCTTTCGGTAAAGTCACGTAGAATGGGGATAAAATAATAAAAAATAAAAATTCTCACGACGTTTCGGAGGCAACACAAGCTTCCGTCTTCAGGTGGGACAGTCACAGCAAGATCTCTGATCAAGTGTTACGGGTTTCCCTCGCTTTATTCGTTTCGCGGCTATGCGGATAACCCATTTCTACCCAACATCACTTGCGGTTTGAATTCACTCAGATGCGGCTATGCGGTCGGACGTGGGACATTGCTTGCGTACTGTGTGTACTGTGTGTGTACTGTGTATGTACTGTGTATTTACTGTGTATGTACTGTGTGTGTACTGTTTGTACTGTGTGTGTACTGTGTGTGTACTGTATGTACTGTGTATGTACTGTGTATGTGCTGTGTATGTACTGTGTGTACTGTGTGTACTGTGTGTGTACTGTGTGTACTGTGTGTGTACTGTGTGTGTACTGTATGTACTGTGTGTACTGTGTGTGTACTGTGTGTACTGTGTGTGTACTGTATGTACTGTGTATGTACTGTGTGTGTACTGTATGTACTGTGTGTACTGTGTGTACTGTGTGTACTGTGTATGTACTGTGTATGTACTGTGTGTACTGTGTGTGTACTGTGTGTGTACTGTATGTACTGTGTATGTACTGTGTGTGTACTGTGTGTGTACTGTGTGTACTGTGTATGTACTGTGTGTACTGTGTATGTACTGTGTGTACTCTGTGTGTACTGTGTATGTACTGTGTGTGTACTGTGTGGGTACTGTGTGGGTACTGTGTATGTATTGTGTGTGTACTGTTGTGTACTGTGTGTGTACTGTGTATTTACTGTGTGTGTACTGTGTATGTACTGTGTGTGTACTGTGTGTGTACTGTGTATGTACTGTGTGTACTGTGTGTACTGTGTGCGTACCGTGTGTGTACTGTGTGTGTATTGTGTATGTACTGTGTGTGTACTGTGTGTACTCTGTGTGTACTGTATGTGTACTGTGTGTACTGTGTATGTACTGTGTGTACTGTGTGTGTACTGTGTATGTACTGTGTGTGTACTGTGTGTACTCTGTGTGTACTGTATGTGTACTGTGTATGTACTGTGTGTGTGTACTGTGTGTACTCTGTGTGTACTGTATGTGTACTGTGTGTACTGTGTGTGTACTGTGTATGTACTGTGTGTACTGTGTGTGTACTGTGTATGTACTGTGTGTGTACTGTGTATGTACTGTGTGTGTACTGTGTGTACTCTGCGTGTACCGTATGTGTACTGTGTATGTACTGTGTGTGTACTGTGTATGTACTGTGCGTACCGTGTGTGTACCGTGTGTGTACTGTGTGTGTACTGTGTGGGTACTGTGTGTACTGTGTATGTACTGTGTGTGTTCTGTGTGTGTACTGTGCGTACCGTGTGTGTACCGTGTGTGTACTGTGTGTACTGTGTGCGTACTGTGTGTGTACTGTGCGTAACGTGTGTGTACTGTGTGTGTACTGTGCGCAACGTGTGTTTACTGTGCGTACCATGTGTATACTGTGTGTGTACTGTGCGTACCGTGTGTGTACTGTGTGTACTCTGTATGTACTGCGTGTGTACTGGTTGCGTACTGTGCGTACCGTGTGTGTACTGTGCGTACTGTGTGTGTACTGTGTGCGTACTCTGTATGTAGTGTGTGTACTGTCTGCGTACTGTGTGTGTACTGTGTGCGTACTGTGCGTACCGTGTGTGTACTGTGTGTGTACTGTGTGTACTGTGTATTTACTGTGTATGTATTGTGTGTGTATTGTGTATGTACTGGGTGTGTACTGTGTATTTCCTGTGTGTGTACTGTGTGTGTACTGTGTATGTACTGTGTGTGTATTGTGTGTACTGTGTATGTACTGTGTGTACTGTGTATGTACTGTGTGTGTACTGTGTGTGTATTGTTTGTGTACGGTGTATGTACTGTGTGTGTACTGTGTATGTACTGTGTGTGTACTGTGTATGTACTGTGTGTGTACTGTGTATGTACTGTGTGTGTGTACTGTGTGTGTACTGTGTGTGTACGGTGTATGTACTGTGTGTGTACTGTGTGTGTACTGTGTATGTACTGTGTGTGTACTGTGTATGTACTGTGTATGTACTGTGTGTGTGTACTGTGTGTGTACTGTGTGTGTACGGTGTATGTACTGTGTGTGTACTGTGTGTGTACTGTGTATGTACTGTGTGTGTACTGTGTCTGTATTGTGTGTACTGTGTGTGTACTGTGTATGTACTGTGTATGTAGTGTGTGTGTATTGTGTATGTACTGTGTGTGTACTGTGTATGTACTGTGTGTGTACTGTGTATGTACTGTGTATGTACTGTGTGTGTGTACTGTGTGTGTACGGTGTATGTACTGTGTGTACTGTGTGTGTACTGTGTATGTACTGTGTGTGTACTGTGTGTGTATTGTGTGTGTACTGTGTGTGTATTGTGTGTGTACTGTGTATGTACTGTGTGTGTACTGTGTATGTATTGCGTGTGTACTGTGTATGTACTGTGTGTACTGTGTGTGTACTGTGTGTACTGTGTATGTACTGTGTGTGTACTGTGTGTATTGTGTGTGTACTGTGTGTGTACTGTGTATGTACTGTGTGTGTACTGTGTGTGTATTGTTTGTGTACGGTGTATGTACTGTGTGTGTACTGTGTATGTATTGTGTGTAATGTGTGTGTACTGTGTATGTACTGTGTATGTACTGTGTGTGTACTGTGTATGTACTGTGTGTGTACTGTGTGTGTACTGTGTATGTACTGTGTGTGTACTGTGTGTGTATTGTGTGTGTACTGTGTGTACTGTGTGTGTGTACTGTGTGTGTGTACTGTGTGTACTGTGTG